TTACAAACAAAACATGGCCAGTAATAAAAGTTTACATATGCAATAAATTTAATAAAAAATAACGGGTCTGAAGATGTGTTATTTACAAATTTAGAAATGTTTTTTAGTTTGTCAATGATAACGAATGTTACATGAAAACTATTTTTGTTTCCAAATTTTTGCTACGAAAAAGGTTTATTTTTTATTTTATTAATGCAATCTATTTTATTTTAATTCATTTGATCATTGCGTATAAAATATGGTAAATAAAGACTATATATTTAATTTTGCATTTCTCTTATCCCTTCTTTGCAATCCCTTGGACAGAACGAAATTCACATCCGAGATCCAGAATCGAGTGAGGCTCGAGTAATACAATTTCTATTCAAAGTGAGAACAAAAAATGTATATTAATTAAGCCCAATCTGCAACCCCTTGGATACAGCAAGATTCTCAATTGAAATCTTAAATAAGGAGCAGAGAAATACCTTATTTTAAAGCTTTTGAAAAACGCTTCAAGTTCTTGGTTTGCTAGAAAACAGAAACACTTTTTTTGAATGTTGAAATAAATAAAAAAAATTAATGAAATGAAAATTAAATCTTTCAAAAGTTTGCATTCATTTACATCAAACCGAGAAGAATATTATAAAATCTAGATTTTCTAGTATTCCTCAAAAACATTTTTCAAAAGCTTTAAATGAGCATCACTCGAATCCCTTTGCTACTTGAAATTTTAATGGTCAATGTTCAATGTCTAGTTAATATACTTTTATGCTTTCACTTCTCCTGATAGAAATCATCACACAATTTAAAAACCTAAAACAAAGCTGTTTTAGGTTTTTAAATTGTCATCTCTATATGCAATTATAACTCAAAAGCAAAATAAAATACTTTAAAATGGACATAAACTGTTCCGAAAAATATATAAACATTAGTAAACTAAAAATGAACCTTTTCTAAATTTGTAAATAAAATATCTTCTTCGGATCAGCATATTTTTTTAAATTTATTGCATACGTAAATTTTTATTACTGACAATGTTTGGTTTATAAAAATCCCAGGACAGTTCACGATTTATACAATTTTTATTTTTAATATGTTTTTTGAAAAACCGTTCTGTAATTTGTTTTTGATCGTCGTTCATGGTAACAACTTAAATTTTATTTTTTTGTTTTTTTCTCTAAGGATTTCTTCCGCAGCAGTTGTAACCTACTCTTCAGTTCGTTGTGATTTTGATTATTTGTGTTGTGAAGGTATAAATATGTTATGCACTTAAGTCGTTTGGGAAACGTCGTCGAGCAAACGATAAAATTCTGATTGTTTTTTTTTTTCATTTAAACCCATAAATAAAGCAACATGCTCATTGTTGTCCATTTTGAATATCTGAGTGTAAGGTTTATCTGGAAACCTTAATTGCCCTAGAAATTTTCCATATAATCCTTGTGAGGATTTTCTTTCTTAATTTCGATGTAATCAGCTGTATTTACTGCATTTTAATCAGTTTTTCAAAGGAGACTGAATCTTGTTAGTTAATTAATCGGTTTCTTCGATTTTTACTTTTTTTTAAATTCCCGACGCTTTGATCAGCAATGATGTTTTCTCTTAACACGTCGAGATTTTTCAGATTATTTTTGAAAACACTTCGAACACTCATTGAGTATTGAAGATGCCAAGTGAGATTTTGGCGAAACGTCTGCAGGATTCCAGTCGGATGCAGGATTTGCAGGATTCCAATCGGATGCAGGATTTGCAGGATTCCAGTCGGATGCAGGATTCCAGTCGGATGCAGGATTTGCAGGATTCCAGTCGGAGTTCAGCGAGCGAACGGATGATATCCCGGAATATAGTGTCATCATATATATATATATATATATATATATATATATATATATATATATATATATATATATATATATATATATATATATATATATATATATATATATATATATATATATATATATATATATATATATATATATATATATATATATATATATATATATATATATATATATATATATATGTGTGTGTGTGTGTGTGTGTGTGTGTGTGTGTGTGTGTGTGTGTGTGTGTGTGTGTGTGTGTGTGTGTGTGTGTGTGTGTGTGTGTGTGTGTGTGTGTGTGTGTGTGTGTGTGTGTGTGTGTGTGTGTGTGTGTGTGTGTGTGTGTGTGTGTGTGTGTGTGTGTGTGTGTCTGTGTGTCTGTGTGTCTGTGTGTCTGTGTGTCTGTGTGTCTGTGTGTCTGTGTGTCTGTGTGTCTGTGTGTCTGTGTGTCTGTGTGTCTGTGTGTCTGTGTGTCTGTGTGTCTGTGTGTCTGTGTGTCTGTGTGTCTGTGTGTCTGTGTGTCTGTGTGTCTGTGTGTCTGTGTGTCTGTGTGTCTGTGTGTCTGTGTGTCTGTGTGTCTGTGTGTCTGTGTGTCTGTGTGTCTGTGTGTCTGTGTGTCTGTGTGTCTGTGTGTCTGTGTGTCTGTGTGTCTGTGTGTCTGTGTGTCTGTGTGTCTGTGTGTCTGTGTGTCTGTGTGTCTGTGTGTCTGTGTGTCTGTGTGTCTGTGTGTCTGTGTGTCTGTGTGTCTGTGTGTCTGTGTGTCTGTGTGTCTGTGTGTCTGTGTGTCTGTGTGTCTGTGTGTCTGTGTGTCTGTGTGTCTGTGTGTCTGTGTGTCTGTGTGTCTGTGTGTCTGTGTGTCTGTGTGTCTGTGTGTCTGTGTGTCTGTGTGTCTGTGTGTCTGTGTGTCTGTGTGTCTGTGTGTCTGTGTGTCTGTGTGTCTGTGTGTCTGTGTGTCTGTGTGTCTGTGTGTCTGTGTGTCTGTGTGTCTGTGTGTCTGTGTGTCTGTGTGTCTGTGTGTCTGTGTGTCTGTGTGTCTGTGTGTCTGTGTGTCTGTGTGTCTGTGTGTCTGTGTGTCTGTGTGTCTGTGTGTCTGTGTGTCTGTGTGTCTGTGTGTCTGTGTGTCTGTGTGTCTGTGTGTCTGTGTGTCTGTGTGTCTGTGTGTCTGTGTGTCTGTGTGTCTGTGTGTCTGTGTGTCTGTGTGTCTGTGTGTCTGTGTGTCTGTGTGTCTGTGTGTCTGTGTGTCTGTGTGTCTGTGTGTCTGTGTGTCTGTGTGTCTGTGTGTCTGTGTGTCTGTGTGTCTGTGTGTCTGTGTGTCTGTGTGTCTGTGTGTCTGTGTGTCTGTGTGTCTGTGTGTCTGTGTGTCTGTGTGTCTGTGTGTCTGTGTGTCTGTGTGTCTGTGTGTCTGTGTGTCTGTGTGTCTGTGTGTCTGTGTGTCTGTGTGTCTGTGTGTCTGTGTGTCTGTGTGTCTGTGTGTCTGTGTGTCTGTGTGTCTGTGTGTCTGTGTGTCTGTGTGTCTGTGTGTCTGTGTGTCTGTGTGTCTGTGTGTCTGTGTGTCTGTGTGTCTGTGTGTCTGTGTGTCTGTGTGTCTGTGTGTCTGTGTGTCTGTGTGTCTGTGTGTCTGTGTGTCTGTGTGTCTGTGTGTCTGTGTGTCTGTGTGTCTGTGTGTCTGTGTGTCTGTGTGTCTGTGTGTCTGTGTGTCTGTGTGTCTGTGTGTCTGTGTGTCTGTGTGTCTGTGTGTCTGTGTGTCTGTGTGTCTGTGTGTCTGTGTGTCTGTGTGTCTGTGTGTCTGTGTGTCTGTGTGTCTGTGTGTCTGTGTGTCTGTGTGTCTGTGTGTCTGTGTGTCTGTGTGTCTGTGTGTCTGTGTGTCTGTGTGTCTGTGTGTCTGTGTGTCTGTGTGTCTGTGTGTCTGTGTGTCTGTGTGTCTGTGTGTCTGTGTGTGTGTGTGTGTGTGTGTGTGTGTGTGTGTGTGTGTGTGTGTGTGTGTGTGTGTGTGTGTGTGTCCACATTACGTAGTTCACTATTTAAGTTACACATTCTGTGCAATAAATATATTATTTTGTCCCAGATTAGTGTAAGCTCTAGGAAGTTCAAAAGTGATATTATTCCTTGTTAAATATGTAGGCACAATAAATTTTAATTTACTAATTAGAAGAGAACAATCAATTCTGCTCCAAACCATTTTATATAAAAACATTGCTTCAGCAACTTTTCTTTTTTAATAAATATCATGCTTTTTATTATAAAGATACCTCAAAAAGTACTTCTGAATCGTTTCTAATTCATTTTTATATACCGAATAATACTAACTCTAAATAATCGAACAAATCTCGAGAATACCCTTACATACGCATTGTACAGATTTCCTTTATTTTGAATACCGCAAGAATTTCAAACCACAAAGTCACATTTGTGATATGTCGATAGGTTTTCGAAAGAAAACAGCTAAGTTAATTGCTACCACTTTATACCACTCATACAAAGTTCTCTTCCATGAGGACCGCGCGTGTCCACGTCGTCGTCTTCGCGGGAAGTGTCACTTTACACGTCAGTTTCGTTTCCCATGAATCCGAGTCACTTCGGACATTTCCGGGATTTTCCTGCACGGATTTGGGAGCATTTCTCATCCTTTGAATTTTGACGTTTGTCAATTCTAACGGTCATGTCAGTGAATGTATTCGTGTTGTTTTGCGAAAACGTACCCAAAAACTAACCGTAGTAGAAATAGTACAGTATCCAACAAGTTCGGTAAACTTTTTAATTCACTCGTTTATTAAAAACTCGCTCCGCTCGTGTCAAATAAACTCGTGAGTCAAATACACCGCACTTGTTGCATAATATACTGTAAGTCAGCCCTATATTAAGCAGTAGCTCCGCTCATGCCAAATAAACTCATCACTCAAATGCCGTTTGTTGCATTAGCCGATTAAAGTTTGCCGGATTGTAGGGGGGATTCATTGCCCGGTTGACCCTGACGAGGGTTCGCAAATATCGTTGGCCAGGAACAAGGAATGGAAGTATTCATATGGCAAACAAACTCTCGATTTTGACGATTTTCTTTATTCTACCGCGAACGTTGCAAGAGGGCGTGTTCTAGGTCGAGTCACACGGAGGAGAGAGAAGAACGCGCAGTCGCTAGTGTGCTTCGTGACCTGGGCGAATGGTTAGGATGTGACTGGGTATGAGGCGCCACAAAAGTAAAGAAGAGAAGTATTGTGTTGAATTCCATTTTTCAAAACTCGTAACAAAAATATTTTTCTTTTTAAGTTATCTAGAATGGTAAGCGAAGAATCGCAAACCCTTATTAAACAACCGGATGATGTTGATATTACCAGTGACTGGAATTATTTTTTAACTCATCATGATAGTGAAATACACAAAATACCGCACTATTTTGATTTAAAACAGTGGACTCCTAATAACGTTTATCGAGCAAGGGTCAGTCATGTCTTTAGCCCTTCACATTTTTGGATTGTGACACTTGAACGGGAACTTGATTGTTTTCATATGTACCTTCACAATTTTTACACAAAAAATAAAGACCATTATAGAGTACCTATTTCCCACATCAAAAAAGGGATGTATTCTGTAGCATATACTGAGGGTTCATACTACCGAGGTAGAATTACTAATGTACCTCATCAGATGTGCAACAAAACATGGGCATTTGTTTACCTACTAGATTTTGGATATATGGCCAAAGTTGGGCTGGATGACATTTATTTCTTTACCAAAAAATTGTACAGAGTTCCGCAATTTGCTATACGTGCGACGTTAGCTGGTAAGTCTTCAAGTCGTAAATTTGTATGTCTAGTTTTATTAGAAAATTGCCTCATAATCAAGAATAATTTAGTTATTAGTTGGCTCCAAGCAATTCATTAAAACAAATTAAAGCAAGGAGTGATACTCAAAAGTATTTTTGTTTTAAATTTGACACTATAAAAAATTGAAAATTATAAGCTAATAAGACAAAACTTTATAAGGTCTTTATGATTGAAAGTCAAGCAAGGAAGCTTCTCTTAAATTCTAATAGCAAACTTTTTTTAATAGCCTGTACAAATGTCTAATTTCGTTTGCCTAGAGAGTCATTTTTGTTTAATATTTTTTAGGCATAGGTCCATTAAATTTAATTAACTGGTCCCCCGAAGTTGTTGCCCATTTTTGCCAGTTGGCAAATGCAAGAAAAATATTAATGGTTCAAATCAGACAAATAGATTCCATTAACAAAACTCTTATTGTCAGACTTGCAGAATACAATTATGACACACTTCAGGTGGAGGATGTTATTAATCAACTAGTAGTGGATAATATGGCAAAGCAGCTTACAATGATTGATTTAAAGGAATTAAAACACTTGGCAAAAAGAAGGAGAGCTATGGGTAGCAGGACTAAAATAAAATTTAGGTTTTTATGTCCATCCTTTGATGATATTGAATATGCCAAATTTCCTGATGCTTTAGTGGCTATTGATTATTTAAGAAAGATGCAAGATGATTCTTTATTTAGAGATTTAACTCTCAAGAACTAAAGTATTATAAGCAACAAAAAATACTTCATATAAATAAATGTTTTTATATTGTATTGTTTTATTGATGTCAATTGTTTTACCCAAATTGGCAATAATCAAGTTTTAACATTCGTTGAACATGGTAAGTAATTATTTAATAAAATCTGTAATGCAACTGAAACATTTTGGAAAATATTTTTCCAAGACATCCTGCCAAATGTAAAGATTGATCCCCAGGCAACCTTTAAAATGATGAATAAAATTAACCATCCTACTCACAACTGCATGCTAATCAAAGCTCGGGCAATGTTATTTTTATGAAAATAGATTTTGCGCTGGCAAAATATGACTAATGATGGACAAAAACAATTTAATCAGAATTATTTAGCATTTAAGGAGGAAACTGAATTAAATTAAAGATTTTAAAAGTTTTTATTGTAATATCTGTATTATGAATGTATATTTAAAAAAACTTACAAAAGCTTTACAAAATAAATATAAAACCAAATTCTTTTCCGCATCAGTGTCAGCATTATCCAATAATGAAAAACACCAAAGTCAAAAAAGATAATCACACAAAAATTCACTCACCTTTGGTCATTATCAAACTTTTCTAGAAATTTTATAATTCTTTGTCGCCATGTGTAATTGGCGAATCGGTAACAATTTTGGTCTACTTCAAATCCCTCAGTCTCAACTAATCATAATAACATAAAGGTGAATGAATATAAAATATTCACAAAAAAATGTGCGTACATAGTTCAACATCTGTACATTAACTTACTTCAGTAATATATACATTTGACTAGTCTGCAGCTTAACATTTTGTATATAATATAAATATGGTCGAACAATGTTAAATTCTATATGTCAATTTTCTTTAAGAATGGTCAAAATATTTTTTCACGTGCAACTTTTCAAAAATGAATTTTTTTTACTGAAAAAAAAAAGTTTAAAACTGATACGAGTGTAACTCGGTGATGGCTTATCTTATGCGGTTATGCTTATAACCGCATAAGTTATAATACTCGGCAATATGTTTCCATATGACAAATAATATGCTTTTAAAAATATTACTGCAAATGATAACATTTGATATAACATTCTCGCTACTCAGTCTTTTTACAAGTGGCTAGTCCAACATGGTTAATTAATTTTATACAATCTCTGTGTTATAAATTTAAATCCTAATTAACTACATTCAAATATGTATTTCTCCTTGCATGTTTAGTTGTAGAGTTTTTTTTTGACTTTTTCACAAAATTTATCAAGAATTAAATTTACTGTATTACCTGGATGAGAAGATAGTTTAAACAAACTACTACAACTATTGAGAGAACGAAGTGTAGGTACATCTATGTTTGCTTGGAGCTAAGTGCCATGATATTCAAACATTAAAGAACTTTTTTATCTTTTCCAGTTTTACATGTTGGGATGATTTTTTGTTATAATAATAATTTAATTTTTAATTCCACTTCAAAATGTTGCATTCTAAAATACGAAAGTCATTGAAATTATGACGTGAAATTAAAAAGTAAGAAATTATTCTCTTATGATTTTAAGAGAAATGGGAGAATGCATGATAGGGAGAAGCTGTGGTCAGTCTGCCACATTCTTTAGTCAAGCAGCATCACATATTATTACCTTAAGGAAAAGGTTTTTTCTCGATTATTCGTCTTGTAGTAGTAACATACACAAATGTCCATAATGTGCAAAAATAAAACATTTCCTTGTGGATTCAAATCTAGAACTTGGGAAACATGATTTGGTTATGTAATTAAAATTTTATCATTACTTTTATTGAACTATTGAAATATTTTCAATTTGAATAAGCGCAATTCTTTTATTATACACAAATATATTTTTGGTTTTCCGCAAATAACTATTAGTACCGCCTTGCTATAGATATAACAGCAAACACTTTTTTAAAATTGTCTGCTTTTCCTGCTTAAAAATTTGAATTTCTTTAAGGGATCTGGCACTTATAAACTTAGTTAGGGCAATCAAATTTCGTGTGTAATTTATAGACCAGGTCAATTCTAATTCTAATGTTTTAAGAGTGGCAAAACGAAATACCTTAAACACTAAAATACCAATATTTCCAGAAGTTTGTTTCATTATGCTGTATTGCAACATTGCAGTTTTTTTGCAGCTTGTATCTGGTCAAGCAATCAATATGTGCAATATTCTGTTTCTATGGGCTGCATTTCTGTTCCCATGAAAAAAAAAACTATTTCAATATCATGAAAAATTCCAATAAATTACGTTTTTAGCACCCACAGATTGCACTTTTTGATGCCATTTGAAAGTTATTTTGCAGTATCGTGAAATTCGGGAAAATTTTTGAGATAAAATTTGAAAATTTCTCAAATACATTTAACAATTTAAATTTGTCTTCAAAATTTTCATTTTTTCAGCTCAACATGATGGTACACGTATTCAAATTTTATTTCTGCCTATTCTGCAAATTTGGAAAAGCATGCCCTTTTTGTTCACACCTTGTTGCTTTAGAAATTTGCGAATACAAGCTGTTCAGAATATTCCTTTATTTTGTATGACCAGGAAATTAAAACTGCTTAATTATAAGAATCAAGTGAGGTCAATTATAAATATACCTGCTATTACCAAATCCCCAGAAACAAAATATACGCGATATCGCACATGTTGGAACATGTTTAGCAATAGTCTGTACCAATAGTGTCATCTGCGAAAGTAACCCTCTTCTAGCTGGGTTGAGGAGGCACCAACGGAGCATGAGGATGTAGAGCACTAACTGGCCGACTTCGTGTCTGCTCTACTTTTCTCATCTCGACCTGTTACATTATAAAACACATCCATTAGTAACAAAAATTCCATTAAGAAGTCAGTAACAAAAACGAAAATTCAAAAAGATCTTTTGTAAGCACTCCTTACCATATTTTCATGAAGCACTTCCATATACTCCCTGATTAAAGTAGCGATTTGAAATGCTTGTGCGGTAGTAAGTATAACTTTGCTCTGCTTATGATTACTTCCGGTAATAATCATGAGGCAGTTTAGTGCGGGTGAATAACTAAGTATTCCGCTGTAGTCATAAGTGCAAAGTGTGTTGCGAGATCTGTGTTCCAAAAGGTGAAGCCCTTTTTGGTCGACGGCCAGCCACAATACGCGAGGCCAGTTAGACGTAAATGATTGCTGAAAGAGTACAACCTCCACTAAATTGTTACAAAATCCATTTGAAATTTTACCATAACGTCAAATATGGTTGCCTTGTGCAGAGGCCAGCTTTGTATCAAATTTAAGAACGCCTGTTTCGCCTCAGATGGGGTCATTCCCCTCAAAGATTGGTGATGCATTTGTACACCGTCTTGGGGTACTGTCGGAACCATCCTGGCTGGAAGACAGTGGCAAGCAATTGGTCTGTAATCATGTATGGTGTCATCAAAATCTCCTAACTCCAACTGAGCTTGCAGGGCTGTTAGCATCATCTACCAAATTAATGAGAACTCATCTTTTATGTTCCAGAACTTCTCACTTGATATTTCTTACCGCTTCCTTATCGGTTATTGGGAATCTGTCTGTCCTCAAATCATGTAGGACTTGATGATAAAGTAGTTCTTTTTCAACTGGATCATTAAGATTGATGTAGTTATCCATAAACAGATGTTTTTTAAATAGAAAGAAATGGTGTTGAGGCCTCGTTCTTTTTGCAGTTCCTGTATTATTGGTGGCATTTGCCGCTGCTGAAGCGGTTCTGTATCGTTCCCACTTTGCCATTACATCCGCCACCTTCTCCTCTGCTGCTAGACTTCTTTCTGAATTACCCAGTACTTCATATATAGCATAACCTAAATAGTAGAGAGGGATATGAATTAATCTCCAACCCTCTCTGAGTTGTTTAATATATATTATAATTGATTAACTGACCTCTGGCATCTGGAGTAAGCCCAATTTTATCCCTAACAGTTTCTAACACGTCACGAGCTGTTGCAGATGGATGAAACTCTACTGAATGATATTGTCCGTCCATAAAATGAAATCTGGCATATACAGGACGTCTATTAATGGTACATAGGATTTCTTCCCGTGACGGTGGCCACTGTCTTCTCCTTGTACCTTGTGTTTTGAGTAAACATTTTTCCGCGAATCTTGCATATTTTCCTTCTTCTGTAACATAATCTGATCCACACCTTTTGAGATGTGCTATTAAATATCGGCGGATGACTTTGTTAGGTGGGAGAACAACCGAACAAGATAAAGATAACAAGGCCCAATGGCGCAAATTAACCCTGGAATTCGGATCGGGGTGGTCTGTTGTCTGTTTCACTAATTGGAGGTAAAGTTCGCAAAGTAAAGAATCTTTTCTCATACAGCGTTCCAAGATAGTTTGCAGTAAGGACACATGCTCATCTTCAACCCTTCGAATTACCTCACCTAAAAAAAGCGCCTTACAAAAATTACGACACCAGTAGCGGTTATTACCATTTTGTCCTAATCCTGCATAAGTTAAGATAATTTGAAAGACCTGTAACATGATCTGTTCTTCTGCCTCGGGCATTCTACTTATACTTTGAGACAATGGTTGCCTGCTGAACGCCCAAAACGCGTAATGGAAGCCCTTATATGTTTCGCCAGTATCTCCACCGTGTTCTTGCCTTAATTTGTCCAACTTGTGTTTGCTCAGTCGGCGCAAAGTGTTTCGTAAAAAGCTACCGGAAGAGTCCATCGGTTTCCGAAGAATTTCATGATCTACTAGGGCCCTTCTGCAGTTTACAAGATTATGATACAAACGTACCCGATCTTCATTGGTAATACCTATAAAAAGAATATAATACGATTTGCTTCTCGCGTCGAACGGAATTTAACCTACTCTTGATTCGTTTTTGTGGGGTTTCACTCTCGGTTAGCCATCCCGCTAAAGACGGACAGTAACTAGCAATTAGAGATCCAATTTCATTTTTCTGTTTGGTTTCAAACACGTAACACTTGTGATTGTTTTCACCTATGTGCCTTTGAAGAGTCAGTGTAATGAAACTATCGCTAGGGTCCAACAAGATGCTTTCCACATCTTGATAGCGAAATTCATTTAAAACAAATTTATCGTCACTTTTGATTAGCATTATTCCTTCACAGTTCACGCCTAATATTAAAGCGTTTCCGTACGACCAATAACCCCGGTATGTGACGGGAAACATAGTGGTTCCGTAGAGGGGATACTGCATCACGCACGACAAATAAAGGGCTTTCGCTGTTAGCTCAGTTCGATTCGCGCCATACTGACGATGAGCTTGGGCGATGATGGGCACCTGGATATGTTATATATACAGGGTGGAGCAATAAGTGTCGCAAAGTACTAATATTTCCTTTACTTATCAATATTTTGAAAAATTGTTTTATCAAAACGTAATAATTTAAAAAATATTCTCAGTTATACAGGCTGTTTCAGAAAAGCGCCAAAGCACTCTACATATCCTTGACTATATCAGAATCCCCCCAAGAAATGTTTTGCAAATTTGAATGCAGCGGGAGAAAGTAGAAAATATTAAATGATCTCCTATACTCTCAACCTGCTGCTGCTAAAATATTAAAAATGGACCTCAAATGTATTTTTAAGGGTTTACTAAGCCTCCAGAGGAATTAATTGATGAGCATTAAACTAATTCCTCTCTGAATATTTAAATGGAACACTCCGTTATCCCTCTACCAGTTTTGTTAAGGTTAATGGTAACAGCTAAATAAGATAAAATAGGCAGATATAGAGTGTGTTTTAAGCTTGGTTTTAAGGTTCGTCAGGTTGGCAACATTTTAGACAACACCTGTATCAAATAGTTATTTATGAGCTTTTCTAAAATTTTCTTAGAAACTTCTTAGAGACATCGTGATATGCATAAAAATATGCTCTTCAATTGCCACGTTTTTATGGAATACCCAATATGATTGTATTGAAATATTTTTCAAAACTGTGATAAATACGGGATACATAATCAAAGTTTTGCTATCACGGCAGGAGCATCTTTTTATAAAATCGTTCAAAATAATATTTTTCTTATTGTTAAAACTATTTTCCTGCTAAATTTGATTCCTCAGATGTATCAGGTAATAATTATTGTTTATAATGTTCAAGACTTACCCATACATCATCGCCTCTAGTTTTAGAAATTCTGTAAGGTAAATAGGTATCAATATCCGTATAGTATTCGAGTTTATTGTTATCTTTGGGATTGCCTAGCGCCACCTGAGCCTGTAATCCAGCCAATTGCAGTGCCACTTTTTCTGTGACAGGAAAATCGTCGCACTAAAATATTTAACCAGGAACTCAATATCATCATCAATAAATTTCCTTATTTTTATTTTACAAAATTATCAATTCGAACAGCAGAAACTGTCGAGAGATTTTTTTGTGGAATTCAAATATGTAACTATAACACATAATTAAAATTATAGATATTAATACATTGTCATTAAAAATTTTAAATGAGTAAAAAGTTAAGTGTTAAGGAAAAATATTTCACTTAGTGAAAAAATTACTTTTACTTGAATCCGAGTTTCACTTTAAAGTAAGATGAATCGAAGGCAAGAATAAAATTCTTGTCTTTAATCTTTAAAATAAAATCATAAAAATATATTGTATAAATAATCACCCGTCTTCCCACCCCACCAAACAAAAAATAAATCAAAAAATTATCGATGTACCTTAACTATGCTATGTACAGCTTGAGCGTATAATAAATTAACCTCGACGGGATCTTGACTAAGTTCACGACTAGATTTGAACAACCTCCTTTTGAATATAAATCGGTTTTCACCTCCGGTAAGGCCCTGACCACTTCTTCGACCCAGCGTCGCCAGACCACCGGTCGGGGCCAGTTTGTTTTGGTTCCTAGAATTAACCATTCAATGCTATTACCTAGCGGAGCATTACATTGCAAACTTGCATTTCCCACTGCGCAATAATGTCATACAAATAATGGTGGGCTCGGACATGTTCTTCTCCATCCTGCCTACTTTGGTATATCGCCCAACCATCCAAATTTTTTAATCCAAGACGTTCGGCCAATTTTTTGGCTGCGTTACCGGCCGTGTCTGTTGGATGAACATCTATTGCTTTGGTGCGTCCATCCAAAAAGAAAAATCTACAAACTATTGTTCCCAATCTCTTCATTGCCTAAAAGAACATCATTGGAAAAAAAAAAGGTAAAAAGTAGTTTCAAAGACATTCTCTCTTACCGCTACTTCCACCGATGAGGGCGGATGCTCCCTTACAGTAATTTTATTGTTGTTACAATTATCCAAACACCACTGAACGTACTGGGTGATACGTCCACCTTGGGATAAATTTTTCTTGAGAAATGAAAGAAAATATCTGTAGAGCAATTTAGACGGTTGAAAGGCTACGACGCACAGACACAAGAGTAACCAGACCTTCTCGGTCGCCTCTGGGCTGGGATTATTAGTCGCTTGACGTATACATTGAACGAACACTTCATCTCGCAATTCTTCCCGTTCCAGCGCGTATCCAATGATGGATTGTATGACCTGTAGTTCCCTTTCGGCATTTAGTTCACCCCGAATGTACTTGGATAAGTCCTAGAAAATTATTCATCTTTATTTATTTAATTGCAATTGGATAAAGAGGGTAAAATTAAGAAGGTGCAAAAATATATGGGTTAACATATACAAAAAGGAACACTACTATTAGAAAATATATTCAACAAAACCTTAGCTTATGAATTCCTTTAATAATTTTGTTGTTATACCAAAGTAGACACAATAATAATTTAGGGTGGGTTTGATAAATTATGGCATTGCTTTGCTGCATCTTTGACGCCTGTATTACAAAATGACATATATTCTTCTGTAAATTTTGGTAATACGTTAAAATAATTTTCAAGAATTTTCTGGTAAGGCATTATTCTTCAATATAAGCATCTTAAGTTTCCCAATTACAATCTAATCCGTCTTAAACTGGTCCAAATGTTTTAAACAAAATAATGTTTGTCGTAGGAAGCTCTAGAAACCAAATTTCCATGTTTTTTTTTTAAACTGCGAGAAACTGTGAGGGCAGTAACGAAAAATATTTTAAATCATTCAATACACATTGAAACAAAGAAAAACTACTTACTCTAAATATAATACAAGCCACGTTCACATTGTCGGGATCATACATATGTATGTGCGAATTTGGAATAGTGGTGCCTTTGTAATACGTGACCATTTCATACTTAGGTATCATTTCGGAGCTCTGACGTTTTCTAGTCAACGTTGCAATAATCGTACCCTCGGGACTCCTTTCGTGAGCATTAAAATGAATATTGGCAAACTCGACCATGTCATAATGGAGATCGTCGATATTATTTTCCTTTTCGTTTGTTTCATTCAGTTCCTGTAGTTTCTTTTCGATTCTCACTTTTCGTCTTTGCTCGCGTTCTACATTATTTATATTTTCATGAAGGAGTTCATGGCTTTCCTTTTGATTTTTCCAATTCTGCGACTGCAGGGACAAGTATTTCATGGATTTTATTAAAATTGAAAACACTGTTACATACCAATGTACTGCTTGACCTAGAAACTTGAGGAGTAACCTTTGGACTTTCAGACGGCAACCTAGGAGGTGCTGGCAACGGTGGGGGCGATACGCAAACTGGTAAAGCTGATGGCTCTTCTCGCGGTAATACTGATTCATAGATAGGTTCTGTCCTGTTCTGGCACTCTTCTTTTTTATCGGGAGGTGCGGCTTCGGTTTCGGGAGATGACTGAAAGGCGGGAGGCGGAGGAGGTGGTGGTCCTGTGGGCTCCGGCAACGTAGGATGACCCATTTTGGGGGGGGTTGGCAATTGTTGCTCTTTAGCTAATCCTAAAAATAGTGGGGGTGCTGTTTGTCTACTGACTGGTTGAAAAAGTTTAATGTACTACATACCCTCCAGTTCCTGCTGAATTACAGTTTCCAGTTCAACATCTAGATCCTCAACAAGCTCATTCATTTTTTCACCAATTTCATCAATGATGTTATTGCGATTCTGGGGTTGAACGTCAGAAAGAAAAGCGAATAAATTATCTAGATCCACTGATTCTGTAACTGGTTCGGTTAATCGTGGTTTCAGTTGTTCAGCCATATGGGATAAAGCAGCTATTTCCTGTTCGGCAGCTCTATAACAAAAAAATTATAATTATCATAAAGGCCAGTTTTGAAACGGAGTGTTTACCTTTCACTCTCCTCCAACTCTCCATTCTGAAGGTGAGGCATATTGGTTTCTTGATCCTTTTGGTGCTCCCGCCTACTGATATCAGCTTCTCTAGCTTGCTTTTCCTTGCGTTCCATTTCTCTTTGTTTCCTTTCTTCCTCTAGCTTTTCCCTCTTCCGCATTTCCTCTTCTACTCTTCGCATTTCTCTTAGAGCTGCTGCCACCTCTCTGGCAAATACTCCGCGCAAATGACTCTGAATAACAATAGCGGCCCTTCTCTTTCTCAAAAACTCTATCCTTAATTTCCAACCCTTATAAGCGTGTTGAATTCTTAGGACCGCATTTCTTATTTTTAAAAACTCTCTCCTTGCTTTGTACTTTCGATAAGTCTTTTGTATTAAAATTGCTTTGGATTTGAGCATCTTGTTACGAGTGTCTTCCAACGGCTCGTGGACGTGAGATCTTAAGAACACTTTGGTTTTTCCCAACTGCCATTCGGTTTTCGGAAGTTTATACGATTCTATCAGATGCAGAGACGCGGTTTTTACGTCAGGAGGTAGGCGATTTTTTGATAAACAATGATATCTAAAAGTATAAACAAGATTTGGCTTCTGTACCCAACTTTATTTTCAATCCAAATATCTTACTAATTATACTTCTTAATTATATCATCGATTGTATTACCTTATTACAAAGTCTTCGTATGCCATGTGAATTGGAAAACCTTCTTTTCGTATTCTAATTATATCCAACATTCCTAAATATTTCAGCTGGTCGAGCACTAACGCGTCATCATAATCATTTGGGAGCTTGTCTTTATTTGGCTTAATGCATCGAACGTACCATGGGGTGGTCGACTGCAATACGTCAACCAGTGCCTGCAGTTGGTACCTGAATGTGTCAGAAACAGTGGGTTTTCCTTTACTAGTGCCTCGGGAGACAGTGTTCACTCCATTAGTAACTTGGACCTTTTGGGAAAGATCTTGGAATGTCGCCAAGTCTTGCACAAATTCGTTTGTGCTTCGAGATATAATGTCAAAAAATACATCTTGCTGAACGTCGCGATTTTTATCGACAAAGCCCTTTACATTGTAGGTCACACAACCGGCGTAGTGTTTAACACCGAATTCTGTTTCCCAACGACGCTTGTCGTCACCTAGATATACATGTTATATTTAAGGCTTAAGAAATTTCAACTTATCTCTTTGTTATATAATTTATTTCATGTTCCTGTTTTTTCGATAATTATTTTTTTTGCTATAGTTTAGACAAACTACGAAAAAAAAAAAGAAAAGAAAATGGTGGCACCAAAATGTGACATCATATAATATGAACTTTTTCGAAATTGGAAATATACACTTCAGATAAACAAACTAATGCAACCTACATGGATTTTGTGAGGCAAATTTTATTCAAAGTGGGATGGGTATTAATGGTTATTGTTTTCTTAGTCACTAAAGGGCTATAACTGTATGAGAATGTTGATTATTTTATTTCTAAATTTTTCCAATGTTTTCCACATTCTTTGAACTAAGTGTTTGTAATACATGTTGATTATTTTTGACCATGCAAATCATGTTTTGTAGAATAGCCACTATTATTTCCATATAATACGTAATAATTGAAGAGTGGAAATTTATGTGGGGTATATACCATTTTTTGATATAACATTATGCGTTAAAATTGTTATGCCTATCGTAATAACTGAGTAGCCTGCATTTGCCTTATTTTTACGAACACCGGCAAATTATAAAAATTGTTGTAAATTTAAACAGTTTTTCTTGATTATCTCAAAAAACCCCCCTTTGCCATTTCCACGCTTCAATGGTTAATTAGATTTAATCATTTATATGACATGATAAGTTATATTTGTGCGTATTATTTAGAAATAACAAATACCTTTTTAATTGTCACAAAAATCTATTTTCCTCCTTTTTCCGAGAAATAAAAAATTGGTTAAATGTTTAGGTACATTACTGTGTATTTCAATTCTAAAGTCTTATTGCCATTTTCTGATCAATAATTTGAATTTCTAGATATATCAATTTGTATGCGCTTATTCTATTTATATAAATGACCAAGAGAAACACAAGAATCTCTATTACTAGCCATCTTTTTCTATGCCAAAATTTGCCTCACTTGTCTATGACGCCATTGTCATTATACAAGTCTATCCTACCTTTGACGTATCTTTCGTGATTTTCAAATTCACCATGTAAATTTGTAATATACGACGCATCACAGCCCCTTGGCAAGTGGCATTGTTCACTTAAAAGCCTTAAAATACAACGTGGCGGTTTTTCCAGTAACTCTAAACACAATGTGTTATCGGTAAATGAGATGTGATTAAAATTAATTTCTTCCTGCTGGTACTGAAACAATTCGGCATTTCATAAAAAATTATTGTCTCAAAAAAGACAGCTTACTTACTATTTCCTGCTCGAGGGCAAATACGTAATGATTAAAAAATTTGTGCAGCTTTTCGTTGGTATAGTTTATGCACAGCTGCTCGAAAGAGTTTACGGCAAAATTTTCGAATCCAAAAATATCGAGCACGCCCAAAAACCTCGAAGAATCCTGCCCCGGGTTTATACAATTGTTTATGTGGTTTATCAACCACGCGAAACTGCGTGAATATAACGCCTTGGCCATCGCATGGCGATTTTCCCTTGCCTAATGGAGTTCGCATCGCTCAAATTAAAAGCATAAAAAAATAGGAATGAGTTACCTGCTGCACCGTCAAAGGAATTTCCGTAATGTTCCCCCTCACATTTATCTGTCTCAACAAAACAACTTGCTTTAAACTATCATTCTCTAATCCTAACAACTTAGATAAAATATCTACAATACTTTCGTCTTCTTTGGTTAGTTGACATTTTTCTCCATCGACGTCTTCAAATTTTAAATTACCTGCATTAAAAACGTATATCTCTTATGTTCAACATAATATTGTCTCTATCAACTGTGCAGCAATATATAAAAGACATAGCATGTGCTGCGCAACCGCAAATAAAGCTTTACCAAAAATACTTGCCTAACCACAAAATGGCTGATAGTGTTTGGAATATTCCATTGCACATGTTTACAGGTACCTGGAGAACTTGGAAGGCTAATCTTAAACTATCTAATCTTCTAGCGTCACCTTCGAGCTTAATACAGTCTGATTGGTTTAAATATATGTAGAAGTTTGCTTCCCTCAGATGAAGGTTTGTGGCGAGTTCATTATTGTGCTAAAAATTATATATTTCTCAAAACACACCAACATTCAAATGCTAATAATTATCTCTATTCTTGTGTTTTTTTTTATATAAATAGCTGCCTACTCTTTCATGTTTTTAGCGTTAATACAATCTTATAAACTATTACGTGCCAGTATTTTTTTTATTTTATAAGTATTAACAAGAAATAGCAATAATTTAATGGTCTAGGTCAAGGATTTTAATGCGTAATATAGGTGTAACGAAATAAAAACCCGTATTTAATTAAATTACCTTCGCCTCCTCCACTAGTTGATAAAATACGTGATAATTTCGTTCCCCAGGTCCCTGGAACGTTAACCTAGATTGTTCTAATAAATAATCTTGCACTATACATCCTGCTATCATCCACCTTGAATCGAAACACACTTGCATGAATTTGCCGAATCTGCTCGAGTTGTCATTCCGTACGGTTTTTGCATTACCTTAAACGTATGTTTAATAAATAAATATATAAATAAATAAACATATAATAAGTCTGACCTGTTCTCTGACCAGGTAAATTTTAAGTAAATTAAAAAACAACAATACACACCAACATGGAGAGCTAGGATAGTTTTCATGCAATTTAATTCGCTTTTTACAAACAAAGAAAAAATCCAATAGAAAAAAGTCCACATTTTGAACATATGTTTGCATGAAATCACTTTTCACCATTCATAACGAAATGCACATGCTTTTTGAGAATTTTCGCAAAATAAGGGGCAAAGTCTCTTCTACAAAATTTATTAGTTGATTTTCGAGATATACGAGGTTAGCGCCAAAATTTTCCGGCCTGACATAGATGCAGCTCCAGTATCAAGATAAAACTTTATCTTCTTTTAAATATATATCTTAGTAGGCTGCGAAAAAAAAAAGAAGTCTTGCGTCAAATAGTTTTTTATTCATAGCATTATAAACAAGACGTGTCCGAAAAAATGTCGCAAATAACGCAAATTAAGTATAGAGTAGTCATAAAGTTTTTGACAAAGGAAGGGTTAGCACCTAAAATTATTAAAGAAAGGCTGGATGGTGTGTACGGCCAAAGTTCTACTTGGTATTCTGTAGTGAAAGAATGGGCAAAACGTTTTCCAATGGGGCACGAGTCCCTTAAAGATGATTCAAGAACTGGTCGACCAGTGGAGGTCATAACGGAAGATATTGTTGCGACTGTGGAACAGGTGGTATTGAGTGATCGACGTTTAAAGGTCAAGGAAATCTCAGAAATTACTAAGCTTTCTGATACAAATGTTCGTCGAATCCTGCATGATCATTTAGGTATGCATAAGATTAGTGCAAGATGGGTTCCTAAAAACCTTTCGGCTATTCAAAAACAACGCCGTGTTGAGTGTGCGCGGTCTTTTTCGGAACTCTGTGGGTCGGAACCGAAGCCTGTGATAGAAACTATTGTGACGGGAGATGAAACTATGGTTCTCTATTATGACCCTCTATCGAAAAAAGAATCAATGGAGTGGCGTCGTAAGGGTGAAGCACCTCCAAGAAAATTCAGAGTCTGCCAGTCAAGAAATAAGGTGATGGCCACGATCTTTTGGGATTGTGAAGGAATTCTTTTGATAGATTTTAAAGAAACTAATACCACTGTCAATGGTAAATATTACGCAACATTATTACATACATTGGGAGACTGCATACGTGTAAAACGTCGAGCAAAACTGACCAGAGGCGTGCGTCTTTTGCACGATATTGCACCTGTCCATACTGCTGGTGTTGCACAAGTTGCCATTTTAGAGTGTGGGTTCCAACAGATAAATCATCTTCCCTGTAGTCCAGATATGGCCCCCAGCGACTATTATTTGTTTGGTTATTTGAAAAAGGACTTACGTGGATGGCTGTTTAACGACGAACTTGAATTAAAAGAGGCTGCTTTAGCTCATTTTGCAGGCAAACCAAAATAATATTTCTTAAAGGGATTGAGTTGTTAATAAAGAGATGTAATAAGTGTATTGAAGTTGAGGGGGATTATATTGAAAAATAATAAACTATTGTTACTCTGCTTTGTTTCTATCATATTCAGGCCGGGAAATTTTGGCGCTGCCCTCGTAACCTGTTTAAAACCTGTTCGACAAATATGAATCTACACCAACGATGGCATTTGAAGAATTCGTTTTTAACATTGGACATTTTATTGCGCTGTAGTTACGATTGGCAGGTTCTAGCTCAGCAGGACACTGATCACTACAGTGATCCCTCGGTATGGGAGCGACACTCTCTCTTTCTCTCTCTAAACCTCTCTGTTAAGCTAAAAATGTTTAAGGAGGCTTAAGGGGAGAGTTAGGTCTACAATAAAAGAGAGGTCTAAAATGGGAGAGGTGTTTAGAATAAGAGAGAGGTTTAAAGTGAGAGAGAGGTTTAGATTAGAAAGTGCGAGAGACGGGGAGATCAGAGATGGGCGGGGGAGAGAAAAAGAGACTCGGTTCTATACCTGAGAAAATTCGGGAGACCACAGAACAATCTGTATACTAAATTTCAAAATTGTCTGGCAAACCGACATTTTGTAAGTGATTCCAATTAACGAGGAAAGCAAAAAAAGTGTTACGGATATTTTATGTAATTAATAAAGTGCAAAACAAGCATCTCATCCATTTAAGAAAAAAAATTGAGAATCTTTGTTCAATTAATTTTTATATTTAAATATAATTGTGAGACATCTGCTATATATTACACTAAGGATCATTAACTAAATAAGCAATTAGCAAATTTTAATAGATCTACGCAAAAGTAATCAATATCTAGGTATAGATTTTTACAACTTTACCAAATCATTCATCATTTCTGAAACGAGCTTAACTGATGACCATTATTTAAGGTCGAAGTGATCGATATGAATTATTTGGTGAGTTACGTCGGTTCAACTAACAACCTATCAACAATTAATCAACCTAGGGAGTTGGCAAAAGGCATACCGAAAGCTTCCAATATCGTATTAGCCTCTAGAATTTGCTGTTCGACCCAAGCCGAAACTCCGCTGGTAACAGAACATAAATATTGCAGTATAAACCTAGTGCTTTCTGTTTTTCCCGCGCCACTTTCGCCGCTGATAACCAGGCTCTGGTTTTTGTGCTGTCGTCCGGGTGTCGGGGATCCCATTTGAAGCGAGTTATATGCCGCCTCCGCCAAAGCGAACACGTGTGGCTCCAGTTCGCTCATTTTTCTGCGGTGATATTTGGTCACGTATTCCTGAAAATACAAATATCGCTGCTGTTTTACCTTGTTTCGTTTTCCCTATATATTTTTCAAAATGAAGACTTAAAACATCCTTCTCTCGCGCAAACCATTGTAAACAAATCTCTGATATTTACGGATGGACAAAAACAGTCCCACTGTTTTTCACGGTATTTACGTAATCTGTCTTTGCAAATTTGCCAACCTTTCCCGGTTTTACTTGACTTTTAAAACAAAATTCAAAGTTTAAAAAAAATATTAAGAATGCAGGCAGTTATCACGAAAGAAAACTTTTCGGTCACTCAATGTAAACCTGGCAGATTGAACTAATATGAATAGTCGCGTTTTTTGTATTATTTCTGCCAAAAGTAACAAAAGTAACAATTCATATATTTTTTACAAAAAGGTAAATATCAAAAAAACTATTAGCTTTGAAACAAATTAATGGTAGTTTAGTTGGAGCATTACCTGGATAGAATGACGTCATTTTTGGTTGGTTTTGTTTAATCTATGCCAAGTGACAAAAAATTTACAGCTAATAGTTTTGAACATCTTGGCTTTTTTCAATTGAAAAAAGATCAAGTGAAAAATTGAATCCACTGATAATGTAATTGAACAAGCTTCAAATGCAACGCAACTTAGCGATACAACAATCATCAATATCATTTTGTACGTTTAGGTTAGGTATCATTACTAAAATATAAATAATATAAAAAATATGTTATTTGAAACCACCGTAACCTCATTTCAGAAAGGTAATACGCCAACTATGGTAACAGTTATGTTTTGAATTCAATGGATAAAAAGAGTCGTTAAAAAAGGCACCGATTGTGATGTGGTTGTTTTTGGATATTATTGACAATGCAATGTCACAAAAAACTACTTTATTGGAAAAGATAACAAAGACAAGTTGTCATTCTTATTAAACGACAAAAAAATATCGTTCAAGTACAAAAAATTAAAATGAATGATGAATAATAATTTACTGCTTAAGAAATAAATTGTATCCAGAGTAGTATAATATTTTACATTCTCTCTAGGAATAAAACATTGATCCAGGTACACACGTTGTAAAAAAATCGTATAACCTATGAGATAATCAAATCCTCGGCAATTTTTCGTAACGCTTGGTGTCACTTGCAATAACCACTTGGTAAAGGTGACGCCTCGATCGATACAGCAATCCGCAAATGATAACGATGCCCATGAAAATATTTTTCGGATAAAAAGAGATACATATGATGATTCTTATGGAAAGGTTTGTTCGGTTTTCAACTTGCAATGACGAAGTCGTCGACCGTTGTTGCAATACATTTACAGGTTCATTTCTTAATTCTGCTGCAACTTAATAAAAAACTGCGCGATTTTAAAAAACAACTATTTTGACGGAATTTACAGGATGTTTCATTAACAATGGGATTTACGGTTTAAATAATGTTCATCGACCCAAGTAATGTTGAGAGTTAAAATTGTTCTTTTTTTGGCAATAACATGAAAAGTATGGGTTGTTAAATGGTTCAATTTGGCAGCTCCAGGTTTTGTAAAGATTTAAATTTCAATATAAATCTGACAATATTTTTAATGTTATTCATATATACGGCGATAATTACAAGCTAACAGTGATAAATACAAAAATTTATTCTGCTAAATTCTAATGAAAATTGGATTTCAAAATCGGAAAGAAATGAAATATTTGAAAAAATCTTATTTCTATAACTTAATAACCTAATATAATTTGAACTTCTGATCGTAGGTGTCTTCTAAATAACACTTCCTTTATTAGGTAATAAACGCTAAAGGGAACTCGTACTTTAATTTATAAAAAAGGTAAGCTAAAATGATAATGAGTATTATTAAAGAATTTCCCAAGCATGACCGACCGCAAACAATGATTTTACAAAAACAATTTCCCACGTAAGTAAAGGATGTCTAAATAACATTTTCCCAGAAAACCGTCGGTGAGACGTTCTACATGATGGAGAAAGATATTTGTACAGAGAACAAAGCAAAATTATAGAGGCATAGAACAAGCAAATGAGTAATTGGAATTTAGAATTATTTAGACGCTTATATTTAAATTTAAATTATTTAAAATATATTTTTACCTGTCTCTATCTTCTCATTTTCTGCTTGCGACATTAATCGAGAATGTTAAATGTAAATTCTCTGAAGAAAATTAAGTAGGTAATTTTGCAATATTTTTCTCGAAGGAAATTATGATTTCGACAAGAGAGAAACGCATATGAACTGACTTAAAAGAACAAAAAAATCACCAGTTTCTCCCTTGACGCTCGTTATTCATTTCATCATTCATAGAAGGGACAATAACTTCAAAAGGAATTTCAAAAAACGTTACTTTTATTATCAAATCCGCACTAAAATTAAACAAAACATCCTCAAGAGATAAACAATCTCCTAACTAAATAATTTTTAGACGACAATTTTCGGTTCTCATGGTCCTCCAGGCTTGTCGGAAGTGTGATGACATTGTTCTCTCTTAATAATTTAAATAAGTATCAAGTCGTGCGTAATACGATAATTAATATGCACTTTGTTTAGTCTCTCACTTCCTTTCCCAGTCTACTTTTTTCTGCGGCATCCATAACAGTTTTATTGTTGGGGTTATGTATACAATTGACAAATAATTCTTTTGTTTTCTACTTGATAAATGATAACATTATAAGTCTAGGGGTTAAGTGGGTTCTTGATAAATAAAATCGCTGGATCCGTATTTTTGCAATTCCTGAATTGGCCGACTTCTACAGGGCGTTCAATGTCGGACTTTTCTTCACCACAAAAATTTTCTTTTCGTGTTTGATACACAGGGTTAAAGTTTATATACCTTTTTGAATATAACGCAAAATAAGTATACGGGGTCAGGTTAATAAGTTATCTTTATATTTTTAATGGCAACACTCTGTGTGTTAAGAATATTACATTATTCATTATTATTAATAATGAACTTTTATTGTTTTATCAATTACGAATTTGATATGTTTTTAACATTTATTACGTATACACAATGTATATTTCAAAAAGGCTATTTCTTAAAAATAGTATTAAAACAAACATAAATTATATTTACAGAGTAATTCATCCATGTAATACATCTTTTGCTTGTTATTGAAATAATTTTTGATGACAGGCTAAAATATTCATACGTATACCAAGTAAGTATCAATTCCTGGTCTGCACTGGTAAATCTGGGTTCAACTTTTGTACTCTTTTTTACTGAACGGAACTACGTTTACTGAACTTGGGTCAACCAAAATAAAATTAACATCAAGTACCAATATCTACAACTTTCATCTTTTTGATATTAAGTTTCATACCGTTTCTAAATGTCAGCGATGAATTACTGCTTTTAGTAGGAAATTGTCATTTCTATTCGCATAAGAAAAAGAAAATGCATGCCCAGTTATCGCCATATAGCGATTAGATAATATATTGCCCTGCTATGGTAAAATTTGATTTTTTTAATGAATTTTTTGAGCTTCACTTGTCAAACCACCATACATTTTTTTATGGGGAAGACTCTATTTATAGATTACATTCTGGTCGATTTCCAGTTAGTTTTGCTGTTCCAAAAATGTCTAATATGGAACTAGAAATCCTTACCGATTTAATAAATTATTTTGAGTTATTGTTTATTAAGTAATGATTGTTTGAGACACAATTAAGAACTAAAAATATCGTAAATATAACTTTTTGCCCATAGGCATAGGTAAATTTTGTGCAATAAAATCATTTTACTAGTTTTTTTATTTTCCTAGTTTGGTACACTTGTAGTGGATAAAAATGATAAATAGAAAGAATTTTGCAACGAAATTTCCGCCAAACAATGAAAGTGGTTTAAATATTCTTTGGGTGATTCTGAGGTTCCTTTGCATACCTAATGAAAGTAATATTGTTCGTGTTATAAAGGGCCACATTTTAACAGTTTCGGTTTAAATTTTTAGAAAAACAAACATAGGAAACTCGGGAAAAAGTATATATTTTTTATTATATTACTAGCCCAAAACCACAATTCAATTTCATTGCAAAATATGCCAATCGTTTCGAGTGCTGTATGACATATATTTTGGGCAATGAAAAGTTGGAAATCATTGAACGATAGCAATCATCATTGCTGGGAATGTCGATCAATGGACAAATTATAATCTTCAGCACTACTGGATGATTTCTACGCGTTGTTTGTAAATCTTTCTATGATGAAATGGCAATGCAAACTGAACAACTTCACTTTGACACCTAGTAGTACGAATCACGCAAAATAATCACAATTACATTTTTTGAAACATCCTGTATGTAACTGACTAGTATACTCAAGTATCATTTGAATTGACACGCTTTAGTTAGCTATAGGAATATTTTTTTATTTAATAAATGAAGTTTGGTTAGTTTTCAGCGACTTACCTGAGAATAGATGTCAATATCTTTGTAAGGATTCACGGCGACCAAAATGGAACCGGTGTAAGTCTAAAAATCTAATTAAGGAAAACAACGGGACATTTTTTACTGGTCCAGTGCCGAACAAAAGCTTGTCCTGCACCTACCAAATAAAGTGCAAAGCGGTAGACAGAATAAAACAACAGCACGCACGCTCCCGCTGTATATCCAATAATTCTTTCGCGTAGTTGGGTTAATAATTAAATATACGTTTTTGCACAATTATAACAGAAATTAGAATTTTAACGAAGACCTAATTAAATATATGTTACATAAAATTAAACCACAACTTAAGCGTTTCATTAAATTTTATCTAAAAACACTGCGGCGCGGTTATCTCAGTGGGACGTTTGACATCCGTTGAATACGATATAAAAACCTCAGCAAGGTAAAAACTATTTTTCCTATCTCTAATACGTATTGCAAAAATAATATATAATTTACGTTATTTTATCTACATACGAAATGGTGGCAATATTAGGTTAGCTTCATGTTGCGACATAAAATTCCGTTATTTGAACACTGTGTATAAGCTAGAATTAAAAAAATCAAAAAAGTAGTTCGCATTAGGTGTTTTTCCAAATTTTTGATCGAATATAGAGATGCTTGAAAAATTGTTGATTTCCATAATTTGATTTTGGTCATTAAAATGTTGCTTGTCACATTATTATTAACAACAAAAATTGTTTTTTAGTATATTGATAGAGTAAAAGCTGTTTGTTTCTACGATGACTGATTATCTAGTACTGTTACTTCTAATACTGTATTGATAAAAATGAAATAATGAATAACGAACCATTTTAGTAAGATTAAATAGTTAAACTATTCACTAAACAGATTTTGCTGTATATTACGGGTTTTGTTGTATCTCTTTCATCATTTTATATTGATGTAAATAATTGAGGATATTAGGCCTTTTGTTGTAATTATTGTTGTATTTCTTTCATTATTTCATATTGTTATAAACAATTGAGGATATCGATTAACAGTAATCAGGTTTAATAAATGGCTACTATTATCGACATAAAATGTTTTGTTATTATAGTTTTATCTTTGTTGGTATCGGACAACAGTAATTGGATGTATAAAAATTAATTGTCAATTAATAATTAAATTTAATCAAAATTATATATGGGGCAATACTTATCTGAAAGGAACTACAGCTACAATTAGTTTCAATGCTAAGAGGTGCGAAAAACTTAATTGCGGTGACAATATTTAAGAAAAATAACTTGCAGTAACTTTAATGAAAAGAAACATTAATTTCATTAGCAACAAATATATTCCCAATCTGGCTTGCATATTGATATACTCTGTGAGTAAGATTTCATATAAACAACGCCGAAACTAATAGCCAATAGAAAGTTTCGCTTATGAACAAAAAAGTTTGTTGAGTATTACAATAAAATAGGAACTTTTGATTGGATGTGACCGGCGGCCAGTTTACCATTAAAATGCCTTTGGATCAGATTTGGTAGTAGTAATGGTATAATTTGGTCTGGTGGATACAAATCAGATATCTACTAAAATTGACCAAAGCCACTATGACCACCTGAATGTCGCCATTCTCTGTCAAATATTTTTTTAAAAAGTCACCGTTTGTAAACCGTACTCGGAAACCATACTTAGTACTTAAGCAAATTCTTAAGCAGCCGAACGCCGAGATATGCGGAAGCTCGAAAAGTCTTATACTAGGCACATGCATGATCTAATTTAAGTGTCAGTGTTCAGCACCAAAGAAAAGAAACTATTCCACATATGTTTTCTCGAAAATGATTTATACCGTTACAATAACAACAGTTCCATGTGTTTCAAACGTATCATTTATTTATAGGATCCGGAATTTCCGTATCGAGACACAAATTCAATTAGACCGCATAGTAAATATAGATGATTCAAATTTTTATTTACCCGAATAGTTTTTCAATTACGAATACCGGAACTTACTAAGTATAGAGTATAATCCGTGAGAATTTCTAATTTTCTTTCTCTTTTTTTAAGAACTGTAAGTAAATTATTAGAATCACCTTTGAAAATTACAGTGAGGTATAAATTTTGTTGGAGGTCTGATTTAGGCATTACTTGGGCATACAATTTGATTTAAGGCACTGTAACATGAATTAAGGATGACTGAAAAGATGTCGTTTTAATTTTTTGTCAAATCAGTACGTTGCAATACCATTTAAATTTAAATTAATTTAATTAAATTAATTTTTTCTTTGGAGAAATAAAATTTTTTCAATTGTTTTTTTTTCAAATTGTGGCCAGTGTGTTATTGCAATTGTTGTTGCTGGAATATAACACACTCTAAAATTAAAGTAATGTTTAAATGAGTTGAAGTTACAGTAAAGTTAAAAATTTAGCGAACTTTAAAAAATAATAATAACTTTTAAAAAACAATTTCTAAAATCATGAAAATGCTATCATAATTAGCAGTATCGCAACACGTCTATAAACAAAAAATATACGAGGGGTGGCGATACGTTCCTGTGATTTAAACATGCTATTTGGTATTTTTTTGCGATGGTATAGCTCTGTGCGAAAACATGGGAACCAAAGAAATTCCGTCCGTAAACATTGATCAAGCATGGAGTTTCACAGAAATGAAACACAATGTGTCATTGTGGTTTCTGGGTAGTTTATTTTATTTAACTTAGTGCTCTGTCCCACGCAGCTTATAAAATGTATTATTCTTATCTTAAGACGTCTATAATATTATATAATATATATCATATTAGACGACACAATGGCAAAATATATTATCGCCACTGAAATAATATCATTAGCTAATATTATTAAAGAATTGGGTAAAGTAATTAAAAAATGATTTAATAAATATGAAGATTTTTATTATTTTTAAATAAAATGGATTTAGTTTAGTCTTAAAACATAAATTACGTACAAAGATATAGTTTTATCAAAAGAAAAGTGCATCTCTCTTAGGACTGTTCAACCAATCTTTAGCAGAAAATCCAAAATTTACCAGTAGGTAAAGGTAGGTCAAGATGTAACTACAATATCAGTATCCCTAACTAATTTATTAAATTTGGGTTTCACTAAACCCAATAACTCTAATAATAAAATTATAATGTATTACATCATATTTATAAAAGAAAAACAAATGTTTTTGTCCAAGTGTTTGAAATTGACTGAAAAATTTGTAAAATTACTTATTAAGCTATCGAGGAAAGTAGTATTAATTGAAAGTAATTTATGTTTAATATATATTAAGAAACTTAGAAACATATAAATATTGGAAATTTTCATATTGTAATCAAAAGTCGTATCACAACCAAAACAAGGTTCTTACTCATAATTTTTATATTATTTTGGTATTGATATTAATATATGAAAAAACTCTGCATTTATACGTTAGACATGTGATTTTTCCGTGTAAAACAAAACAAAAAAATACAAGAACAGTTGTTCACTTTTAAACTGCAGTTCAAAATAAAAAAAATGTGTTAAAAACAGTATTTTAAGTATCTGAGTGTAAATTCAAAATTGAAGTGGCTATTGTTGAAGAAAATATCGTTGTCCTGCGGTAAGTTTTGCTTAGAAAATGAAATGAAAGAAATAAAGTTGTTGAATATTTTCAGCGCTTGTTGGATGTAAAATCATTTAATCAATTACTTCATTGACTTTATTAGGTATTTTAATTTACATTAACGTTTTCCTTTCCTTGCAGAAGTTGATCTTTCGTCAAAGAATCTTTAGCTCTAGCTCCCCTAAAAGACTGATAGGATGAATAATGACGGAACTTGATTCAAAAAACCAATTTGAACGTACTTGTCTATTACCATTTCCATATCATTTTATTGCTTTTATTATACTTTACAAACAAAACGAGGTAATATTGTATGCCAAAAACTTAGAAACTTCAAAAATGAAAAAGAAACTAAAAATAGTACTACCAACATAATCTGATCGCAGTTTTGCCACATAATGAGAAATAAACTCAGTTCATTACATCGTAGATCCGTTGAACCAAACATCGGAATTATTTTATGCAACCAGCCCTTATTTGTTTCTAAAAAATACATTGTTTATAACAAAGGGTTTGATTTGATAAATTAAATTAATTGTTAATTATTAATTTTTTAATGAAATCATTATTTTCGTTCGAATTATGTTGCCTTAAATATTTTTCGATACTGTCGTAATAACTTTTGAACGTGACAACGGGTGATATTGGTGTATTATATTAAAAACAAAAATGCATAATTATAGCTTCCGAAGTTAATTGTGAGATACCTGGTACATCCAAATTAAACAAATTGTTTATTGTTCTTTGCCAAGCATAACTAAAGTAGAATTCAGACACGGATTTGATAAGTCGATTTAGGTGTTTTCATGCATATTCATCGAACAAAAATGTAATGGACAATGTTCAATATTTTAAATACGTAATCGACAATTTGACGACGCTCCTGTTTCATGAGAAAAGCGAATGGCAGACAAAGTCTGTCACGTCAAGGACCCGTTAGCCATATCTAGAAAAGTAATCCTATTTAAAAAACTTCCGCTTATGCGGTTATATTGAAAGTGGATGTCAATGTCCTGTGCAACTTTTCCACTATACGAACTCAAATAGGTCAAACCTTAACCCTCTTTTAGAAAAATATTTACTGACAACGAACGAAGTGGCTTTGTTATTGAAATACAAATTGATTAAAAGTTAAAATGGCACATTTGCAAGACCATAATGTCCAATTATAAATATTAATTTAGAAATCTACTTCCTAACGTAAGCCTTTACATTGTAAAAACTTGTAAAAGACAAACATTCCAATTTTTCGGTGGTATTGTGGTACCCTTATTCGGGGATTGAAGTTTTATTTTATTAAATTCTAAAAAGTTGGCAACGGTCAATTTACTTTGTAGGGTTGGTGTTTTCAGAGCTGTTTTTTAAATAAAAGTTTTATTGCATCTAGTTGCCTATGGTATTTACAAATGTCAGATTATTTTTTTTATTCTGTCAGCTTTGTTTAGGTTGCGGTAAAATTTCAACCTATAAAATTACCATTTTCAGTGTTTTTGTGATAACTTTGTGCACGGATTGAAAAGTCTTATTCTATTAAAATCTAAAAGGTTGGTAAATGACAATTTAACTGATGCTACATGTTCTCCTTCCGTATTTGTAGAATACACGCAAAATTGGTTGTCCGCGTTATTTGGTGTTTTCTAAACAAAAGTTTTATTGCATCTTGTTGGCCTACGGTATTTAGAGATGTCAGGTAATTTCTTTGGCTTGTCAGTTTTGTCTCATTTGGTAATATTTTTTGAAATGTTGAAATTGGAATCGTTATTGTTATGAAGTTGTTTAGCCAAATGAAACTTTGCAAAATATAAGATCGTATTGATAAGTTTTTATCCTTGGGCGCCATTAAAATAGAGATTTTTCTTTGGTTAGTTTTTATAATTGAGAAATGAAATATGGTTTATTATTACACTTACTGCAGAATTTTAATTATAGTTAGGTTACACTTTGACAAAATTCAGATTATTTTAAAATTCTTAAGGTTTGGGGAAGATAAACCTTAGTGAAACATTCATTTTGACGGCAAAATCCAAAAATACTATCCCACATATCCGAAGAGGATTTTTTTTTTAAAACCTTGTATTTTGGCCACAATCTACCCTGTAAAGTACATCCGAAGAATATTGTGTTTCGACAGTTGCGAAATTTCGGTAGATATTTCAAACTAACAGTTGGGCAAATATGGAAAAATAAACAGCGATAAATTATTGCCCGCAAAAAAAGATTGACTCTTGATAGGCGCTGTCAAGCGTCACTTGACGACAATTCTACTAGATCCGTCAATTTCCGTAGGAATTTCGCAAAATTAGGCAACGCGACCCGAACCATTTTCGAACCATGACTCATTCTACCGGAGTAGTTCCGGACCAGCGGAATTTGAAGAATTGATTTTATGCCCCGAAGAAAGAAAGCGATGACTAATGTGAACTTTTATTATTACGGAGTCCCCAAAACCGGTATTTGCCTGGTATTTTAAGACGTCACGTCGAAAGCCTTTATTCAAGTCTCCGTTAATCGCATTTAATCGTTTCTATAATCAAGGGCCATTTAGAAATGTTTAATTTTTATGGTGCCGTCGGCCGCCGGCTTCAAGAACACCCTCTGCACATTAATTTACAAAACTGTCATGGTATAGTTTGATTGAAATTATGATAACGTTTTGACGCCTAAAAGCCTAATTTTTGACAGTAAAATGTTCTAAATTTGCTTTGTTTAGTTCATTTTACACATTTTTTGTCATGTCAAAAAATTATGCGTTTAGATACACAACTAAATCAAAACTAATTTGATTAAATTATGTCAATTATTTTCAAAGTTGTTCAAGGAAAAACCAATTTTCAGCGGCGTCCTTTGGGGGCAAGGGAAGACATGTAGAAAACAAAAATTATAGTAATTTGTCATGTTATTTTGTGTTGTATATGAAACGCAGAGATTTCCCATAGTTTCCTGAACACCCCTTATGAGGCCGAGGCCCAAAAATTCACTTTTTCCAACCAAATGGTGGAGACCATGCCTGTCGGCTTAGTCGATATTTTTTATTTTAGATTAATTTTTATCGTTTTTTTTTGTTTTTGTTTTCAAAGAAACTTCCACAGGCTACTGGAATACTTTTAATAAAATTTCTGAATTCCTCCTGCGTCGGTTTTTGTTGAATCGAACTAGCTAACGTTTCGCCAATCATCCTGTTGGCTTCTTCAGAGCTTGACTGAAACTGTTAAAACTGTTTCGGTCAAACCCGACTCAACAAAAACCGACGCAGAAGGAATCCAGAAGTTTTATAAAAAGTACTTTTTATCGTTTTTATTAATATTTTTTTCACATGTCGCTTATATCATCACCTTAATCATTTATCTATAAAAGGATACGTAAATTTTGTCTCTCTCATAGCGGACTTTCAGGTTCTTGTTTATAACAGCTTCGTCGAGAACAGTAAGGTGTGTCATGTCGGGTACACCCTCCTTCGGCATGGTTCCTGGAATAAAACATAGGTGGAAATTAACATAAAATACATTAAGTGTAATTAATTAATTATTAATCAAATTTTACTATCACCAAAAATGACCGTAAATGATGTAAATTCACTATTATTTCAAAAATTGAATGAAAACGTGCAAGAATTTCTCTCAAACGCATCCAGAAATATTTGATCTCTACTATTATTTTTGGCTGTGGAGCTTCTCTTCGTCTTTAAAACGTCTTAGATAAGTCTATTAGTTGGGTGGATTGGACGAGATACTAAAGGGGTGGCCGAGAATATTGAAAATAAAACTCCACCTTAAATCAGGCAGTTTTTGTTTATTAACGTGGTAAACAAAATGTGAAATGTTCAACCAAACATTGGCTTTGAGTACGAGATTTATAAAAGATGTGTACAAAACTTATTGGAAAACTGCTTAAATTTGCACATCTCTGCCTTTTTTTTCGCAAGCTTTCCAATCCTTCGAGCTCGTGGGCTGGGTGTTTGGGTAGTATAGCCCCGATAGGCAATTTCTATTGTGAACTGAACCATTAGGTTGTCAAAGCGGTTAATTTATGAAATTACTGCCCCGCGGGAGTTCGATTTGTCAATAACTAGGTACCTTACATACAAAAGGAAAAGTTCAAATATAACGTTTAGGCAGCAAATTTTAAACGATCCAGCGAGACTCATCACAAGCGCGCATCACAGTAAACGCGCCATTATCGTGATTGTTATCCATGAAGGCACGCATCCCATTATCAATTGCGATTTGCATAAACAGCAGCCTTGAGAATATATTAGGATGTTCGAGTTCAAAGTTGCAATACATCGTACATGCTTCTTGGAAGTCAGTGGATTTATTTGCTCAGATAATAAATACTTTGGCCCATAGCAATACGGATTACTTTTCGAGAAATGGCTAAAGATAAAATTAATTTCCCTCCTTTCAGACAGCACTAAAAGTGTCTCTTAAATCGTTACCCTTTGAAATAACAGAGAGACTTTATAAAGCAGTATTATTCCCAGAAATTTGTTTATAAAATATTTTAATGATAATTTAATGAACTTGTTGCAGCCGTAATTTAAAGCGCATAGCCAATAATTATTAAAAAATTCAATATTAATGAGTTTTAACAAAACAACGTCATTGTAGAATTTTATTTTCCAGTTTTTTTATTCTTGCGGTTTTGTAACCAGGTATAATACATTTTTTAATTTGAGACGAATGGCTTTTGCACATGTCTCGACAGGTGAATATAGCAATGCGCCACCATATAAATCCTTAGGTGGTATTTACCTGCCTCCGAAATATGCCAACACCTGGTGGCCATACTTTTATCCAAATTTAAACCTAAAGATCTCGAGTTTCTTGACCATGCGGCACGTGCAGCTTTTGAACATCTGCTTAAACAGAGTCGGGCTCTGATAAAAACAGCTCCAAACATCTTAGCAGTTTTAACCTCCTTAGATATCCGCGTAGGTTGATTTAGGAAAATAGAAATTCTTTTTTAGTATAGTTTAGATCATTTCCTTTATTTAAATAAAGCTTACTAGAGTTGCTTAAAAAACCTTTTTTGGTAATATAGGGGCAAGTAAAAACATTGTGTCTTGTGTATTCACGGTCAGCGAGATTTGTCAAAAGTCTCGAGAAATAGGTACTTATTTAACTTCTAAATTTAAAAATGCAGTGTTAATTTGGCCCATTAGTTGGACATCGACAATCTTAAATTAAGTACAGAAAATGTTATCATTTTGCAATAAAAAAATTCAAATTATTCAAAGTCAAAAATCACTTACAAGGAAATATTAACAATCGGTATATAGATAAATAAATAAAAAATCAATTGTAACTACAAAAGTTAAAGTCCGATGTTATTGTGTTGACATAATAACTTACCATCTGGTTTTATTAATATTTACGTCATACGATTTTGATACTTTCTGCATGACAAATTAGATTTAATTAATTAAAAATTCAAATTAATATAATAATAATAATAACAATAGTAATAATAATAATAATAATAAACATAAAATAAAATCATTGAATTTTTAAACGGGTCATAATAATCCGTTACGGACCTTGCGTCTCACTTTCAATCAAAAGTGTAGGAAGAAGCAGGTAAGTTTAAAATAAATGCTATTATGTATTTCTGATTATAGGGTCTGGTGTTTTTACCCTAACTGATGTAGTTACTTTTAGTTTCTGGTAATTGATTGAAGTATTGGACGAACTCTTTTTTTTTTGTTTGAGAAAGGGCATTTTTAGGAAATTTGGTAGATATTTTCGACGAATTTTTGCTAAACTGCTGTTTTTTCTTTTCGAATACGAAGTCAATTCATCGATTCTAGCATGCACACTTTTTCTATTTTTATTTCTAAGTTTACAATTATAAAATCATAACATAAATTTATTTGAACGTCGAAAAAACAGGAAAAGATCTAAATGTGAATAAAAGTATTAGTTCACTCTCAACAACCGACTGAGAACTTAAAACAAAATATAATTTAAATAGAATAAAACTAAAATATAAAAAATTTACAATATAAGTAAAAATAAAGTTTTGTATTTTGTTTGATTCGGCAACATTTTTCGTACTTTTGTTTGTAAACATTAATGAAAGTGCACACAGCAATCTCTTATTATTCACTAAAAACAAAAGCTTGCAAAAGGGAAACAAAACCCCGGCTGGAAAATGTCAATACCGCCCTTATATTCAAGGGTGGCAATTTCAGGGCTTTCTCAATAATAATAACCATTATACTAACCCACTGACGAAAAATCCAACTCAACCATGGCGTTTTCCATTTATAAATTATACATTGACAAAACTTTTTATTCATAAATTGCAAACTTTGCAAGAAACATTTATTTCATAAAAAAAATAACACGAACTAAACGAGGCTGGACAGAATCACAGCGCGACACACGGATTCGACTAACCATAGAGCATACAGCAATCACCGAACAGCAAAATGCAATAAGAAGGATAACTTTTTGTCCTTTTCTTCCGGACACCAAACGCAAAGTCTGTGCCATCTGCAGGTGATATAGCCAACTACTATTTACATCGACAGTTAACATTAATCAGCTCTGCCATTAGTTTTTAGATCACTCATCAGAGAGGGCTCCAAGGATAAGATATAAAACCCCCATTTGACATTTAATACAAATGCGTACCAACCTTAGCATTCTGTGGTATTCTGCAAATAGGAACACAGCTGATATAGAGAGAAAAACTATTAGGAGCATCCGAAATTTTTGATACTTATTTTAGCAAAAGCAGCTTCTAAATCTATGTTCAACCCACTGAGTTTTGAAAAATAGTTGCTTAAAAATGAAAATTCGTTATAATACATTCGACATAGTATGTGTCGTAACGGAATTGCAAAAGTATGTACCTTTTTTACAGAGAACTTTTGGTCTCATTGTGAAATCTAGGCTGTTTTGGAGTAGCTCAAATGAAAAATGTTTGCAGACTTGTTGGAATGCGAGTAAATAACGTTTACGACATAGACAACAAAACCTATTTAATCAGATTGCAGCGCAATGAAGAGAAAAGCGTTCTACTTTTTGAATCTGGAAATCGAATTCATTTAACCAATTTTGAGTGGCCGAAAAATGTTGCTCCATCTGGTTTTAGTATGAAAGTAAGTTTACTTTATATTGTGTATTTCCTGGTTAAAGATACTTTATTAATTTTAGTTGCGTAAACATTTAAAAAATAAACGACTAGAAAAGCTGTCTCAAATTGGAACTGACAGAATAATTGATATGCAATTTGGTTCGGGAGAAGCTGGATATCATGTGATACTAGAACTTTATGATAGAGGAAACATAGTACTTGCAGATTATGAAATGATAATATTAAATGTTTTACGGCCGCATACGGAAGGAGATAAAGTTAGGTTTGCCGTTAGAGAAAAATATCCAGAGAATAGAGCTAGAGAAACTGCAGGATTAACCCAAGAAGTAATAATAAGTATACTAGAAAAAGGCAAAATAGGAGATCAGGTTAAAAAAGTACTCATTTCAAATTTAGGTTGGGAATATTTTATTATTAATAGATTTTTTCTTATTTAAAATTTTTAGATTATGGACCAGCTCTAATTGAACATGTATTGTTAAAACAAGGAATTACAAATGCCACTAAAATAGGAAAAAATTTTAACTTGAATACAGATTCTCATAAAATTTTCATTGCCATTTGTGAAGCAGATAGTATCTTCCAGAAAGCAAAAAATGAATGCTTTAAGGTAATTATGTGGACAGCATAACTTGTTCCTACATAATTTATTGTATTTTTCTAACAGGGATTCATTATTCAAAAGAAAGAGGAACGTGCTATTACTGAGACAAACAAGGACTCTGAGTTTTATTCTAACCAGGAATTCCATCCCATGTTATTTGAACAACATTCTGCAATGCCTTATAAAGAGTTTGGTACATTTAATTTGGCAGTTGATGAATTCTTTTCCTCTTTGGAGAGTCAAAAATTAGAACTAAAAGCTGTGCAGCAAGAAAGGGAAGCTTTAAAAAAATTAGAAAATGTTAAAAAGGATCACACCCAAAGATTAGTGGCGCTAGAAAAAGTTCAGGAAGTTGACAAACAAAAAGCAGAATTGATCACCAGAAATCAAGAATTAGTGGACAAAGCAATTTTATCTGTACAAATGCTTCTAGCAAATCAGGTAGAAACTGATTATGAAATGTAAACTTTACATATAAGCTCTTCCACACTGAGGGAAATATTGTGTTTATTAATTATAAGATAGATTATTGTTTTTAGAAGCAATTTACATAAATCTAAATTATCCTCTAATTAGTTATTTATTCAAGAAGTTCTGAATCAAATGATTTTTTCTCTAACTGCCATTAAATTCAGTTTCTTGGTAATTTTGCAATTTTTAAAAGTAAAAGTAATGGTTTATTTACATTGAAAATCGTGAATTTGTTGTACAATATAACATAAAGAGCTAAAGATTAACAGTCATAACATTTGTCTACTTTTTTCTTTTTAAAATTGCAGAAAAAAAAATGCCACTGCTTAATGGAATACAAATCTCATATCTCAATCTAAAATTGTCTGACTGACATAAGATAACTTTTTTTTTTTAAATTACATAACAAAATTTAATGCCACTACTTAATAGAATACAAATTTGCCATTTTTGATCCTTTTCGATGATTCATAATCCTTTTAAAGTTATCTTGGGAAGATATAGAAGATGTGGTAAAGGATGCATCAGCAAAGGGGGATCCAATAGCTGGAAGCATTAGAAATTTAAAATTAGAAATGAATCACATTAGTTTATTCCTGGATGATCCCTATGCCGAGTTTCCCAGTAGTGATGTTTCAGACAGTGAAGCTAATGATAATATTCCGTCAATGTTAGTTGATGTTGATTTGGCCCTGACAGCATTTGCAAACGCACGAAGGTGCTGTACTAAAGCATTCTCTATACTAGCATATCATATTACCATAGTTTTGTAGGTATTATGATCAAAAACGTACTGCAGCCAAAAAGCAACAGAAAACTATTGAATCGCAAACAAAAGCTTTGAAGTCTGCAGAAAGGAAGACTCAACAAACACTGAAAGATATGCAGACAATTACTAATATAAATAAGGCAAGGAAAGTGTATTGGTTTGAGAAATTTTTTTGGTTCATAAGTTCAGAGAATTATTTAGTGATTGCGGGACGTGATCAACAACAAAATGAGTTGATTGTTAAACGGTAATTTCCACAGTTGTTGTATTGAAGGAAGATGCGACAAGTCATCCTGCAGCCTGCATAAACCAAAAATTTGGAATAATTAACTTATATTTTGCTATTAATTTAATTTAATAATTTAATACACAAACTTTTCCCGAGAAACTCCGCATGTAAATGCTGATTTGAGACTTTAAAATGTAGTGATTAAAATCAATTCTAATTCTTATTAAATGAATTAAATTGTGTGTTTTACAAAAGTAAGAAGTAAATCTTAAATATGATAATAACATGTATATACTTTAAAATGCCTGCAGCATATTCAGCAGATAAAAATAATTATAAAAGTTCATATAAAATGTTGTCCAAAGATGCTTCATTTTGGAGATACAGGGCGTTAAAATTTTGCGAACAAAATCGTTTTTTTTATTCTTTTCAAAAAACTTTTGATTTTTGCTTTCAAACTGAGGATCTAATATATAGCATAGATAAACTTGTTTCTGTTTAATCATTGGCGTTCGTGACACCATTTTATTTAATTTATATATCTCGTTTACTTTATTTAGATCCCCTATCAGTTCTGAACAAAAATGGTCTCTTCAGTTCATTCGTTAAAACCAACCGTTTGGGAGAAAAAAAAAAGTCTGCATGTGCGCCTAATATCTCAAGTTTCCAAATTAAATAAATAAGACAATTCGAGCTATTTAAATTGGTTTTATTTTATAACAATTCTGGAAATTATGATAAGAACCTAATAGTTAATTTCATTAATTTAATTAAAATTATTATAATAGCTACCAACATTGAAAGAATAATTTACAATAGATTTTTCACAATGTCTCAATACCTGTATATCCAAAATGAAGCAGTTCAGGACATATGAACTTTTTTACTTATTTTTATCTGTATGTTGGCATTGTAATTTAGAACTTTTCTCGTCTCCTTCGTACAATTGTTTTACCAAACTGAAGTTTATTTTTACCACACTTGTCAATCTTTTAGTTATTTAAAAGCAACTGATGTCTATGTTCATGCCGATATTCACGGAGCAAGTAGTGTCCTAATTAAAAATCCTAGTGGTCAACCAGTACCTCCCAAAACTCTAAATGATGCCGGTACTATGGCTATATGTTACAGGTAATTCGGACGAACATGATTAGACCCTTTTGTCCACTGTTTGTCAACAACTTTTTTTTTCAGTGTCGCTTGGGAAGCAAAGGTTATCACTAATGCCTATTGGGTATGGGGCGATCAAGTTAGTAAAACGGCGCCAACTGGAGAATATCTATCCACAGGTAAAATGGCTAACTTTGTGTGTTAACTATTCTTAAATAAAGACCGTTTTCTAACAGACTGGGTGTTTCAGGTAGTTTCATGGTAAGGGGAAAAAAGAATTTCTTACCGCCATCTCATTTGATCCTTGGATTTAGTTTTCTCTTTAAATTGGAAGATGGTTGCATTGAAAAACATGCAGGTGAAAGAAAAGTGTTGACTCAAGTTGAGGAAGATGCGCTGAACCAAGTTGCAGATGAGGTCAGTAAAGAAGAAGTTGAACTTGATGTTTTGGACGAGAGTGACGGTAATAATAGGTAACTTTCATATTCTCTTCTTTTAATTCTTCTGATTTAGAGGATGAGTTGAAAAAAGAAAAAGAGAATATGTTTAACGCACAAACTGACTTAGAAGTGACAGTTGCTGTTGCTGATATATCAGAAGTAAAAAGTGAAAGCTCTTCAGATAGTGAAGAAAAGTCGAATTTTCCTGATACTCAAATTAAAATTCAACATTTTGAGGGAACTAAGTAAGTTGTAATTTGTATTTATGTGAAAATGAATTAAACAGGAGTGGTTAGATCAGAACAAGTGACCATACAATTTCTTTTGAAATCCATCAGTATAAATACAAAAGAAAAATAAAACCATTTTTGAAATTTTTGTTTATTGGATCTTCCGATGATGCTGTTCCTATTTAGGACCTTCAGAGGATCAAAATTACATATATCTTATTTTTAGACGAAATATTTTAATAGAACCAACAATAAGAGAGGAGCCTAAAAATGAACCGGGCATTTTTTATCTTGGTGATAATAAACCAGTTATTTTGAAACAAAATAATTCTCGGAGCAGAACCAGCAGTCATTCAAGTAGTAAGACAGAAAAGGACCAACCAAAAAGTAAATATCTTTATACAATATATTATTTCAGTAGTTCACAATGTATTTTATTTAATATATTGTTGCTATATTGCACTTTTACATGTTGTACTCGGAGATTTTCAGTCTGTCCACCTTAGTGATTGTTTTCCCTGCTTTTTACATTTTTAGTTTTTTTTTTTAAGGAGAGGCGGAACAGTCAAACAGACAACAACAGTCTAAACGCGGTCAAAGAAGCAAACTCAAAAAGATCAAAGAAAAATACAAAGATCAAGATGAGGAAGAGAGAGAGTTAAGGATGAATATTTTGCAGGTATCTGCTATATGGTTCTGAGATAAAGTATCATAATGTGACTCTATTTCAGTCCTCTGGTACAGGAAAAGAGACCAAGAAATCGAAAAAAGGCAAAGAAACACATACAAAACCGGCGAAGAAACCGCAACCAGCTCCTCGTTTGGCAGAACCAAAAGAATCTAATGATGTAAATGACGATGATGAACCCACGGTCCAAGCTGAGGTGGATATGATAGATTCATTGACAGGAATTCCATTCGCGGATGACGAACTGTTATTTGCTGTGCCTGTGGTCGCGCCATATAATACGCTTTCTAATTATAAGTATGTGAATAGACATAGTTACGTTTTTTTAGGTTAAAAAGAAACATACATTTAAGATTCAAAGTGAAGTTAACACCAGGGACTGCCAGAAGAGGCAAGGCCGCTCGTACAGCGTTGACGATGTTTTTGAAAGATCGCGGTATTACACAAAGGGAAAAGGATCTCTTAAAAGCGGTCAAGGACGAGCAGTTGGCTCGGAATCTTCCCGGTAAAGTTAAACTATCCGCCCCAAAAATGCAAGCCCTCAGGAGATAATAGGTGAAATTATTTTCCTAAATGGTTATTGTGATTGATTTTGTATTGCGGTTTTTAAAATAAATGTTATTGTTCTTGAAATATTTCTCTATCCCGTAAATAAATTGTAGGTATTTTGGAAATTGCAATCCGAAATATACAGGGCGTCTATTTTATTTTTTTGCAAAATCTACATAATCCTATTATTCTTTTTTTGGTTCAAAGCGCAGCTCAAATGATTTTTGTCACTCCTGAAGTGGATTTACTATGCTTAAAAAATAAATCAATTTCGTTGTTTTCAACAGTTCTTCAAAAAATCCAATTTCTAGGATTATTTGAATAATTGCCCATAAAAGTAATTACTTCGCAAATAAATTTGATGGCTTCGCAGTACGATCTATTAATAAATACAACGGACCAGCAGATTTAATTTAAAAAATATTAAACAACGATTTGTTGTTAACTTTTTTGTTTTAGTATAATGTAGTGCTTGATTAACAAAGTACTAACTTATTAACCACAAAAACCTTAGCAATCATTAAGGATCAGTGTTTTTTGCCTGTACTCTATAGACCACTCCATTTTTAGAAGTTACTGTAAAATCTTCAAAATAAATAATTTTACACAAGGTAAAATGACCAAATTGTAACCTATTTTTAGGACGAAATTTTTGAAAGATTTAGAAGCAACTAAAATAACGTTTTGGTCTCTTAAATAGTTACTTTGTTGTTGCATTTCACTATAGTTGTTTGTATTTGTATTTTTTGCATACTAAACTGACACTTTCTTCTATTTTGCTTCTTTTTCGGCAGCATAAATGGCAACAATGCAGAACCACAAATAACAAAAACCAATATAAAAAATAATATAACGACTTATCATCAAAAATTAAAGTCATAAATTTCCAGAGTTGGAATATAATATAATAATGGAATATAATATAATAATAATATAAAGAAAAAAATGTGCCTTAATTTCCTGTGATGAAGGCGGTATAAATTTTTGAAATTTTGTGCGTAAAAAGTTTATCAGATTCCATTTTTTTATGTCCCCCGTGGTTTTCATTTCTCTCTCTCAAAAACAAAGCACAATACGAAAAAAACATTGAAATAGCATTCTTACTTGATACAGCTAAATTCGAGGAAACGCCAATGACTTGCAGTTTTTTTTTAGTTGCAACTTTCTAACTTGAATATAGTTCAGACGTTCGTGGATTCGTCATTGGAAATAAAGTTGTCAATTTTTGACGTCTATTTACTAAAAATAATAATAAAAACTTTAAACAATTTGGATTTTGAAAATGAAGCATATTCGAAAGAAAGTTATACTACATTTTTGTCTTAAAAAACTAAACTTCTTTCCTCTTTCATTTTACGAATTAGCTTAAGAAACACGGTGTAAGTGTAGATAACAAATTAAAAAGGAACGAATTAGCCTTTGTACTTGTTTTTGCAAATATTGAATTCGATTCTGTTACGTATGGCACGTTCCAGAGATCCTTTTACTATACCCACGTTGCTGAATAAACATGTAATCTTCTCATTAATCCTATTGTTACAATAATAATTCAACCAATTGCTTTGCTAATCGAGGTATATTCTATGAAAAATAAGGAAAAAAAAACATATAATTAATTCCACCTTTTTTCACTGTTTAATTAGATTGTAATTGGAATATTTATGACACATGCCTCGTTATTTGAATTTAATTTTATAATGATTCCTTTCTAATATATTTATAATAGGTAAAAATAACAACGACTGGATATTAAAGCATGCTAGTTCGGATTTGCTTTATGCCATCAGCTGCAAATTGACCCTCGAAGTAGCCGTTTCACGTTCGCTCTAAAATATTCAGGGTGGTTCAGTTTTCAATGCCATAAATTTAACAGCTTGTTTCCACGACGAAAAGTGAGATTATTCTTTTTTTTAAGGATTTTTGATTTTCATTTTTACTTAACATTTCATTTCATTCTTGGTTGTCTTCTGTCTTCATTAGTTTACGTTGGTTTTTGGCGAAATGCGACAGATCAGTCAGTAAATAGGCAGTACAAGAGAATTTTTTTATTATATTACGTCGGTACATGTTTCACAATACGATGCGACTTCTAAAGAGTGTGATTCCATGGATGATTTTATATCAATCTGCATCTGCAATACATCTCCGCGACCGCCTTATTTTTGGTATAAAGAGTGGTAAAAAAACGGTGCTTCCTTATTTTCGTTGAAACTGTTTTAGATATTTTGTTGAAATTTGGTAGAGACCCACAATGCAATGAAAGTGAAAATTATTTTTCTATTTTCACCAGTGGCGTCACGGATGCTTTTTATCGAAAAATATTGCCAACAAACTGCTTTTTTTATTGCCATTTATTTCTTAGTAAAATGTTCTCTTCTCTCGTCCGAAAAATAACAGTTTCCAGCGAAAAAATTAAAAAGCACTGAAAATGTTGGAATTGAATTAACTTTGAATTTACTATTGAATATGAAAATTTAGCATTGTTTAACATTAACAATTAATAAAATAATTAAAGAAATTTCATGGGCAAATGAGTAAAAACATTTTTTCAATATATTTTTAACACCATTAAGGACTAGAGCATCGTTTTATGAAATGTATAGGCATACATTTTTAATGGACAAACCATAATAAATTTTATGAAATAATTATTTACCAGAATCATTCTCTATAGACTGTTCTGCAGTTTTTTCAATTTCCACGGAATGTTGTAATTTTTAATTGATTTATTTATCGTTTTACGATATACATATACAAGTCAGAAAGTACTAATATACAGGATATTTTCTAATTGAATATCAATAATCAAGGGGGTGATTTTTGGGTCCATTTTAAAATGAAAACTTCATATGTCCTAAACGTTTGAGATGCAGGGTAGTAAAGTTATCGAAAATAAAATATATTTTTTTAATGTTTGTAATACCGCTTTAGATATTTTAAATAAATAAAAATATATATTAATTAAATAAAAATATATATTATTTTTGAAAACTTTAGCACCCTGTATTTCAAAAGCTAAGACGTTTAGGACATACGTTCATATAAAGTTTTCTTTTTAAAATGAACCCAAAAATCGCCCTCTTAATTATCGACATTCAATTAGAAAACCTCCTGTATAACTTATTATAGTTGTACTTTCGCTTTTGTTAAATCTTATTTGAAAAAACCACGTATGTAACTTAGCTTTAAGGAACGTTCATAAGCCTGATATTAGCATACTGTTGACTCACTCCTTTCAAATTCCGTTATTTAGGTAAAGTGTAACGCGCACTTCTGAGCTCTGTCGAAAACAACTAAAAATTTGTTATTACACGTCGTGTCCAATTTTTACAAATCTTTTGTTCCCTTAAAGCCTAACGCCACCATATTTAAAGCGCAGTTTGAAATATATTATAATAGAGTTTATAAGTTTATAATACCTACTTGTATAACTTTGTGCTACGTATTGTTCAAGAAAAAGTTACTTAAACACATTGAACCCTAACGCTCCTTTTAGCTTCAAGAAAATTAATAAATATTTGATTGATTGGTACTTATATAAAATGCGTTTTACGTATTATTTGCGAAATATGTACTTAAACGCATGTACTCCTAATGCTCATTTCAGCTTTATCAAAATTCTAAAATTATATATCTTATTATTAGTAACAAACTAACTGTTAGTCTTTAAATGGTTTTGAATCAACAACTAATCATTGAACTGAGGCGGCTTTTACTTGATGAAAATCCATTTATCAAAATAAATAAGAACTAAAAGTTCAGATTTTCAGGAAATTATATATATGTTGGCATTGTAATTTAGAACTTTTCTCGTCTCCTTCGTACAATTGTTTTACCAAACTGAAGTTTATTTTTACCACACTTGTCAATCTTTTAGTTATTTAAAAGCAACTGATGTCTATGTTCATGCCGATATTCACGGAGCAAGTAGTGTCCTAATTAAAAATCCTAGTGGTCAACCAGTACCTCCCAAAACTCTAAATGATGCCGGTACTATGGCTATATGTTACAGGTAATTCGGACGAACATGATTAGACCCTTTTGTCCACTGTTTGTCAACAACTTTTTTTTTCAGTGTCGCTTGGGAAGCAAAGGTTATCACTAATGCCTATTGGGTATGGGGCGATCAAGTTAGTAAAACGGCGCCAACTGGAGAATATCTATCCACAGGTAAAATGGCTAACTTTGTGTGTTAACTATTCTTAAATAAAGACCGTTTTCTAACAGACTGGGTGTTTCAGGTAGTTTCATGGTAAGGGGAAAAAAGAATTTCTTACCGCCATCTCATTTGATCCTTGGATTTAGTTTTCTCTTTAAATTGGAAGATGGTTGCATTGAAAAACATGCAGGTGAAAGAAAAGTGTTGACTCAAGTTGAGGAAGATGCGCTGAACCAAGTTGCAGATGAGGTCAGTAAAGAAGAAGTTGAACTTGATGTTTTGGACGAGAGTGACGGTAATAATAGGTAACTTTCATATTCTCTTCTTTTAATTCTTCTGATTTAGAGGATGAGTTGAAAAAAGAAAAAGAGAATATGTTTAACGCACAAACTGACTTAGAAGTGACAGTTGCTGTTGCTGATATATCAGAAGTAAAAAGTGAAAGCTCTTCAGATAGTGAAGAAAAGTCGAATTTTCCTGATACTCAAATTAAAATTCAACATTTTGAGGGAACTAAGTAAGTTGTAATTTGTATTTATGTGAAAATGAATTAAACAGGAGTGGTTAGATCAGAACAAGTGACCATACAATTTCTTTTGAAATCCATCAGTATAAATACAAAAGAAAAATAAAACCATTTTTGAAATTTTTGTTTATTGGATCTTCCGATGATGCTGTTCCTATTTAGGACCTTCAGAGGATCAAAATTACATATATCTTATTTTTAGACGAAATATTTTAATAGAACCAACAATAAGAGAGGAGCCTAAAAATGAACCGGGCATTTTTTATCTTGGTGATAATAAACCAGTTATTTTGAAACAAAATAATTCTCGGAGCAGAACCAGCAGTCATTCAAGTAGTAAGACAGAAAAGGACCAACCAAAAAGTAAATATCTTTATACAATATATTATTTCAGTAGTTCACAATGTATTTTATTTAATATATTGTTGCTATATTGCACTTTTACATGTTGTACTCGGAGATTTTCAGTCTGTCCACCTTAGTGATTGTTTTCCCTGCTTTTTACATTTTTAGTTTTTTTTTTTAAGGAGAGGCGGAACAGTCAAACAGACAACAACAGTCTAAACGCGGTCAAAGAAGCAAACTCAAAAAGATCAAAGAAAAATACAAAGATCAAGATGAGGAAGAGAGAGAGTTAAGGATGAATATTTTGCAGGTATCTGCTATATGGTTCTGAGATAAAGTATCATAATGTGACTCTATTTCAGTCCTCTGGTACAGGAAAAGAGACCAAGAAATCGAAAAAAGGCAAAGAAACACATACAAAACCGGCGAAGAAACCGCAACCAGCTCCTCGTTTGGCAGAACCAAAAGAATCTAATGATGTAAATGACGATGATGAACCCACGGTCCAAGCTGAGGTGGATATGATAGATTCATTGACAGGAATTCCATTCGCGGATGACGAACTGTTATTTGCTGTGCCTGTGGTCGCGCCATATAATACGCTTTCTAATTATAAGTATGTGAATAGACATAGTTACGTTTTTTTAGGTTAAAAAGAAACATACATTTAAGATTCAAAGTGAAGTTAACACCAGGGACTGCCAGAAGAGGCAAGGCCGCTCGTACAGCGTTGACGATGTTTTTGAAAGATCGCGGTATTACACAAAGGGAAAAGGATCTCTTAAAAGCGGTCAAGGACGAGCAGTTGGCTCGGAATCTTCCCGGTAAAGTTAAACTATCCGCCCCAAAAATGCAAGCCCTCAGGAGATAATAGGTGAAATTATTTTCCTAAATGGTTATTGTGATTGATTTTGTATTGCGGTTTTTAAAATAAATGTTATTGTTCTTGAAATATTTCTCTATCCCGTAAATAAATTGTAGGTATTTTGGAAATTGCAATCCGAAATATACAGGGCGTCTATTTTATTTTTTTGCAAAATCTACATAATCCTATTATTCTTTTTTTGGTTCAAAGCGCAGCTCAAATGATTTTTGTCACTCCTGAAGTGGATTTACTATGCTTAAAAAATAAATCAATTTCGTTGTTTTCAACAGTTCTTCAAAAAATCCAATTTCTAGGATTATTTGAATAATTGCCCATAAAAGTAATTACTTCGCAAATAAATTTGATGGCTTCGCAGTACGATCTATTAATAAATACAACGGACCAGCAGATTTAATTTAAAAAATATTAAACAACGATTTGTTGTTAACTTTTTTGTTTTAGTATAATGTAGTGCTTGATTAACAAAGTACTAACTTATTAACCACAAAAACCTTAGCAATCATTAAGGATCAGTGTTTTTTGCCTGTACTCTATAGACCACTCCATTTTTAGAAGTTACTGTAAAATCTTCAAAATAAATAATTTTACACAAGGTAAAATGACCAAATTGTAACCTATTTTTAGGACGAAATTTTTGAAAGATTTAGAAGCAACTAAAATAACGTTTTGGTCTCTTAAATAGTTACTTTGTTGTTGCATTTCACTATAGTTGTTTGTATTTGTATTTTTTGCATACTAAACTGACACTTTCTTCTATTTTGCTTCTTTTTCGGCAGCATAAATGGCAACAATGCAGAACCACAAATAACAAAAACCAATATAAAAAATAATATAACGACTTATCATCAAAAATTAAAGTCATAAATTTCCAGAGTTGGAATATAATATAATAATGGAATATAATATAATAATAATATAAAGAAAAAAATGTGCCTTAATTTCCTGTGATGAAGGCGGTATAAATTTTTGAAATTTTGTGCGTAAAAAGTTTATCAGATTCCATTTTTTTATGTCCCCCGTGGTTTTCATTTCTCTCTCTCAAAAACAAAGCACAATACGAAAAAAACATTGAAATAGCATTCTTACTTGATACAGCTAAATTCGAGGAAACGCCAATGACTTGCAGTTTTTTTTTAGTTGCAACTTTCTAACTTGAATATAGTTCAGACGTTCGTGGATTCGTCATTGGAAATAAAGTTGTCAATTTTTGACGTCTATTTACTAAAAATAATAATAAAAACTTTAAACAATTTGGATTTTGAAAATGAAGCATATTCGAAAGAAAGTTATACTACATTTTTGTCTTAAAAAACTAAACTTCTTTCCTCTTTCATTTTACGAATTAGCTTAAGAAACACGGTGTAAGTGTAGATAACAAATTAAAAAGGAACGAATTAGCCTTTGTACTTGTTTTTGCAAATATTGAATTCGATTCTGTTACGTATGGCACGTTCCAGAGATCCTTTTACTATACCCACGTTGCTGAATAAACATGTAATCTTCTCATTAATCCTATTGTTACAATAATAATTCAACCAATTGCTTTGCTAATCGAGGTATATTCTATGAAAAATAAGGAAAAAAAAACATATAATTAATTCCACCTTTTTTCACTGTTTAATTAGATTGTAATTGGAATATTTATGACACATGCCTCGTTATTTGAATTTAATTTTATAATGATTCCTTTCTAATATATTTATAATAGGTAAAAATAACAACGACTGGATATTAAAGCATGCTAGTTCGGATTTGCTTTATGCCATCAGCTGCAAATTGACCCTCGAAGTAGCCGTTTCACGTTCGCTCTAAAATATTCAGGGTGGTTCAGTTTTCAATGCCATAAATTTAACAGCTTGTTTCCACGACGAAAAGTGAGATTATTCTTTTTTTTAAGGATTTTTGATTTTCATTTTTACTTAACATTTCATTTCATTCTTGGTTGTCTTCTGTCTTCATTAGTTTACGTTGGTTTTTGGCGAAATGCGACAGATCAGTCAGTAAATAGGCAGTACAAGAGAATTTTTTTCTTAAGCTATAGGATTTTTAAGGCTCTTTAAACCTTTTAAAAATTCGTATATTACGTCGGTACATGTTTCACAATACGATGCGACTTCTAAAGAGTGTGATTCCATGGATGATTTTATATCAATCTGCATCTGCAATACATCTCCGCGACCGCCTTATTTTTGGTATAAAGAGTGGTAAAAAAACGGTGCTTCCTTATTTTCGTTGAAACTGTTTTAGATATTTTGTTGAAATTTGGTAGAGACCCACAATGCAATGAAAGTGAAAATTATTTTTCTATTTTCACCAGTGGCGTCACGGATGCTTTTTATCGAAAAATATTGCCAACAAACTGCTTTTTTTATTGCCATTTATTTCTTAGTAAAATGTTCTCTTCTCTCGTCCGAAAAATAACAGTTTCCAGCGAAAAAATTAAAAAGCACTGAAAATGTTGGAATTGAATTAACTTTGAATTTACTATTGAATATGAAAATTTAGCATTGTTTAACATTAACAATTAATAAAATAATTAAAGAAATTTCATGGGCAAATGAGTAAAAACATTTTTTCAATATATTTTTAACACCATTAAGGACTAGAGCATCGTTTTATGAAATGTATAGGCATACATTTTTAATGGACAAACCATAATAAATTTTATGAAATAATTATTTACCAGAATCATTCTCTATAGACTGTTCTGCAGTTTTTTCAATTTCCACGGAATGTTGTAATTTTTAATTGATTTATTTATCGTTTTACGATATACATATACAAGTCAGAAAGTACTAATATACAGGATATTTTCTAATTGAATATCAATAATCAAGGGGGTGATTTTTGGGTCCATTTTAAAATGAAAACTTCATATGTCCTAAACGTTTGAGATGCAGGGTAGTAAAGTTATCGAAAATAAAATATATTTTTTTAATGTTTGTAATACCGCTTTAGATATTTTAAATAAATAAAAATATATATTAATTAAATAAAAATATATATTATTTTTGAAAACTTTAGCACCCTGTATTTCAAAAGCTAAGACGTTTAGGACATACGTTCATATAAAGTTTTCTTTTTAAAATGAACCCAAAAATCGCCCTCTTAATTATCGACATTCAATTAGAAAACCTCCTGTATAACTTATTATAGTTGTACTTTCGCTTTTGTTAAATCTTATTTGAAAAAACCACGTATGTAACTTAGCTTTAAGGAACGTTCATAAGCCTGATATTAGCATACTGTTGACTCACTCCTTTCAAATTCCGTTATTTAGGTAAAGTGTAACGCGCACTTCTGAGCTCTGTCGAAAACAACTAAAAATTTGTTATTACACGTCGTGTCCAATTTTTACAAATCTTTTGTTCCCTTAAAGCCTAACGCCACCATATTTAAAGCGCAGTTTGAAATATATTATAATAGAGTTTATAAGTTTATAATACCTACTTGTATAACTTTGTGCTACGTATTGTTCAAGAAAAAGTTACTTAAACACATTGAACCCTAACGCTCCTTTTAGCTTCAAGAAAATTAATAAATATTTGATTGATTGGTACTTATATAAAATGCGTTTTACGTATTATTTGCGAAATATGTACTTAAACGCATGTACTCCTAATGCTCATTTCAGCTTTATCAAAATTCTAAAATTATATATCTTATTATTAGTAACAAACTAACTGTTAGTCTTTAAATGGTTTTGAATCAACAACTAATCATTGAACTGAGGCGGCTTTTACTTGATGAAAATCCATTTATCAAAATAAATAAGAACTAAAAGTTCAGATTTTCAGGAAATTATATATTATGACGTGGCAATTGTTTCGACAACGCCGTGTCTTTATCAAATGTAATATTTACAAACTAGCTGCTACTATATATACCCAAAAATGACCATAAAACCTTGATTAATGTTGATGTGAGAATTTAAGTTCAATAAAGGAGAGGTATTTAAATTTAATTCATCGCTAAGCAATACATTTGAATGTTTCATTTTGTTAATCTCCATGGCTTCCAATAAATTTAATTTTCTACTTTTTGTGGCTCTATGTAAAATATCAAAATTGTCGTCAAAAATGTGTTTTTCTGTATTTAAGTGTGTAGCATAATTAGAATCTAAACCATTGTTTTTAAACGCTCTTTTATGTTCGTTAACGCGTTTCTTGAAGGATCTACCTGTTTACCTGTTTGTCCAATATAAATTTTAGGACAAGATCCACATTTCAACCTGTAGACACCTGATTTTTGGGATTTTGGACATTTCATTTTATTGTTTTTTAAATATTTTCCTATTGTGTTGTTAGTTCTGAAAGCTATTTTTAAACCACATTTTGACAAATGTTTTGAAACTTTTTCACTAGGTTCTCCTATGTATGTAATTGTTTTAAATTGTTCGTTATATTGTTTCGGATAAATAGAGCTTACTGTTGTCTGTATTTGTTTTTTATTTATAATTTTATCTATAATGGACGACGGATTGTAGGCGTTGTTCAGTGCAATTTGTTTAATGATATTAAGTTCTTTGTTGTAATTTTCTGTCGAGAGTGGCGAATTAAGAAGTCTTTGTATTAAAGAGTTAAATGCAGCCATTTTGTATGTATAAGGGTGATTTGAGCTGTTATGTATGACTGTGTCCGTGTGTGAAGGTTTATGATATATTGAAAAATCTAATTTGTTTTGCGTTTTCGTAATAGTTAAGTCTAAAAAATTAATAGAGTTATCCTGTTCAATCTCGATAGTGAATTTTATACGATTATGTAATGAATTAATGTAATTTAAAAAAAAATATTCAATTGTCTGTCCGTTTCAACAAAGCAAGCAAAGATATCATCCACATATTTATACCACCATAAAAAACTTTTACTTAAAGGATGTTCTAGTACGATATTTTCCAAATTATCCATAAAAATCTCGGCTAACAAAGGACTAAGTGGGTTTCCCATAATCAAACCTTCTTTACAGATATAAATCTGTCCATTAAATTCAAAAGCAGGTAGTTTGTAAATATTACATTTGATAAAGACACGGTGTTGTCGAAACAATTGTTATGTCATAATATATAATTTCGTGAAAATCTGAACTTTTAGTTCTTATTTATTTTAACAACTAATCAAATTATTCAGATTTCGTCGAAGCTTGCTTTGCTTCATAAATTTAAAACTCTTTAAATTATTCCGAAACAATTTTTTTCCTTCATGATATAGCTTTAGCGATCGAAAATGCATCCAGTTCGCCTATTTTCACAGTTGCATACGAGAATCGCCATGGCAGTCAACCTGAAAATGAAAAGCACTGTCAAGGATACGAAGGACAAGAACCACGCCGCTCCATGTGTACACCTTCACGAATAGTTTATAAAAGCTTTTTGTAATATAGATTTTTTGCATTTGCTAATTGCATCGCATATTTCCTTCTATTGTTAATCTAGTTGCAATTATTAAAGTTAGCGCACATCTGATCATTATTTCGTCGTTTGCGTCTTGTCAATACGGACTTATCGTTTTGCAAGATGAAAAGCCTCTGGTTGATGGTGTTCGTGGTGTCGGATGTGTCGAATTTAAACTACGCCTTCGTACAAAATGATTTCGATTTGTTTCCGGAACTGCCCCTCGGAGTGCCGAATAGTGATAATCCGGTGTGTCGCGAGCAAAGTGAACTTTTCGTGGATAGTTTAAAAAATTATACGTTATGGGCTCACGAAAGTAAGTATTAATGAAGACTATGAACCTACTTAAAAATAACGAGGTTGCGAGAAACAAAAAATACAATTAATTTGTATGCTTGCAAAGTCGCCATATATTTTCCTTGGTAAAGCAGGGGGTGAAAAATAAGGAAACCCTAACGTACTTGTCCAAATTTGGTTTATGTAACTTATTTATTTGTTACCCATGTTTATAAATAAATTTCTTTAGAAATTGATTTATAATTTGAACAGTTGAAGTTTTATTAATTGTGGGTGCAAAAATAAAGAATTTTGCGCCGAATACAAAAAAAGAAGAATCTAATGGGTTTCTATTTAAAATTTCAAAATTTTTACGTAGATGTGGAAACGCCGCGACAACCAAACATTGATGTGATATTCCATTCTAACTCTAACTCAGTTCTTTAGATACTTGTAATACTTTGGAACACCCTTCATATTTTTGTACATGATGGTCTCAATTTTACATTTCATACAAACAAAATATATAATAATACATACCCAAATCAAGTAGTTTTTTCCAATATTTTAATTTTTCATAAAAATACTAGTTTTGACACTTATATGTGCAACTTAATTTGAATTAGATGCTGTGGGGTGTTCGAAACAAACGAATATATTTGGATCATTTTAAATTGAAAAATCTAGAATTTCTGAAATAGCACACCGTATAGTATATTATTATTTTTTTTGAAATATCTTACAAAAACGTACAACCGGTATTTTGAATACTTTTTTCTGTCTAAGACAATTGCAAATTTTTCATGACAACTGAGTAAATAAATTCATAAAATTGATTGTGGTGTCAGCTTAGGTGAGGCAGAAAAAAATACTTTGTTGGCAGAATCACCCATTATTATTCAACAACATTCTTGGCACGGGAAGTGCAAAACTAAAACCGTTGGTCACTTAATGAGTGGTGTGAAATAAAGTAATTGGACCATATTTTTTTCACGCACCACTTAAAGGGTCCTAGACATTCAAACTTTTGCAGAATGATTTACCTTAACTATGGGTAATAATCATTACCCATAAATTTCTTGTTTTGGGGATATGTTAAAGATCATGTTTATGTGAATCCCCCTAGAACATCAGAAGATATGGAAAATAGGATTCGGGACGCGTGCAAGAGAATACCACAGTTTATGCTAAGGAATGTTCAAGAAAATATACGAAAAAGTCTAAACATGTGTATCCAAATAGAAGGCCATATGTTTTAATATTTATTGCGCCATAATAATAATTAAAAATAAGATCAGTTAATTAGTAATAATAGGTATGTAATATTAATTACTTTTTCTGTAAATTTAACCACAATTGCTAATAATAGTCTGTTGCTTTATCTACGGATCCTGTTCATTTTTTAATCTTAACTAACTAATATGGTAGCAATAGTCTTAAACAGATAGAAGGGTAAATATTGAAAAAGTTAAAATAAATCGCAAACTAGTATTTTTTTAGAAAAATTAAAATTTTGGAAAATCTATTAGGTTTTAAAAAAAAGATGAATTTGAAAACGAAACAACAAAACAAAAATTTGAAAAGTCAAGCTTTTTTGAGCCATCATATCTTAAAATAATTTTATATTGTGCATCCTAATAATCTTTAGAGCTTTTGTATTGCAATAAGAACTTTACACGTTGGCTCACCCCTTACTTGCATTGAATTGAATGTTGCCATGTAGTTATTAAGTTTTAAATTAATAAAAAAAAAGCAAAATATATTTGGGACCTCTCATCGGTGTCGGAAAATGAACCAACGATGGAGGGATTATTCAAACATTAGCTCAAACACCAAACTTGTTTATAATGGAAACGTAGTCCCATTTTCTATATCGGTCACGTTGTCTTCCACCGTTTAAACATGTGTCCCAATTTCGCCATCGCAAAACTGAAACTAATAGGTTCCATGTAGCGGAACTTTTTCACTAAAAACCCCTTGATACCCTTGAAATAATTTGTCCGACTTTTAAACCAAGAGTGGAAAAATTTGATTCTGTTGTTCATGCTTGCTTTTACGTTCCTAAACAAGTTTTAATTTAAATAAATTACTCTTTCATAGTTCTCGTGGCCATTAAGTCGGTTATAACTTTTTCTTTTCAGTTAACTTTTGAAATTGTTGTCGAAGTCCCTTCTATCATTTTTGTTTTACATCACATCGTAAACAGATTTATAAAACTTAAAACACCTTGGCAGAAAAGGAAAATAGATATTCTTTTAGTCTATTTTCACCGTTTTAAGTTATCATAGACTCTAGTAAAAAAAATATTCCATGGATGCTGTAGTTATTGTTTTAAATATCATTTAATAAATTTGTTGTTGCAATATTGTTTCTTTTCGACACTCAATTCCGGTTTTTAAGAAAGGTTATTTGAGAACTATAGATATTCAAAAAGCTTTTATGTTACGCATAACGTCGTTCCTAAAAATATTTGTTACTTTGTCTGAGAGGCAGCTACTCTTGTATCATTACTTCACCGAATTCTAGAAGCCTTTGAAAATACGGAAAAGTCCTTAGGGATAATTTATGTCCAGCAGTTTTAATATCATAAATCAGGACCAGATAGACTTTAGAGTATGCATAACGGAAGCCATAGTATTTTCATGGAAATAAAAATTACGAACAAATATTCTGAACCTTTTATTGTTCGTTTTTACAGATGATGTTTAGAGCTAGTAAAGTGGGGTACTTTTTTAATTGCAGCGCCGTAACGACGCCCATAATAATTAACAAATTATTGTTACAGTGTGGGACGCCACGGTGAAGGCTTCGACTGGTGTCCTACGAGGGAACATGTTCCAAATGGGACATTTCGAGCAATGTCTAACATCCAACCCGCCCTTCGAACCTCAATATTGCTTCGCCACTATAACTATTCACATTCCCAAGTTGGAGAATCCGGATAGAGATATGCTGGCCATAGATTTCGATCCTGATGATTCTGTCCTAGACAGGCTCTATGTAAGTAAGTATTGGTCCAGTTGCAAACGTATCGTAAATAATTCCGAGTTCTTTAAACTAACCAATCGCGAATTAAGAATGAATCATGAAACTGGTGACAAAAACATGAGTTAGGTGTGTTTCTAATAAATATTTTAGAGATATTCGGATCGGACGAAGCAGCCTAGAGATACAGTCAACCTGGGATGGTGCATTCCTGCCTCGTGTTCTATTCTGGACTTGGAAAAGTCTTTGACCCACTATTTGAGCAATTTGGAAACGCCTTTCAAGAACAAAAACATTACCTATACCGCCCAGATTAAAGAACAGTTTTGCCACAGGCCGAGAGATAAAGAACTCTATACTCCAGCGGATATTACATTTGGGTATGTTATCATAGACATGCAAAACCACTTTGCCTTTATATATAATATATAATGTAACATATATACACTTACACTTATATATCTACACGAATGTTCATCTCAATCATTTGATTTTTGGATACTGACGCAGTGAACTAGAACTGGCCGACTTGATGGGCTGTATTTAAAAGGTTGCAGAAATAACTAGCACATATTTTACTGCTGAAATTGCTTTGCTGATTGATTTCATTGAATTTAACCAAGTGATTTTATTTTAGCTTGGTAACTCTGATACTTTTGATCCTAGTATTCATAGCTACGGCCTACGATTATAGAAAGGCAGAGCCGAATGGTGAGGAGAAACCAGTGAAAAGTATGTTTCGGTTATCTCCTATTTATGAATTGATAGTACTGGTACTTGTTTAACATTATTAGGCTCAAAATCGTCCAAGCTGATTCTGGCGTTTTCTGCTAGACGAAATTTTTTGGAAATGTCCCATACGGAGAACTCCAATCCGGCTTTAAATATATTGTACGGCTTACGGACATTCTCAATAATGGTCGTTATTTTGGACCATAGATTTGGAACATTTACCTCGTCGGCGCTTATTAATTTTGACTTCGTCGAACACGTAAGTAAAAAAAAAACGAAATTTTAGTGTTTTTATAGTCTTGGTACTTGGTATTTTTTTAGCAATATCGTGCAGCGTACTACGCAGCTATGTTATTCCACGGTGACTTGTTTGTGGACTCATTTTTCTTATTAAGTGGACTTTTGGTTGCCTATGGATTGCTAAGCCAGTACAATAAGAGAATAATCAATCCCGGTTTTATAATATTTCTTCGATACATAAGGTACACCTAAGGCTAGTGTGTTACTGCAAATTTGTTTAACAAAAATAAGTATAAATCCAACTTTTGTTATTGTTAACGCACAAAGACCGAGAAACTAATTCACCCTTAAATGCTCTAAAGTTATTGCGAAGGTTTCGGATAACTGGAAAATTAAAGTTATGGATAGTTGGATACGTCCATCAATAGCATTAGCCGAAATTTAATTTGTAGAACGATAAGAAAAAGGCCGCTTTTTTCCATGTTATTACCTTCCAAGTTTAAAATTATTTCATTAGTATTGTAATGGTAGATGATTGTTATTGATTCATATTAATGCATAAACAATAGTTAGAAAACCTATTTAATTGAATAAAATTACTCATGCACTGAATCCAGTTTATACGAGTCTTTTATGAATTTAATTATTCTTTGACCACAGCCGCACAATTTTGTTTATCGGCATTTCCGCATTAAATGAGATGTAATAAGGATTTCAGTTTCTAAAAGGTTTGGTTAGGGTTTTTGATTTTAATTTTAAACTGAAAAATACAGGCTGATTTATGTTTGATGGTATGGTACGCGATGATGCGCCAGCGATTTAAAATATTTTCAGTTTTGTGTCGTCATTTTAAAAAAAGTGCCTTTAAAATTTTAATATTCCTTATATTTTTACATTATTTGCGACACAAGGACTTTCTCTTAATTTTTGTATAAAAGATTCCCATATGCTATCTTTAGTAGCTTATTAATCATCTCTTTATACCCTCTCAGAAAGCAATGTACTACCTTTTCAAAGTTTTCTGTTTCTAGAACTGCCACTTTAGCTAAAATATTTATTTGCAGATTAACTCCAGTGTACGCCTTCGTAATTTTTTACTATGCGACCGTGTTCAACTATACTGGCAATGGACCCCTTTGGAAGGTGGTGGCTGGTGGTGACGTCGATGATTGCAAAAACAACTGGTGGACAAATCTCTTATACATCAACAATTACGTCAATCCTGATCATATGGTAAAATAATTTTATGCAGATTAACAGATTGTGGTGAATTTGAGCTACTGAATTGGATTAATGCGGTTTTCTGGATTTAATGGACTTATCTCTTTAGAACGAAGATCATATTAGGTGTTTTCTTCAGTATTACAAGTGTTTAACTAAGAAGAACGACTTTCCTGTCACTGTTCTAAATATCCATAAGTCAATGCACGTTCCAAGAAGCTCAAAAGGGAAAATGAAATAATATAATCGAATTTTAAAATTTAGATTTCACACATAATTTAGTAAAATCTGGCAAATCTAGTAAGAAACTTGGGGTACTGTTTTATTTGCAAAAATATGTTTTGAAGGATATAAATCAACGGAATTTATATTGTTCGACTCGAGTCAAAATTTTGAAACTTATGTTGTAACAAGAACAACAAACTTAAAATTTATACGAAAATTTAATGCCACTTTCACATTAAGTTTGAATACGTGTATTAAATTAAAATGTTAGAACAAAAATCTCTATTGAACTATCACTGGTTCGATAACGAACTAAGTAAAGGGATTCTCCCATTTTATTTTAATTATTTATAAAACAAAAAATGATGTATCAATCTTTGTGAAATAGAAATCTTTCGAATAGAGAGCTTTCGTTTATAATATTATTATAAGATTGAAATTAAGATCACTAATTCATATTTAAGCAGTAATTTAAGTGTAAATGTTTAGCAATAGGGGTGCCAGCAAATCAAACTATAGTCTACTACCAAGAAAGTCACTCAAGTTTGTCATTTATTTATTCTTGGAAACTTAGAAAAGCATAATATATAATCTCCACAATTCGTAAATGGAAATCTTTCTTTTATATCCATCATCCTAAATCATTGGCTGCATATATTACGTTACTGTTGCGCATACTGCAAGTTAAATCGTAATAAATTCAATTTTTACTTCATTATCCTTGAACGGGAGAAAAATTATTGTTTTATATCACCATGCGCCTTTCTATTGCGCGAGCAGGTGTTCAGTGGGTTAATGCTTCTTTTGAAGATTTGATTTGTTTGTATATCTACTGAAAATGGTGCCTGTGTAATATATGTTTTGCCACACTAAAACTTTATCAAAAATACAAAAAAAAACGACGAACTAAGTAGATAATTTGTTTTAATTATTATTAATTAGAAGAGAAGTCCTTTATCTACTAACAACACTATATAATTAACAATTATATAGTTACCATCAAACGAACTTGGTCGTCTACTGGTGTTTCGAATTGTGCACCTGTTGACTGTAATGAATAATAATACATAAAATTGATGTACACGGGGCGTTACTTGTAGTTGGTAATCGTAGTTTTTTTAAGGAAAACTATATTTTTCATAAACTACAATTTTTTTGGTGAAGCAATGTGTCCAGTAATTTAAAGGGATGTCAAATTTCGCTTTTCTTCTACTTATTTGAGTAAACAATGTCGGAATTATGTTCATAATTGATAATTTTGAAAAGTTTACCAATGCGTCCATTCTCTCAGATACTGGGTTAGTTATACGTAATACAAAAAAAAATCTACATCATCACTTTTGCTAATCATTTACTATGGGAAGAGAGCATAAGGGTTCTGCACATCTGCGACAAAGGTAGAAGGCTTAATGTTCTTGAAACGTTAGAAATCAGTAGAATGCTGACAAGCCCAGATATTATATGCATAATGGTCATCAACCGTTTAATAGTGCGCCCCAGACCATATGAGATAGTCTTCTGGTATTTTGTGTAAATATTTAAATAGATGAAGCTGAATTCTATTTGTTTCTGTGATTTTTCCCTTTTTGAATAGATGCCTCTAAGAGTAAATGGTTAATGTATACCATTCTTGCATAGTTGCGTAGTCGGTGTTGTGGTGTGTGATCTGTTTTTAATTTGGATTGGTGAGTTTTCTATATGGATAAACATGTCACTCGTTTTTGAAATTAAATTTATGTTTTGACAAATGATACTGTAGATTTCGTATGTTTTTTGTATTACTTAGATTATTTAGAAGATTACAAAATTGACTAATATCTATCTTTTCTACTTTCTGACTTTTAAAAATGATATTAGTTTACCAAAAAAAAGGCAAGACCATATCGTGAGATATCGATGCTCTATCTGATTCATCGGTACTTTACCGAGTGCTTATTTAAAATTTTATTTCGTCAAAATAATGTTGTTATGTAATTGATGAGTGATTATGCAAGAAAACTTTCGTATTCCGGGTTTGAATACGGTGAAGCAAGTGCCGTTTAACTTTCTTAAATATTTATTTGCTTAATATGCATTTTGTATTGGGAATTCCAATAGACACTATGAAAATGTTGTCAACAACAATAATCCAATGTTTTTTTATTGAAGTTCTGTCCCACGCAAAATTAAGTTAATAGGGTCATAAAGGATTGTTCTCTGATGAATGTGAGATGATATTCTTATAGAAAATGAATTTTATAAATTGCAAAATTGTTTAAAATTATTGCAAAATTTGTACACTATGAACTATAAAAGTTATAAAAAATTGTGAAAAGTGTTCACTTCGATAAATACAGAATGGAAAGTTTCACTCATTTCTAACATTAATTTGTTTTTTTTTTCTTTTAGTGTATGACACACGCCTGGTATCTGCCATGCGATTTCCACTACTTTATTATAGCAATTGGACTCTGTCTTCTCATCCACAAAGAGAAGAAATTGGGTCTAAGTGCGTTGTTTGTCGTGACTATAGTATCTATGGTGATCCCTTTTGTTCTAACGGTGATTTACATGCGGCCGTCCATGTTGATGTTTTATCCAGATTTCTTGGTCGGACCAAAATCCCATCCAGATTTCCTCTTGACGTACAGCAAGTCGCATACTAGAGCAACGCCTTATTTTGTCGGAATGTTCGCTGGATACATGTATCATGTGCTAAAAGGATCGAATAAACATGTCTGTAGGGTAAGCAAAAGTTTTATCTTTTTTATATTTATAAATGTAAATTCATATTTTACATGGCTACTTGGTTACGACCAGAGTTAGTTTTGTATACTCTATTTACAACTTTAGATTCAGGCAAGTTTTTACTTAGTAATAATAGTAGTTTCTATAAAGCTAAATAGTAATAATAAACTTGAGAAATAAACACACCATTACCATTATATATTCACACATTTTTTTCTAAAGACTGGCAGCTACCATATTTATGTGTTACCTTCTTGACTCTTTTTCAGGAGAAAACAAGAATGTATTTGTAGACTAATTAGAAAGAAAAGTGAAAACCCATCACGTACGATTTTGTATATTTTGTTGAATTTGAGGTTTTTCACCATTTTATTTAAATTAAAGGACTGAGCATGGAAGTCATGCAGAATTCGCTTTATGTTATACAAATTTGTTAGATTGAAGTTCGGAAAAGTGGTATTTTACTTGGCAGTTCAGTAAGTTCGAATCTAAGCCAAATGAGGATTTAAATTATTTTTTCTACTCCCTTCTGTAAAATATCCAATTATTTACCGATTTAGTGTGCGGAATGTGTCATTTTATCACGTCGGTTTGGTATCCTACGGCTATGAACCACTTCGGACATTTTCCGGGTATTAACACACGAGTTTGGGTGCAATCGTATGTTTTCGGAGATTTTACCGCACAATTCAATTTTGACTTTTATCGATTCTCACCTTCCGTCTGTATCAAAAGTTAACTTTCGTAGAAAAAGTTTGGTAGACTTTTTAAGTAACTCAAATGCCGTTTACCGCACTTGTTGCACAATATACTATTACACCATTTTAAAAACACATGAATATTTTCAAAATCATATGGGGTGCAGTTTGTAACTTATTAAAAAAAATACAACTACTACCGTTTCAAAATAATTACTTGGAATTGTAACTTTAAAAACTGCCAGAAAATTTGGTCACCGGTATATTAAAAATCGTAATAATTGAAAACATGGGAGGTAGAACCCACGGCTTGAATTTTAACGTTTGTCAATTCAAATCTCAAGTGACTGTATACGTGTTGTTTTACAAAAATTCACACAAAAACTAATGGTCGTAGAAAGAATAGAGTATGCAACACGTTTGGTAAACTTTTATAACTGTTTTATTAAGCACTCATTCCGCTGCGCTCCGCTCGTGTCAAATAAACTCGTCAGTCAAATGCCGTTTACCGCACTTGTTGCATAATATACAAATTTTCAACCCCCGTCTGTAAAATGCCTAATTACACATCGATCTAGCGTGCGGGAAGCGTCACTTTACCACGTCGCTTTCGTTTCCCATGGATCGGAGCCACTTCGGACATTTCCGGGATTTTACCGCACGGGTTTGGGAGCAATCGGACGTTTTCGAAGATATTTCCCACGCCTTGAATTTTGACGTTTGTCAATTCTGACGGTCATGTCAGTGCATGTATTCGTGTTGTTTTGCGAATATGTACCCAAAAACTAACGGTCTTAGAAAAAGTATAGTACGCAACAGGTTCGGTAAATATCACTACCAACAAATATGTTGCGTTATTTACCATTTGCTGTAGTGCTGGTATTTCAACAATTTTGATATGAGCATTGAAAAGTGACAAGTAAACTCGTGACTCAAATGCCGTTTACCACACTTGTGCGTAATATACTATTTCGCCATTTTGTATATAAGTATTTATTTTTTCTATAAATCCAGAAACTCTGATAACGAAAATATCACAATGTATTGTTGCTAGACGAAAAGTATTGTTTAAATCTCCTAAAAGATTTAGTACTATATACTTGGTTATTACTTTGTCAACAAGACAAAAATTTTATTTCTAAAAGTTATTGTTTTTTTTACCATTCACTAAAATATTTTAACTTAGCTAAGTTGCATAGTTTTGGATGGATTATGTTCTCATATTCGGTTCCCACGTTTTATTTTTTGTTAAGTGGATATTATCTTTGGAAATGGGGAATCAATTCGTAAGTCTTTGCATAGCCTCGTTTTATTGACGTAAGGCAATTTTTATTGCGACTTTAACCCAGGTATTAGTGAATTTAATCATTAATTAAAAAATGCAAATGTGGAAAAACAACGCGGGTGTCTAAGGTGTGGTTTTATTTTAACTGATTTACGCTGCTGAAGTGAAAGTGATTGAATGATATCTAGCGGTCGAAGTTACACGCGCGTGACTAATTTTTAACTAAATTAAAAAAATCCAACACTTTTTTGTACCGTAAATCGTTTATGTGATGACAAATTATTTTATTATTTTTAAATCATATTTTTCTACCCGTGGATCACTACGTAACCACTTTATATTTAAATTTTCTTTGAAGTTGGCATTTGGGTTTATAGAGTGACATAAAATTGAGTCTGTACAATATATCAAGCAGAAACTTTTCTATCAGTTTTATGAAAAAAAGCCATTTTTTATAAAAAGTTGTTATGGTCTAAAACCTGAAGATATCAAATTCATTGAGCTAAATAGAATGTTCTAAATAAAATACGAATGTTATGCAGGTATTTTATTGGAATTTTATTCTCCCCCAATTTTGAGAGCAAAAATTCATAAACATTTCAAAGGTCAATCAAATAATACTGTTTTTGACTAGTTATAATTAAACAGCTCTAACACCATTTAGCACCAGCCTTATGCTTATAATCAGTAAATGTGCATAGCAATAGTAATAATTTACGTAAATATTTGACGCACTATCGTTGATTTAATTCATAAGTTATATTAATGTAGATATCATATTACCTAGCTTCTGATTTTTTTAGAAAAACAATTGCGCAATTATTATTTTTATACATTGATAATAACGCATACATAATTATCTCGAACGGTTACAGTTTACGATATTTCTTATTGTTATGTTTAGATCGCTTTAGTTTTTTAAATTGAAGGTTGAAACGATTATTACGATCGTTTATATACCGAGTGACCACGGATATCATTACCCCTCCCAAAATTTCTGGCAATTCCAAGTAATTATTTTCAAACGCTAGTTATTTTTTTAATAAGTTAAAAACTGCACCTTATATGATTTTGAAAATATTCATGTGTTTTTGAAATAATGTAATATTATATTATGCAACGTGTTGCATACTATACTTTTTCTATGACCGTTAGTTTTTGTGTACATTTTTGGAAAAACAACACAAATACATTCACTGACATGAAGGTGAGAATTGACAAAAGTCGAAATTCAAGCCGCGCGGTAAAATCTCCCGAAACATTCGATTGCTCCCAAACCCGTGCGGTAATATCCCGGAAATGTCCGAAGTAGCTCGGATTCGTGGAAAACGAAAGTGACGTGGTAAAATGACAATTTCTGCACGCTAGATCTGTATATGATTATTTTACAGAAGGGAGTAGAAAAGAGCCATTTCCGGAAGATTTTATTTCCTTGTTTGTTTGCTTTACCAAACGGGGAAGAATAACATTAGCATTATCTTTTTTTATTATTTTCCGAAAGTGGAAAAACATTCTTCTGTTATTGTATACGTTAGCGTATATTTTTTTGATCTGATGACTTTAATTTTTTTTTCGATTATTTTCGAGAAAAGAGCTCAATGAGCGATAAGACCGAGAACCTCTTGGGAAATATTTCATTAATTTTTAAGTTATTTATTACTATTCTTACTCCTTGCTTAAAAATTATTGTTTTCAAAATGTTAAAATTTTAGATAATCGAAAACGGAACCCCACAATTTATTTATTTTTGGTCATTGCTATATAACAGTTAAAACGCTCCTCTTTCAATAATAGCATTTAAAAACGTGTTGGAAAACTTTTTTTCTAATTACCTCTATCTATTCTGTTTCCAGATAAAATCTTGGATTATCATTACGCTTTCTATAGCCCTAATTCTAGCTGCCATATTCAGTGGGGTGGTATTTTACAATCCCTATCATCCCTACAACGCAATAGAGTCTGGGTTGTATTCGGCCTTTCACAGACCCCTGTGGGCCGTAGGGAGCATAGGTTTGATGTACGTCACCAGCTATGGACATGCCAGTTTTTTCAAGAAAGTCCTCGAGTGGGGGCCATGGATACCTCTGAGCAAATTACAATACGGCAAGTACCTTAGAGTTTTCAGTTGTCAGTCAATTGCTTTTATTGTTCTGTCAAATTATATGACAAGATGATAAAAATAAAAATTGAAAGAAACCTTGGCGATGGTTAACAATTTATATTAATTATCTATATATATATATATATATATTGCAGAGCGAGAGGTTATTAACCCACGTTATCCTTGCTAGTATCGGCAACGAAAAGTTGTAGATTGTCGGCGGCATGTAAGAAAAATGCCATTGGCCTAAAAATGCCATGCAAGTCGGTTCACTGCATTAAACCCAAATAAAATTAAAAATATTTTTTGATTTACGATTGTCCATGGCAAAAGAAATTAGTCGTTTTATTTTGATATTTTTTTGAAACTTAAACAACGATACAGGAAGTTTCAAAAATCATCCAACAAAATGTAGGTTTGATGGTCAGAAAAATAAGTTTTGTCACAATTATAATACCTAGTTATAGCCAAAATTAACCTTATTTCAATAAAAATAAAGTTAACTAATTTTGTACAAAATAATAAAAAAACAAAATTGAACGAATAAATGACGAATCTCCAGCCAAGCATTGATTCATGAACATCCGTATAATGAACGCCGCAATAAAAGGCCCATAAAATTAAGAAATTCGTTAGTTTATTTCGTTTTTTATAGTTTTTTTAATTCAATTGTCATTCAATAAAACAAAATTCAGATAATCACACATACAGGGCGTTCGGAAATAGACTTTGGAAACTTGGAGCAAAGATTCAACGTGGTACAATAATGGTAGTAAGTCAAGTAACAAAAATTTTTTTGTTACATTTTCCGAGTTAAAGCTTGTCAAATTTCATTTTTTGTAATTTTATTTTTAAAGCAGTGGTCTTAGTTCTCAACAGAATAAGTTGGTATTTTACCCACACACCTGATTTAGTAAAAGTCATCGTAACAAAATGTTTCAGAAATGTGTCACTAGATGGCACTTTACCTAGAACTTTTTTTTTATTTTCCCTATATTTTATTCATTTAGACTGATATTGCAAAATACAACAAATAGCCTTAAGCAGAATCATAAATACTCAAAAATTGTTACTCTTATTTTAAGTCGATAAGTTCCACAAATCGATTTTTTATTCTCGGCTTGAATTTTACTTGTAAATGTGATTTTAGCTAACAGGACTGAAATTTGAAAAAGTCGTTGTCCAATCCGTTAAAAATTAGTTTCTATTAAAAGAGCTTATTATTTTATGCAATCAAATTTTAGGAAAAATTCAAAATTATCCGCAATTCTTAAATGCCATTTTGTTCACTGACCAGGCTGCATTCAGTCGTGATGGCATTGTAAATTTTGGAAATATGCATGAGTAGAAAATTGAAAACCCACATGCCAAAGTTGAAGGAAAACATCAGCGCCGGTTTTCTTTAAATGTATGGGCAGGGATTAAAGGAGATAATCTTATAGGATCTCATATCTTTACCGGATTGCTTATTGGGGAAACGTATCTCCAATTTTTCCAAGAGGAACTAGCACCTTTGCTGCAAGAGGTACCCTTGCAGATGGCGCTCCACCGCATTTTACATTAGCTGTACAAAGGTATTTAAATCAGGCGTTTGAATATCGATGAATAGGTAGGGGCGGACCTCTAGCTTGGCCGCCTCGCTCACTAGACCTTAATACGATGGACTTCTTTTGTTGGGGGCACTTAAAGTCTACGACAAAAAATAATAAACATTTGCGGAATCATTAGAAATAGGCCAGGCGTATTAATGAGCGGTGGTCATTTTGAAAATGAATTGTAATTAGCGTTATACATTGTTTAATGATAACTTTTCATTTTCGAAAATGTTAAAATAAAAGAGAATAAAAAAGTCGATATGTGGCTAAACGATAACACTTATCGATTTAGAACAAGAGTAACAATTTTAGACGATTTGTTATTCTGCTTAATCCGATCCGTTCTATCTTGCAATATAATCTAAATAATAAAATTCAGGGAAAATGAATAAATATATTCTAGGTAAAGTGCCCTCTAGCGACAGATTTCTGAAACACTTTTGTTTTGCAACAATGACAACAACCGGGGCTGTGTGTAAAATATCAGCTTATTCCGTTGATAATTAAGCCCGTTTACTACCATTATTTTACCAGGTTGAATCTTTCCTCCAAGTTTCTGAACTTAATTTCCGAACACCCTGTATTTCTTATGTTCAATTCAAATTTTTAACATTTATCAAACTATGATTGGAATTTGATGTTGAAAAATACACTGCCAAAATTATGACTGCGCGTCAATAAATTAAATGTTTACTTTAAGAGACATCAATTTTCTTAAAAAGAAATTACATTCTTTTCTTAATTTAGGGCCATATATATTAATATGAAACCAAAAACTAATAGATGTATATTTTTTATGCTCAAGGTATAGAAGGTTTCCCACCGAGACTTCGGTGATCTTTTAAGGGAACACCATAACCTGGTTAAATCGGAAATGGCTGTGAAGTTGCTTATTTTAAATGCAACAGTTTGGATATTGCTGCATAAAGGCCAGGCATTGCAATTGCTTAAGGGAAAAATTTGCATTCGCAAATGTAATTTTTGACTAAAAATACTAAATATCCCAAAAACGGCGGAACTTATCTTTGACAAACGTGAAATATGGTAAAAGTTTCTCGAGGAATTGTAAAATAACATTTAGGGTGTTCAATTTAAAAATACGGATGTTGACACCCATTTCTATCATAAAAATATTTTAGCCGGATTTTAGCCCATTAATATTGGTGTAATCCCAATACTTTTAAATTTTTCTGGTTATAGTCTGTCCATAACAGATCGCTCAAGTTATAGTAAGGATAGTAAATAATTCTTACCAGCAGATTTTTCAGTCACGTGGGCACCACAAATAGTGTCTAATTTAATATTGCTCCAGTGGTTAAAAATATTATTACTAACTTCAAATTAATAATCGTAGGTGCTTACCTCATCCACATGCAGTTTCAGCTGAGATCGGCCGCCAAATTTATGAATCCGAAGTACATATCGTATTTTGACTTGGTAAGTTTTAAATGTAAATGTTTAAAAACCTTTTCAAACCACTACTGTTATAAAATTAATAATAATTTCAATATTGACCAGTTGATTCGCATTATAGGCAAGGTGAAGATAATGTCAAACGTTTGTTAACGTTTTAGTTTTTTGTCAACAAGAATGTTGCCTTGTATCACTTTTTTAAATGATGTTTATTAACAAAATGCCCCTGTCGTTTTACTTAACAAGTTCATTTAGTAATCTGTAGCTTCTTTTCTGGAAAAGTTACAAGGAAACTTATTTTGCTAATGTTTTAGAGCGTCCCTGTTTGTATATTTAACTGCACCACATTTCTTTCGGTATTTGCTTTTCCCATGGTATGCAAAAACAAATAGACCAACATTTGTTACCGTCTTGAAGGCCATTAATGCCATTCAGATTGACTTTACAGTTACACATTCAACAGGTAAATTTAATATGCAAAATTATTTAGTATAACTTCCAATTGTTTAATGGGTTGTTGTATATTTTTCTAATCATTTTGAAATGCATTAACTGTAGCGGGTCGAAGTACTAAAAAGTGCACTATTTCGCTCATGTTATGTAACAAGAATGTTTCTTTGAGTAGTTTATGTTTCATTGTATTTTGGATAAGTAAGATGCTTACCAAATTATTATTTGACTATTGATTTTATGAGCTTTTTTAAATATTATACTACCATACCTATGTTAAATGGAACAATTTATATTTTTTAGCCCTTAAATATTGCAAATTTATCCCTTTTCAGTTATATATTTCAATCGCTACGTGTTATTTTGTTAATTGTAAATAAAATTTTTAAAAATCTTTTCTTAGGTATACAAGACTTACTACAACCGTGGAGTACAAAAATTTTCTGCGCCAATAAATTCTACGTAACTGTAACTTCCAAACCTGGGCAAATTCCCAAATATGGGTTGCGCCATTCACTTTCTGATTATAAAGTAGTCTGTATATATTCTAGGTCAAACTCTAGGTATTCATGCCAAAAATAAAAGTTCTTTTGATATTTGAATTCTTCTAGATCTTCCGGTCCCGGTTCACTTTTATCTGTATTCTAAATGTTTTTCAAAACTTAAAACTTTTCAAGCCATCGATTGAAGATTTCTATATGCAATTCTAACCCTTGACAACTTTGCTGCTGCTTAGTTATCTGTAGCGCGCTAGTGGGTTTCTCCTTTTATTTGATGATTAATAAAATTCTAACCCTAATTTTCACATCTTGCTTGTTAAAATTCTAGTTATATTTTTATTTTGTACTGTCTATATATGGCAAGATATTATGATTAAGTATGAGTAGTCGTAAGACTATACTTCGCGTTTTGTAAATTAAAGACTTGAAATAATAAATAAATCAATAAATAAATTACATTAAGGTCCATCAACATTATTTTCATGGGCTCGACAAAACCAATACTTATAGTCCATCACTGTTCGTTTGTTAGTTTGGTTTGTTGAATTTAGGTTTCGGATTTTTAAATCCTGCAAAAACCTTAAAAAACATTTGTTTTGTTGTTTATTTGATTTTAAACCTTTAAATCATTTCTATTTAAATATTGTATTTATGATGAACCTCCTCTTAACTTTCTGTTAAATTAAATTAATTTTTTTTTGAAAAAATGTCCAAATTTGCCTTTAATTTCCATCTAGTTTTTATGTTCAAAATCGCGACATCGAAACATCAATAATGCCACCAAAAATTGATCCCCAAGCGCGTATTCCGGTTGAGATAAAAGAAGTGGAGCGCCTGTAACGAAAGTGTAACTTGTTGAGGCTGTTCCGATTGTCTTTGTGTCCGAGAATGGAACGAAGCAAAGTCCAATTATCTGAAGGCTAATACAGATGCCGACGTGCACTTCTTCTCGGTCATTTAATTACTTTTATCGGTTAAACGACGGAAATTTGTTAAACGAGTTTTGCATTGGGTGACCCTTCAAGGTCTGAAGCGAGTGAACACTTTTATGACTACATTACTCACGCGAAACAATTATTATTTAAAAAGCAACCAAAGTAATACTTGTGTAGTATTAAGTTGAAATCTTTAAATTTAGTAGAATCGTAAGATAAAAAAAGTTTTTTTCGCTTGTTCTTAACAAACATCAAAACCGTACTCTCGCAAAAAACTTAAGATATCTAAATACCAGTGGAACTATTCAAAAACAGGACCCTACAATAATCTTATAATGTCTTAACTTCGTCGTGACTTTACTAATTTAATAACTTCATTGATTGAATTTGAGTTTGGTTGGATTAATTTATTTTAACGATTCTTTCTACAATCATATACATTATTTTTTAAAATTTTCCAATCCGGACAGCCACAAAATCCTCAGTACTGTCCCACGGTATTATACATCCTTACGTACGTGCCTTTTTGAGCTTTAGAAAGTCTCTTACGGCTAATTTATTATCTAGAATGCATCAATATCCATTGTTTTTTAAATTAATTTATTAAATAATTTGTTACACTTCCGTATCATTAATACACATGCTAGGCTATTGACTATATATACTAATATAGTAGAAAAATATTAATAAATAAAAATAATTCTAGATTTATTTATTTATTATAAACTTTGCGTAAACTTGTGTAGAACTGTTATAAAAATTGACCTATAACAACCAAATTCCTTTGTTCTTGCCGTTTGTTCTTCAACAACAAAATACTTGTTAAATCTACACGAAATAATATGCTCCAGTTTTCCAGTCCAAATATTCAGTCACTACCCCTCTAATCTTTTACTGACTTCTAAAGTTAGTTTTGGTTTAATGCTGTACGCAGTACTCTCCATGCTTACTTCATTCCGTATGCTTGCTGTTGAAATATATTATAATTTTTGAGGGTATGTAACGTCCAATGAAATAATAAGTCAAATCGATGAAACTTTGGTTTGATTAAAACGATAAATGATAAGAAAATTACAGTACAATGTCAAAATTGTTTGTTGTTGAAATGTTTTTGTTTGTTTAGCATCTTTATTTTACCAGGGGCAGACATCTTCTGTAAATAAAAATAAATTCTTACTTATAGAGAAAATTTATATACAGAATAGTCTTGCTCCAAGTGCACCAATGCGTTGTTTCTTTTCGAATGACTAAATAACTGGACTTTCAACTGTTTTTCTATTTGGCACCGTTTCTGAGAAAACTGAATAAATGTTCTTGCATTTTTAATAAAAATAAATAAATAACAAAGTTTAAATAAATAATAAAACCAATTAATAAATGTTTATTTTAATTTTTATTTTCTCAGATATGCGTCGGCATGGGTGATATCGTCATGGCGTTCGCGGCAGCTCTGTGCCTCTATTTAATGATCGAAGCTCCGTTCCGAATTATTTTCAAAGAGCTTTTGATGTCGAAAAGGGAACCCAAACCCGTCGAAGTGCTGCCAACTGCGCGGGAAAACATGATAGCGGCTAGAAGTAACCACAACAACAATTACGAAGACAGCAGATTATAATATATTATTATAGTTTGTTAAAACAGTGTTAGATAGTGGCAATAAGTTTAATTCCGCAATCTAACTGTAAATAATAAGTATTAAGAATGCGGTGTTCATTCCTGGCCGTCAAATCCTAGACTAAACCAACCTGATGCAGTGCTGAAAATTTACCGCTCTTGTTTTGAACGCAATCAGCCAAAAAGTATAAATCAAAAGGTTATCACATTATGTTGTTACGGTCCCAATCAAAAATGTAGGCACCTGAATTCTTAGAATCTGAGTTATATCTCGATATACTTGTTCCAAATCTAGTAAGTAACTAAGTAAATATCATGTTTTTGCAATCGTATACGAGGTTCGACAGAAGATACAAATTTTGTTCAAATATGTCGTCTACCTCAATATTCAAAGTAATTGAAAAGGGTTTTAAAACAAATTAATTAGAATTGGAAAGTACATGTAGATATGCAATTACATCCATTTAACATGGAAACTGTGGTTGTCTAATGATATGTTTGTTAACTAATTATTTTTTGTATTCACTTCCTTATTTGTAAAATAAATAACTGTTTGAAATGCATTTAGTACGTATTTAAATTGCGAGTTTATTCACAATGGAAGAGTTTGTATGGTGTTCGATGGATTTAATAGAATCCGTGAAAAATAAATATATTTTTACTACTTTAATCCTAATATAAGTTTTTTAACAAACATCGTATAAGAATACAAAAGACTTGAAAGATTTATTTTCGCCTTTAAACGTTGAACTTTATATATAAAATAATGTTTTTTCATGAACACAATACTTACCCTTGCGATTTCTTCTAAAGTATATTTAAGAAGAATTCGGCATTTCTGGGAAATATACTACGACAGAAAGACGATGTTTATGTATTATTACCCTGGTATTGTTTCACGTCCACACATTACAGGTCGAGAGAAAAGCTTTCAAAAAAAGGTTTCGACCTTTACGGTTGATTGGCAATATTTTTTTAATGCAGCATATCTCTTCGGTGCAATTTTGGTTAATTTTTGTATGACTACGCGAAATGAACATCACTTAGTTATATTTACGTGTATTAACACACCAGACAAATTCAACTTTTAATCGAACGGGGTAAAAAAATCATATGGAAATTATACCCCGAATTATAAAACGCCTTTTTCGAATACATTCTAATTAATAGTGACAATGCAATTTGATTTAATAATAAAACTTTTTCAATCCTCAATTCTATGTGATAACTCATTCCCACATCATTTAAATTAACTTACTCATCAAAACTGAACAGAATATTGTTCTACTGGTTGAAAACCTCAACCTATTTTTGAAATAAATTCGTTTATTCAACATTAGCGAGTTTGTTCTTCCTGAGCGGAAATTTAAAAAATATCAAATAATGGGTTAGACACTCCAATAAATAAATTGGTATTTTACATTTCTTATTATTGGCGACGGCAACTATGAAATAAATTTTTATATAATAATTGATTATGATAACATTCGTGTTTATTTTGCTATTTATTCCTTTTTTTTAGATAATTTTATATAATTATTTGGTCGCTTCTTATTGAAAATCGCTTTAACCTTCTCTGAACAATATAAGCCTTGTTTTCGCACTAATTAACATATATGAAGCTGATATTTTCATGTAATTGGTCAATCTGTTATCCTCGATGCAACCGTTTATATGCGGAAGAGCAAATAATGCAGGGTTCAAAAATATAACCCCGAGGTTAACATTAAAAAGAATTACTGGCTCCAATATTCTTTATGATAACTGGTGCCTATACTTATGTTTATTTCTATATTATCATTTCTCTCGGCTCATCAGTTGAGTATCCGAAATAAAACAATCTATCTATCACCCTCCTAGTGAGGCTGGTAAAACATCTCATATGTTAAAAATACTTCTTCAAGAATGATATTTTTCAGACCTAATTTTCTAGTTTACATCAATTTTTATTGACATTTTGTCTAAATGATATCGTAAAGAATAAGTTGGAAATAGGGAGTGAGATTTGGCTTCCAGAACCAAACTGTCAGTTTTTAACAAGCTATTCTCAGCATAACGCAAATGTTTTGTGCGCCAAAGGTAAACGAGTTCCTTGCAAAAGAAAAATAAAATAAATATGTTACCCCGACACGTAAACCCCTTGCCCCCACTAGCATGTGCCACTACAACCGACGTGAACAAAACGAGTGCCTAGATCAACATTTTTTGTCTACTTCAAACTGGTACCCATCTACATTTTTTTTGCTTCTTTTTCAATTATTTCTGTCCCTGTACGGTAAACCGGTTATTCGATGCGAAACGTTTATGTGTATCATCTTCACTTATGGTAAATTCAAGTTGCGGATCATTTTAAAGGCGGTTTTCTATGATTATGCCAATTTACTTTATAACGTAAACATAAATTTAGAAAAAGGCTCACTTTATTTAAAACACATTTTAAACAAAATAATTTCGTTTACCGCTAAAAGTACGTACCCTATTTTGTAAACAAATTGATGAAATATAATGCACTAACAGGGAAAGTCGATGTAAATTGAAATAAAAAAGGCATAATAAGATTCTTGTCTTTCTTTTGCTTGTTGTTTGATTACTCTCTTCAACTATACATTCCCACTGACATTTTTTACACACCTTTTATATATATTTAAATCGTTTTAAGAAGATTGATTTTCAAGTATGCTTGTGAATTATTTTAAAAAAGACTTAAAATTCACCTGAACATGCACCTTTTATCAATATTTTTTATTGCTTAAAAAAGACAAAAATTGAGTTTCCCATGCATTTTTTGTGACAATTAAAATAATATTTTATTTTATGTTTCTCAATAATAAGCACAAATATACATCCATATACATTATATACATATACATTACTAGTTGTGTCACTCTAAATAAAGTTTACCTCACAAAATTCATGTTGCCTGCATTACCCGCACAGTTCGATGGAGGTAGTTTACTGGAAGTAAGTAAGGATTTTACAATTAAATGATGAAGTGATTATGTATTTCAACAGCCATTCAGTTTGGTTGAACAGCGTTGGTTATCACAATCTGGTTCAATATAATTCATGAAAAATCAGAAGTTACTTCAGTTTTCTTCATTAGTGCAGTTGTACTTGGTGTGAATCTGTGTCCGTCAGTTACTGCACTAGTATCTTCTTACGTGAGAATCGGCTACACCCATATATGCTGATAATATCCGATATGCGTTTGAAACCTTGTTTTCAACCAATAACAGGTAGAGGCGTTTAACAACCAACATCCAGTTTCAGTTTATGTGTAGCATTTTTGAACAACCGCTTTACAAGCAAAGGGAAAAGGAGTAAAGTGGGTGGAGATCGCTGTTTAGAAAGAACATGCTGCAAAGTGCAGGTTAGTGGGTGAATGTAAGAGCCATGCGGTGAAGATTATTCCTATCTTTACGAAGATAACATAGCCGCCCGAGGCGCATCAATTTCTACCGTACTCCTCCACTTAATGGAAAGAGATTATCGTTTCCAAATATTTTATTCAATGCTGCAATCCTGCATATGGGTGCGCCATTGAATATTTCGATGAAATGAGGTCGATATCGATGATAACAAAATTTCGTTTTTACAACTATATCATATATTATTTATATAACTATCTGGTCGAACACATCAATGAACTATAGATTAAGACAGACTATTAAACATTTTCCGTAATCTTTAACTTATATCGAGGACTATTTGACTAATAATAATTTTCCCAGCGTGTTAATCTCGCGGCATTAATTGCTAATTCTTATTTATTAGCATATATGAACAATTATATTGTATTTATTTAGGTAAAGGACGATTGGGTTTAAGTATTGATGCTTCGTGGGATTTATAAATATTCTAGATTTTTCCATGCTCATATCAAAATTGTTGAAATACCAGCATTTCAGCAGATGGTAAATGACGCAACATGTTTGTTGGCAGTGATGTTTGTCTGCTATTGCAAACTACTTGGAATGGTATCCGAAGAACAATAGAAATAGTATATTATGCAACAAGTGCGGTAAACGGCATTTGACACAAGAGTTTATTTGACACAAGCAGAGCGAGTATTTAATAAACGAGTGACTTAAAAAGTTTACCGAACGTGTTGCATACTATACTTTTTCTACGACCGTTAGTTTTTGGGTACATTTTCGCAAAACAACACGGACATATTCACTGACATGACCGTCAGAATTGACAAACATCAAAATTCAAGGCGTGGGAAATATCTCCGAAAACGTCCGATTGCTTCCAAACCCGTGCGGTAAAATCCCGGAAATGTCCGAAGTGGCTCCGATCCGTGGAAAACGAAACTGACGTGCTAAAGTGACGCTTCCCGCACACTAGATCGATGTAATTAGGCATTTTACAGACGGGAGTAGAAAATAGTATATTATGCAACAAGTGCGGTAAACGGCATTTGACTCACCAGTTTATTTGACTCGAGCGGAGCGAGTCCTTAGTAAACGAGTGACTTAAAAAGTATACCGAACGTGTTGCACATTATACTTGTTCTATGACCGTTAGTTTTTGGGTACATTTTCGCAAAAGAACACGAATATATTCACTGACATGGCCGTCACAGTTGACAAACGTCAAATTCAAGGCGTGGGAAATATCTCCGAAATCATCCGATTGCTCCACAACCCGTGCGGTAAAATCCCGGAAATATCCGAAGTGGCTGGAATCCGTGAGAAATAAAACTGACGTGGTAAAGTGACGCTTCCCACACGCCAGTAATTAGGTATTTTACAGACGGGAGTAGAAAAAAATATTTTTTCTATTCCCTACCCTTAAATACCCTATTATGCACTGACCAAGCATGCGCAAAGTGTCCTTTCAAAACGTCACTTCGTTGCATTAATCAGATATTTTCCGTAAAATTTGTCAGTTCTCTCGGTTATTTTACGCCACCCTTAACAAATGCATTTGTTTTGTTTTGCAAGAATATAACAAACACGAGGAACAATTATAAACATTTTTATTATTTTTTCTCTGTAAATAACTGTAAATGTCTCTAGGCATTTAACTCAGTTTACATTTAAACTAAAGTTTGTGAGTTTTATTTCACATTTAAGCCACCATATTAGGCTTAAATTATTGCGTTAGAATCATGGAATTTCGTCTATATACCTAGTTATTTAGAACTAATTTTTAATTTAATAATCTGTTTTTTTTTTCAAAATTTCGTTACGCCTAATGGTTAAATATTTATGCATTAGGTATGTTACTGTTTGAAGAAGTGAAAAAAAAAACAGTGCTAGCTTATAATAATTAGCAATTAAAAATAAAACTAGTTACTTTGTTTGAAATAAGAATGCTTTTATTTTGGATGCAGGAGGAAAATTGTTTTTTGTACTTTCTGTAATTGCTGAAATTTGATCAGCTTCATGTCAATTCGTTTTCATAAATATACGGAAGCATCGATTTGGGTTGGCGATTCTTAAATCGCCGAAGAAAGTTCAAGAGGATCTTGAAACCGCATTTTTTTACGCGTGTGGTGTCATATGTAGTTTTTGCTAGAAGGTCGCAGGACTGTTCTCGATTGGCTACATATACCCCCAAAAAGCATCCAATCAGCATTTCTTCATACGCTTTCAGACACTGTGGTGGTACTGTGGGTACCTTGCGAGCGCTTTTACTCGCGGGAAGTATGGTGTCCGCAATGTTTTCGGTACTCCTGACGTTTGGTTGTGTAGTTGCGGTTTTGGCGGGTAACGATTTGCAAAATAATGCCGACATTTTTCCGGATTTACCGTTGGGTGTCATTGATGGGAAAAATAATTTGTGTAGGGATCAGACCCGGATGTACTTAGAAAATTTGAGGAACATGAGTTTATGGGCTTACGAGAGTAAGTACGGCATTTGCTAGTGTTTATTTAAAACCGAAAAATATATGAATTGCTAAGTGTATGAATTTATTAAATTTATGTACGCAATACAAGGAATTATTATAGTTACAACACCTCATACATTTGAAATATGCTGCAACAATGTTTGTCTTATAATGTCGCAAATGTTTATATTATTAAGCAAAATTTTGGGAAGAAATTGTTGTGTAATGTATGTCGCCAACGTGAGAGAATAACATTTAATTAATAGGAAAGGTCAGTCAGTAAAGTATTTTAATTATTAGATCATATTTGTTACGTGGTTATACTAGATCGCGTAATAGAATACCGGTAAATTCAGTTGTAATAATATCAGCCATTTTAATAAGCTTATTTTAATGTCATTAAAATAACGCGGACTTACAAAATTATAGATAGACTTTAATTACTTTCATTTCAATGTAAATCTGGTTTTCAATTGGTTTCCGCGCGTCGTATTGACTTCATTATTCTTCCCCAAGGAGCTAGTGGTATCATTATATAAAAAATGTAATGATTTTGCGGTCTATTTGAGGAAAAAATCTGTCATGGCGCACTTAATTGAATAGGGAATAACGAACCCCAATATATTTTTTACATTTAAGAAGTAACTCATTAACTCCGATAGTAAATATCGAAGAACCCATTTTGTTTATTTCAGATGGTTATTTGTTATTAGTTATTAGTCATCTTGTAACTAGAATGAGATTTCACAAACGGTTGTAATATAAGCATGGGATCACGCACGTTTACTATCGCCGCAGAAATTGATTGGATGTGGTAATATCGTGCCTAACCACCAAAGCAATTAAATTATTATTATTATGATTCATTATATAGCGAATTTCAAAATTTAAGTACAAATTTAGCATACCTCTTGAAAGAGGTTGTTTTGAAATCCTTGCAGATTGCATTTTAGTCCCTTACGTTTTCGCTAAAAGAAGGTTTTTGAACTTCTTGAATAGCAACGACTGAGGAATCTGAATCGAATAGCAATTTATTTCATCGCTGAATAATAATTGCCCATCATTGCTGAATAAACAATTACTTAGGAAACCATAGTAATTATTCTGCAGCTATTTTAATATTTTAGGAAGTAGTTTAGTTTCCAACATTTTTACTTTGTATTTCTTTATTAGAAATATTTACTTCGAAAGTATTTCAAAATTTGGTATACAAATTTCCGTATCAACATTTGTCCGCAAATGCTTTATGGCCGATGTCCAGAGTATGGTAGTTTAGATTAAAATTACGTTTTATTGTATACATCAACGAATACGCATATTGGTGGTACGAATGTACAGGGAGATGTTTTCTTAGGGTCCACGAGCTCTTTCTTCTCACTGAATTATTTTGCTAGATTCTAAAATATGAAATTGGTTTTCAAAGGCGTTTAGTATACTATACTTCTTATATGACCATTAGTTTTGGTTAAAGTCTTGAGAAACAGCACTAGTATATTCATTGAGTGAGTTAAAATACCATCAGTGTTTTAAATATCTATATGATCGCTCCCAACCCGTGACTAAAGTACCGGAAGTGACTCGCGACAGTTTTTAATGAAGCTGACGTTTTAAGGTGATAATTTGCGCGCTCCTAATCAATGCGTAATTGGGAATTTTAGAGTAGGGAGTAGATAATCAAAATTTATCAGTACAAAGTGCTTTCAGCAAAATGTAAATGTACGCGCAGTAAATAATCGTTCGCCGTAGTAGCTGGTTAACAATAATTTTGCTATTACGTATTATCGTATCGATAGCTCTTAGTGTGTCAGTTAAAAATCAATTTTAGGTCGCAGCAGAAATATGCATGCAATAGTTGTTGGCAAATACCGAATTGCGCAATATTTGTAGCTCTTATCTAATAATAAGGAAGCTGACAGCTTGATGAAACGCTTTAGTCTATCCGAAATTGATCGTTTGTACTTATTTAACGGATTTAATTGCCGATCTCCTTAAACAATTACTTTTCTCTCGTCGGTTTCCCGTGGCTGCCCGCGACTGACCAAAATGAAACGTATGAAATTCTGATTTAAGATTTTTTATATATTTACTGCTTTTTACGAAATTGCTGACGTTTTGCCAATCATCCTTCTTCAGAGCTTGACCGAAACAGTTTCAGTCAAGCTCTGAAGAAGTCAACAGGATGATTGGCGAAACGTCAGCAATTTCGACTCAACAAAAACCGACGCAGGAGGAATCTAGAAGTTTTATAAAAAGTATTACAGTAGCCTGTGGAAATTTCTTTGAAAAATCTTTACTACTTCTTTTTAAACTGGAATATTTAATAACAAACACATTAAAATATTGAACTGAGGTGGTTTTTACTTGATGAAAATCCATTTATCAAAATAAATAAGAACTAAAAGTTCAGATTTTCACGATATTATATATTATGACATGACAATTGTTTCGACAACACCGTGTCTTTATCAAAAAAACATTCAAATATGTAAATCACAGTCTTCAACAAATTATCGAGAATATGGGACATACTCTCAGGTTACTTTACGGCAAACAACTGCCGAAGAATATTAAGTTCTAACTCGTCAAAAAGGCTTGTGATAAGGGTATTATATCTCAATTTTTTTTTAGAATAAATCGATTGCTACTGTTTTTTAAATCGTTTATCCTTGTTTGAACTAAGGATTTTGTCTATGTAGAATACCCACAGGCATGCAAAGAAATTTCGAAAATATCGAAAAGGTATCATGATAATTGAAAAAAGATTTGAAAGATTTTGAAAAAAAAACAATTTTGCTAACCTTTAAAAACACTTATGGATTTTTTGAATAAGTCCAAATTATCCAAGTAAAAAATCTAATCTAGGGAGACTGCTTTAAAATGTATGCACCTTAGACTCAGTATATTGACGACATAAGTTACTTTTTTATATTGTTACTCTCCTAAATAAACTTCCACGTCTTATTTCCAAAGATTCTTCCTCAAAACAGTTGCAAGAGGTGAGGAGGAGGTACAAAAATTATGAATTTACAACTGTGTAAAAAAGTGACAAAAAAGGCATGGCTACAAATTCATTCATTCTGGCGTTAGTTAATAACAATTTTGAAATTTACTTTTTTTTTTGTAAGTAAAGACCTAAATAAATATAAATAAAAATAAAATAAATATTTAATGTGTTTTCAAATAAATGAAGCATTTCTATGTGTTAATTTGGTCTCATCATTTTAACAATACAGGGAAAAATCAGAAACTTATATCTTGCACCTCAAAATATATTAATTAACTGATCCTAATGACATGAGTGTTACAAATCACGTAGAAATTGATATAATAAATGAGTCAAATTATTAAAAATAGCGGGCTTAACCAGGTATGGTCACTATAACGATTGTTTTATCGATTTTTTGCCTTAAGTAATATAAAAACTTTTTCTACGAGCGAGCTTGCAGAAACGGGGAAAACCAGTGCAAAAAGAATGCCCGGATTTTTGTCCATATTGAGTGTTCATCATATAGTACATGGATTTGCCTACAAAAAAGTACTGATATCTGATTTTTCGTAAAAATATGACCTGAAAATGATCTTAGTATTTTTTACCCATTCATTTAATTGTTACTAAAAATTTAAAAATTGTCTCTTTTCAAGAAATAAAAAATAATGGTTAAATACATATACGTGTTTAGGTAACCACGTTTCTATTTTAAGTCTTCCTGAAATAATACTGCTAAACAAATATATACTGCTTAGTATTAATATGCGCTTTTTTTCAGAGGTTTTCATTAATATCTAAATGATTTGAGAAAGAATTATAGGTAAATGAAGTAATTAACAAGGATACTCCATAAATGACCAAGAGAAAGACAAAAATCCCTTTACCAGCTATCCTTTTCTATTATAAAATTTGCCACATTTTCCTATCGCGCCGTTGCATTCTCATTTATATCAAGTGATACAAAGTACTATCGGTTATCTTTAGTGGCATTGTTACACAGATCAAAGATCAAAGTTCTGCCGATGTGCTGTAGAAAACGAGGTTAGGCGGTGAGAGTAAACAGGCTACTTACTCTTCACCTGTAATTATATAACGCATTTCGTCGACCTTGATAATATTTATCGGAGCTTACTCTCATCTCGATGCTCGGGAGAATTCATTTCGTAATCGTTAAACCTACTTTCTTGGCGTATGTTTCAACTGTGTCCGATAATACCGGTAGGGAGCGTTCTGAAAATGATCTTAATGTAATGAGTTTTACCAAGGATGTGACATAACGAAAATTTTAACTCATACCCGGCGTGATCACTAATTTTGTTGTCTTGCGTCATTTTCAACGGGTTTGGCTTACTCGGGTTGGTGAAATAATACACTCCCTAACTGAATGTTCAATATTTACGTAATGATATATTTTGAACCATCGCTGCCAAAGAAAAGGACTAAAAGTCTAAACTCTACAGTCTAAACTCTTATTTCACCATGGAGGAAAGGAATAAGATTAGCGTAGGACAAAATTTAATCTATTACCATTTATCACTCCCATGATTCCAGCCGAATATATTGTAGTCGCAGCTGTAGCTTGAAGTCAGACAATGTACATATCTTCATCATTTCCGGTAGAGCATAAAACAGTTTTTGCAGTATTTTAATTACGTGATTGACCGAAGTAAAAAATAAATGATTATTTATTAATTTATTTGTGATAACTGCATATTCCTGACTGAAAGAATAGGAAAGTTGAATGTGCAAATTGATGATAATCACCATGTAGATGGTAAAGGTCCCAAATACTGGGGATTCCCCGCAGAATGGCAACTTAAAAAAATTCCTTGAATTATCAAGAAGGATATATTACAAAATTGAAGCTATTCATTGCGAGTATCTCAAGTGCACAATAATTAAGCAAAATCACAATTTGCTTTACCGTTGCCATCTGCACGAACTATATCATCTAAATCCAGACCGCTGGTTCGGAATGACGATCAATTGTTTTATCAGAAAAAAATTCAAAGTATGGCCCTCCATACAAATGCTTACGAATAACTGGTTATTTTATTTGCGAGAAAGTAATGAGAATGTGCGCTATATCTTCTTGTATACGTATTGAATCCTTTTCCACAGACTACTTATCTATTTATTTCCATTAGGCACATTATAATTTACAATTAAAGGCGTTTTATAAAAGGTCGTAATTTTTGTTCAATGTGCTAATACGCGTTGGTAAATTGAACAGATAAAGAAGTTATCCGCAGTATGTATGTCATTAACAGTGAACTTGAATGAGGTAACCTACGACATTACTTAACCGTCGCTAGCCACTCGACGGTAAATAATGCAAGTAACTCTATAGGGGGGGCTGAAATGAATTCGATGTTAGAACACGAATATAAACTTCGCAGTACGTAGCAGATATCCTTTTACTTTCGTTCTATAAATTTTCGCTACGTAACTCTCCTGAAGAAATGTCGAAATCTTTAGTTAATTAATTACACGATCTTGCGAAACTACTTCTACTAATTTATTTTAACAAATCCCGAATCCAAAAGTTTTGAATCGTTCTTGAGTTGCACCGATTGTTTGAAATTACACGTTATCTTGGTTAGATTTAGGAATTTGGCAAAACAACTAACATTTTCGGTATCTGGTTTTATATTGTGACTTTTATAAAAAAAAACTCAAGATAGAGAAAAAGCAGATGAAAGTAATTCCACTCAGCCCCATGATATACCGAATACACAATACATTTGAAAAATCAGTATCAATTGAAATTGAAAATATTGCTTCAATCTGCTAGCATGCATACTGACATTTGCCGTGGACATCACAACATGCCAGCGTCCGCTCTAGCGTTAAGGCTGGGCAAAAAGACATTTTGCCGCCCTTTAACCGTTTACTCACAAATACATAAAATAAAAATCAAATGGTTTAGTTATAATTATTATTATAATAATCACATAATAATAATAATAACATAATAATCACTCAAGACCATCTTCTATGATTGTAGAACATAAAATATTATTAATTACTTTAGCTTCTCTCCCCACTTGCCGTTATTGGTGTAGTCAACAATATATAATTTTATTTATATTTAATCATATTCACAGATAAAACGTCGCCTTTCTGCAGAGTGCGCTGAGCGTGTCCATATTAACGTAATATAAAAAAAATGCGCAACATCATACGATAAAAATGTAGCAAGGAGACAAAGTAATGCGGACATCGCTGGTAAAGGATTTGTAATATCGACATTTTATGCAAAATATTTTAAGGATAACCACTAGCTATGTACATTCACGGAAATATTACTTCTCAAATATCACCGAAACAGTTTTGGACATAATTACGACACCAAAACAAGTCGCAGTCTCTTTTGTTTTGGTTCATATCTCAAGACGGAAAAAATGTTTTCTTTAAAATCTGAAAAATTAAATTCAGTCAATTTAACGAGAAAACAGTTGTATTAAATTATATCAGTCCTGATATAGTTGGGGAATTTGCAATATTTTTAAAAAACTAAGCTCTACTATTCACATGTACCTCATGAAAGATGATTTATAATTAACTGATTTGTAGATTCTAATTATAACTTGCATGTTTAATATAATTTTCCTTTTCTACTTCCGTCCGTAAAATAGTGCGGTAAACGGTATTTGACTCACGAGTTTATTTGCCACGAGCGGAGCGAGTTTTTAATAAAAGAGTGAGTTAAAAAGTTTTTCTACTCCCTTCTGTCAAGTATCTAATTACCCTCCGATCTAGCGTGCGGGAAGGGTCACTTTACCATGTCAGTTTCGTTTCCCATGAATCTGAGCCACTTCGGACATTTCTGGGATTTTACCGCACGAATTTGGCAGCAACCGGATGTTTTAGAAGATATTTCCCACGCTTTGAATTTTGACGTTTGTCAATTCATGTCAGTGAATGTATTCGTGTCGTTTTGCGAAAATATAACCAAAAACTAACGGTCGTAGAAAAAGTATACTATACAACACGTTCGGTAAACTTTTCAACTCACTCGTTTATTAAAAACCCGCTCCGCTCGTGTCAAATAAACACGTGAGTCAAATGCCGTTTACCGCAGTTGATGCATAATATACCATATTTATGTAGAATTTTAATGGAAATTAGTCCAATAGAAGTAGAATTTAGTAGAAAATTAATATAACATCCAATGAAATTGAAAATAATTGGAAAAAAATATTGACCATGAGAAATGGTTGTTTTTTTTGTAAGAAAAAGGCGGCGGTCAAGTTGTCCAAGTTGATAAGGATAAATACGAATTAAACGACTCTAATCAGTTAATTGTTGAAGGGGAAGAAAATTTAATGTGTTTAAACAATTTTTCGAAACGGCGTATTTATTATATAAGACAACTCGCCTAAACATTTCTTTATTGCAGTGCACGATTCAACGGCAAAATCCGTCACCGGAATTCTACGGGGAAGCATATTCCAATTCGGCCATTTCGAGGAATGTTTAAGCGCGAAAGCGCCATTTGCGACTCAATATTGTCTGACGGCGATATCAGCTGATGTTCCACCGCCTGACCCTCCAAGAGATAGCAAATCGTTATGGTACAATCCCAACGAAATCGTCCTGAGAAAAATTTATGTAAGTTTTGGTTAGTTTGATCAATAAACTCCGATATCCACAATTCTTTACGACTGAATAACTGACTGAAGTAACTAACAAAATTTCTCCATATAACATTGCATTCTCAGATTTCAAAATTAGTCTATAATTCTGTAATTTCTCAAGTGTTCCATCTAGTTGAAAATACTTTCGTTTCGGTTCACATCATCTACCTACAGGATTTTGTAATGAGGCAATTTTTTATTACGGTTATGGACATCCCCCAATTTTATTATACCTACATGCATTGTAGATATACATTAGTATTTCATATATCTCCTTCAAAATGCGATTTTTCGCAATTCGCCTACCTAATCACTTGCAACTGAGCGTAACAATTTGCAAATTTTTATTAACGAACACAAATAAGTGTAACAAACTTAGCGAAACTGGGATTACATTATATCTGCGAATTTGGCAAACTTACCTACTTTACGGTGAAATAATAGAGACCGGTCCTTGCGCTCTCTTAAAAAAAAGAAATAACGAAACAAATAGGTTAAATTAATCACTTATCAAATTCTACCAGTACTTAGGTGAATGAGATACCTCTGCCATAAGTTTATTGCAGCAATACGATTGTGATACAAAGTGAGTTATACAATTAGGTTAATTAAGTCTATTAAAATTAAAAAAAAATCGTTTTTGTCAGCATATGTCTTTAATTTTCACATACTTACTTGATCAATTTTTGTTTTGATAATTCATATAGAAAACTTAAATATATCGAAAAGGGGATGATTATATATAGTTTCCAGATATTTCAGTTTACTCATTACAGCGTTTTCGACGATAAATATAAAATATAGATATTTTAAAGGTACGTTGTTGATGTAAACTTTTTAAATTTTATAAGCACTAAGCTGCAATAAGCTTGGATCCTATATATCAGTTATTATTTCGATTAATCTTTAGAAATGTATTCGCCACATAATGTCATCTTTTTGTAAACTTCCATGATTCTGTTATTGCATAGATTTAAGATTTACGTGACTGTTACGCCAAGTATTTACTCCGAAAAATGTTATAGACTACGCCCACCCGCCACGCAAGCAACTGTCACGTACTGCACGCGGCTTAGATCAACTACCGCGGAATTTAAATGACAAAGGACAATCACCCTGCTAATTGGATATTTACTTTCCGGGCTTTTGCAAATTAAATCGCATGGCTTCTCCAACAACTAGTTTAAGGACTCTTTAAGGCTCTTGAAATTGCTTTGATCAATTATTACTACAAAACTAGCACGGTTTATATTAAACCACATTTCAAGTAACACTGACTGCTGACTCTCCCTTTGTCTTAATTTAAATCATGACAACAAAGTCTGCAATTTTGAGTGTCGTAGAATTAAGAATGAAATTGTACATTTTTAATTTTTATTTAATTCAATCATTGAAAGCTCTCATCTGAAAGCTACGCACCCGCCCATTTATAAAATTGAAGATCGCGTTGACACACTGTGGCAATACATAGTCACATACCTTTACGAAATATACTTCAATAAAAAAGAAATATTTAAAAAACAAGTTAAAATTAAATGCTCTATTGAATAATTAATGTTCTTTATAACCTAAAAGCTTTTTTATACACGGATTATCATAAAGTAAGTACGATACATTACATTAGTAATTTAGTTACAGTAAAATTGCGATTTTTTTTATCAGAAAAGAAGTCTTATTGGTAAGAGCCCATGTCAAAATTTGATAAAAGTCAAATGATATTATGTGTGCTTGAATCGCGACGCTGAGGTAATTTGATTATTTTGGATTACTGCGTCACGAATTTTAGGTTAGTTTTTTTAGGTTGTTGGCCATTATACAGCGTGTGTCACTTAAAAACTGTACACTCTTGGGAACTCTTTGTTTATGGATCGATTTTTATTTTTTTTTGTTGGATAGATCTGTGAAAAATGCACTAAAACCTTGTTTTGCTTATTGCTTCAACTTAAAGTCATGGCCAACTAGGACTATTTAACAAAAGGGAGAGAAGAGAGAAGTACTATTAGGGATTTACAAAAAATAAATTTTTCAACGAATTCCTATTTGAAATATGCCTCGCTTAAGACTGTATATCCTTGTAAAATCTTACGGATTACGGTTTGATTTTGATAACTTTTTTGTTGTTAATAGATCTCTCAAAAACGCACTAAAACCTTATGTTTCTTTTTACATCTCATGTACTCATGTAGAATGTTTGTTTATTTTTTTGATTTTGATAATTCTTTCTTGCTGGGTAGATCTTACTAAATAGAAATGAAACAGTTTTTTCTAAAATCCTGGCTATTTGACACAGTTTTTTGAAGCGGAAAATCGAGAAGTACTTTTAGAGATTTTTTCAAATTGAAGAATGACAACAGATTCATATTCAGGACTCCCTAAAAGTAATTAGATCAATGACCAAAGCTTTTAATGTTTTAAAAAAATACATATTTGTAAACCTTGTAAATAACGATTGTTTTGTTTTTTGTTCGGTTTTAAAATATTACAAATTTTAATTATACAAATTTAAAAAATAATGATAAAAAAGATTTTTTAAGGGTCAGTTATTTTTTAGTATCATCTTAAAACAACAGCATTAATAAATTTTAGTATTCGAAAAGTATAATGTAAACAAAACTAAAACAAAAATTAGCTAGTAAATTTGACAGTCGGATATTCGCTTCCCCGTGGCAAACAAAAAATTTGATATATCTGTTATTTACATTATTAGATGAGAATTCAATATCCTTTTTAATTAACAAAATGCAACGTTGTCAAGTCTGTTTATTTCATATCTAATCCTCGCTAATAGTATTTATTTTTAAGAGAATCGTTAGTGTCTTTCAGTGAAATCTATCCAACCAAAAAAGAATTGTCAAAATTGAGCCATAAAACATTCTACAGGAGTAATGCTTAAGCGAGACGCCCTTGATATTTAGAGCACTCTGTATTCAAACTTCAAGGAAATTAGTATAGTTAGGTCTTATGTAGTTCTGAATATAAATTCCTTGACATTTTATTCTTAAAGAAATCCCTAATAGCCCTTCTCGATATTTGATATCAAAAATTAGTCCCAGTTAGTCATGACTTCAGGTTGATGTAATAAGAAACATAAGGTTTTTGTGCATTTTTCAGAGATCTGTCCAACAAAAAAAATTATCAAAATCAAACCGTAATCAAAGATTTTATAGCGATGTACAACCTTAAGTAGGGCGTAAACGATATTTTAAACAACCTTTATTGAAACATTATAAAAATTGGTTTAGTTGCGTTCTAAGTACTCCTGAATAAGAATTCGTTGGCAATTATTTTTTTTAAATCCCTGATACTACTATCTCTTCTCTCTCTTTTGTTGAATAGTCTTAGTTGGCTATGACTTTAAATTGAAGCAATAAGCATAACAAGGTTTTAGTGCATTTTTCAGAGACCTATCCAACAAAAAAAAAGAAAATCGAACAATAAACAAAGATTTTACAAGGGTGTACAGTTTTTAAGTGGGACGCACTGTATATTCTAATGATATAATTTTTTTTTAATCCAATATATGTTTGCATGTGAGTGGGATAATGAAATTTTATATTAAGTTCTCAATATTAAGTTTATTATTAGTATTAGTTTATTATACTTTTCGCATATCTCCTCGATTTGCTCGATAACCTTTTTAGGAGGATTTTAAAGATACAAGTTATCGTTACTGCTTACTTTTTCATCTATGTTTCAAAAATAACTCTACAAATATAATATACAATAATTTCAAATAACCCAGAAATTGATTGGTGTTTTTGTTTTAGGATCACAAAGATCCGTCCCAGCAACCAGAAAATTCTGTGCTCGTCGGGTGGTGCATCCCCGCAACGTGTTCTGCGAGTGATCTTCGTGATCATTTAAATAAATATTTGGATGAAGTTAAATCTCCATTTAAAGAAAGGAATGTAACTTACGTTTCGCACATAGACGAAAAGAGTTGTCAAACAAAAGACGAAATACAGTATCTAGATCATATAGACATTTCCTTCTGGTAATTCTTATTTTATTCATTTCGACCTTTTGTTTTTGAAACATCCTAAACGAAAAAAATACAAAAACAATTGCAATATGCTATTCGAAAAATTCGCATCACTCAAGTTTTAATGAAATGAAATATTTTAACATAAATTTAAAAAATGTGTCCCTGAAAATGTTTGAAAACGAAATTAAAAATTTTTTAGCCTGGTATCCGTAATTATTGCAGCTTTAGTCGTCGCCTCCACGATATTTGATGTTATTTTGCAACACGAAGAAAAACTGTCAAGAAGTAAGTAATACTTAAATGAACTAGCTCAATTTTAAAATGTGAAGGAAGCTTCAATCAAATCTCCGTTTATTATATATTAGCAATAAATACTTGTAAATCTTGTTTTGCTTTGAAATAGGCTCTCCATTGCAAAAGCTGGCACTGTCCTTCTCACTTAAAAACAACTTTGCCAAGTTAACGAGGAACGAAGACTCCAACTCCGCTTTGCAAATTTTATACGGAATGAGAGTTTTCTGCATTTTGATGATCATCATTGACCACAGATTCGGAACATTCCTCAGCAGTGGAATACTAAACTTCAATACGGTTGAATTTGTAAGTCGTATTAAAATCACTGAACAATACATTTTCCTTGAAAGTGTTTAAATCAAATCATGCAAATAGAAGTATGTGTGTGCGGGTGTGTGTGTGTGCGTGTATGGTATAATGATTTAATTATTTTCGTGGTTAGTTGCTGTTAATTATTCAATTATTGTCAATATGGTTTCTCACAGAATTTGTTGATTTGTATGATAATGAGTGCCTCTAGAAAACAGGGGTTAGACATAAAAAATACTGACTGCATTTTAATGTAACCATTGAAAAAAGTTTTAACAAAACTTGATTGATGAAACAAATTGACGCTGAAGACAAAATTCATATGTAACATTTAGTTTCGGAAACTTAATGAATAAACGAATGTATAATGGCTCAGGACAAAGTGACCAAAAGACTGAGAGTGAGAGCAAGAGATTGGGTGAGTGGGTTGGAGTGTGAGGGGGGTGGGGGGAAGATAGAAAGAGATTAAATTTAGATCTTAGGGATAATAGGCGATTTATTATTAATAGCTTTAGACTTTGTTTTTACCATTTTGAACTTCCGGAATAATCGGATGTAATTGCAATTTTAAAATAATTGATAAAATATCGTGTATGTTATCTTATATTCGAATATGGGATGTCAGGAGCAGTACTTAACCAGTCAAAATTTAATAAGCCTATGAAACATTATCAATAGCAGTAGTTGTAAAAAAGTAAGTTTTTAGCTTAAAAGTAAAAAATGTGACAACTGGTTAAAAGAGAAATTGGTGATTCTATACTTATAGTATACTATAGTTTCATAGATTACCAAACAATAATTACTTCTCAGCTCTAAGTTTTTAAAAATTTCGGTTTATAAAAACTTACACAAAATTTTTGAATCTGCTCTGTTTGAATAAATCATTTTTAGAAAAAATAAAATAAAATTGTGCTTACATTTGAAAATCAAAGCTGTTAAAAAAGTCATAACAGATGCTCACATATATTTCTCGACAACTAAATATTCAGGTGCTTAATTCTCTCTGTTATGGTTAGTCTGTTTTGGTTAGTCTCTTGTTGTTTTGCCCATTATTGGATACGTCTATTTCGTATTGATTTATTTCTTTATTTCTTAATGTTTTTCAGCAATATAGATCGACGTTTGGAACCCTATTTTTCCACGGAGATTTGTTCGTGGACTCTTTCTTCATCTTGAGTGGTATATTAGTCTCCTATTGTCTGCTGGTACAGTTTGAAAAGAAGTTTATTAATCCTGGCATCTTAATAATAATGCGTTATATCAGGTATGATATTTATGCTCCACAGGAAAACGAGTAACGCCATTGATATAATTTTAATAGCTACAAACGAATTGAAAATACCGCTCAAACCTGGTCTGGCTGATTCAATTTCAATGACAACTAATAATAAAACATAAATAAAATATAACTTGCCCATCTTCTGCTTCGGGCTATTTTTCAGTTTCGATCATCCAATCAAGAATCAAATATCCTACCCTCATGTTTTGGTTCACGCTGTATATATCTGGACCCTATATTAAAAATGTCGATGTACGTATCCGATCATATTAAAATGCAAATTTTAGGCTAACACCCTTGTACGCATACGTTATTTTCTTTTGTGCCACAATATTTAATTTTACTGGATCCGGAGCTATGTGGAAAACGATAGTCACGCCCGAAGTTCAGGACTGCAGAGAAAATTGGTGGATCAATTTGCTTTACATCAGCAATTACGTTAAACCGGAAAAAATGGTAAGCTATCATTTTTAAATTCTATCAGTAGATAAACCAAACTTTGTACTTTCTTAAAATAATATATTTCTCTGTAGTGTATGGTCCACACTTGGTATTTGCCATGCGACTTCCACTACTTCATCCTAGCTCTGCCGCTCTGCTTGGCGATCCATAAGAACAAGAAAGTCGGACTGATACTATTGGGAGTTTGCACATTCCTCTCGGTTTTGGTACCATTCATTATCATATTCCTACACAGTCGGCCAGCAGTACTGTTCTTCTATTTGGACTTCATAAGATCTCCAAAAACGCACACGGACTTTCTGTTCACGTATATTAAGTCCCATGTGCGAGCCGCGCCATATTGCATTGGCATGATCGCGGGATATTTGTTTTACAGAATGAGGCAACAGAAATCTAACTTGAGTCTGGTAAGCACAACTAACGAGATCCTATTGTTTGTAATAATCATTTCATTTTGTGTGACGAATCTTCGAATCTTTCTTACGCTCAATAATGAAGTGTGAGAATAGTGTACAATGCTGGAAGACAAAAAGAAAACGTGAAAGAGCACACAAAAAATTTAAAAGAAAAAAATCAAAACCGTCGACATTATTTATACTTGCGTTGTAAATTGCGTAGTGTCTTGCACAATCGTTTGGAATCGAGTGCACTAAATTAATAAATTGCTGCGTTTTTAATGTCTCGCACTGATAAGCAAATGATTTGTAGGATTCCAAAAATTGTTGGAAGCCTCTTTCTAAATAATAAAAAAGTGTTGTAAATGAATATTTCTTCTCATGACAGTGAGTTAAATAACGAGCAATCGCTTTCTCCTTTGTTCTTATTAAGAATGTGTGTCGACGATTACATCAATTTTCGTGTGATTGGGATATCACGTTTCTAAAGTAAAATGTTATTTTATTGATCTAAGGGGTTAGTTTGCTGATGGTCATTATTTCCAAAAAATGATTTTGATATGAAGTTTATTGCGTTCTTGTTCATGTTAATTCTTCTTAACCATCAGTTATACAGCATGACCACTTTTCCGATGGGTATGGGTGTCGCAAAGCTACCAAAATTAAATTATCAGGCTCTCAGAGGTAGACTACTAAATATTTTGGAAAAGTCTAATTTTTTGATTCTGGTAAATCCTTTCTACGACACTTATTTACAGTTATACAAAATTATAGAGTTTGCCATGAGTTTCCTTCCCCCATGTTTTGTCTTCAGGTTGTTCTATTTTAAAATTTCAATGTTTTTAGTCGTAATAGGGTATTTTGCTTGAAAATTAGCCTTTATTTTTGCAGTAAACTTTTGGCCAAACCTGCAGGCTTCATCAAAAAGAAAAAAGTAATAAAAACCTTGCAACTAATTTAAAAATATATATATTTACATATGCAAAATGACTAGTACCTACAGAATCGTGGTAGACGCATACAATATGAAAATGTTAAAAAAAAGTGGATAAGTAATTATTTTTAAAAGGTGTTAACCAAGCTGCTCAAATTTTTAAAAAGTCGTGATGCTGATGGTATAAAAGGATATTAAACAAAATCTGAACAACCGTTGTTAACCAAGTCATAAGCAAACTATTGCATTCTAGCTACCAGCTACTATAAAAAATATACAACCGATTCGGAGCACAACAGACTCAAATATAATACTAATGTATTTATCCGAAATAACAGTTTCAATGTGGCTTCCAATTCGCTGTTGACAATGCTCATTTTTATAAGTATGCGAATAAATTAGTGACGTATTTCAAAAGTTAGTTACGCAAGCCAGCCTCAGTTTATTTATGTTATACTTCTACCACTAACAATAATTATAATAAATTGCTATTATTAAATTGTACGATAAAACCAAAAATCATTTCGCAACTAAGGAGGGCTTGTCACAAGGAAATCGTCCGAAGCTGTTTTGGCTTTAAAAGACATTGTTATGTAATTTGCCAACAATAACTACAATTATTGCTAAGTGGGCGTTAAGAAACGCAAAAGCGTAGCCGTATTCAGTGATTCCCGAATATATAATTTTTTTGCGTAACTATTTTTTAAGAAAAGTAGAACATAAAATCAAATCAAAAATCTTTAATCAAATAAAATAGTATGGGAATACAATTAATTGACAGAAAACAGACTTGAATAATTTTGTTAAGGTTTGTGGGAAGTGGTTTATATAGTCAATACGATTTGCGATGGTATCGGTGATTCATTTGCCTGCCAGTGTTCTAAATTTGTCTATTACGCCCCGGTGTGGTACATTCGACAGAGATCGCACCAATTACCTAGCAATTACAGTAGGTCGCATTTTTGAAAAACTGCTGCCGTATTTAATTATTATGGATAATGCGCGGTATTATTCTAGACTTAGTGAAAGTCTACCAAATGCATCACAAGAAAATGAGAAATTCTCAATTGACAACGCAGTAAGCAGATTAATTACCTAGAAATTGGTCTAAAATGTGAGTTTAAATTTGTAAAAAATTACAAAATAAACTTGTCCTGTGCTACAGACGACGTAATTGATCAAATGGATTATCAAGTTTTAGGATTGCTTCCTTAATGCCATAGAATTAGTGTGGGCACAGTGCAAAACTTTTTTATAATAAAATTAATATAAGTGGTGATGATACTGCAATAGTATCTCTTTCTAAAACAGCTCTCCAGACACTTACCAAAGAAAACTGGATCAGTTGCATAACACATACAGACAATATAATAAAAGAATACTGGGAAAAGAGAATACACTTGATATAACGGTACCACTACTTCTTATAAATGTAGACGAAGGATCATTTTCTCGTAGTAGCAGTTAAAAAATATTGTTTCTGATGATGATGTTACATAGTAAATACCAACTAAATATGGTTTATTTGTATATTTACTCTACTCTTTACTCCTGGCAAATTATATTTTATATTTTTTTTAATTTCACGATTTTTTTTGTATTGTTTTAATGTTTATTGCAGAGTTTTCAGACAATAGTTTATTAAGAAATTATCATAATTAAGAGCAACGCCCTGATCTAATATTACGTCAACAATACATGAATCCATTTCTGAGTATGGGAGTACTAGTTTAATTAATAAATGCCTGATCGTTAGTGACGGCTGCCTTGCATTGATCAGATAGACATTTAGGCCGGAACAAGATCTGTTGAAGTATAAGTGGAAGCAAGTTGAACAATCTATCTTATTTGATTTTTTTAAAACTTTATTCGAGCGTGGTTTGTAACAAAATGGTCAAGAACTGTCTCACAATTGTTCGTATACTCATATTTATATAAATCTAAATGCTGGCATAAGAATTATAAGAAGCAATAGTAACATTATTGTCTAGATGCTCACTAAGCAATAATAAGCATAAGGGGATTTATAACTGTACCGACTATAACTTGTTATTGATAGTTTGTTATTGTGTAAGCTTACATCTCTTTTGGCACTTGGAAAAATATAGGGTGTCATGAAAAATTGAAATTTAATTATAAAAATTGGCATGAAAATCCAATTTTTTAATACCTACTTCAACACAAGAAAATCAATTCAAATGGGTAACCGTGTAGCCACTAGCAGCAATGGGTGAATCGACAATACAATGTTTGAAATTACTCTATTACAAATTTTGATTAGTTTTTATTTTTGAATATGAATTTTTTTTTTCAGATTTCGTCGTATTTAGTGTTCTTTGTGTCCTTGATTTTGATGATAGGCTCGATAACTACAGGCGCAATTTTCTACAATCCATACTATAAATATAACGCGTTAGAATCAGCAGCATACGCTGCTCTCCACAGAGCTGTTTGGTCTGTTGGTAGCGTCGGCATACTCTACGTCAGCAGCTACGGCCACGTCAAATTGGTGTACAATTTTCTGTCATGGAAACCTTGGATACCGCTCAGCAAACTAGTATACGGGGCTTATTTGGTGCACTTTCAGTTTCAGCTTAGGGCTGTTGCGAAAAAAAGCGCCGCTGATACGACAACTTATTTCGATATCGTAAGTGCCGTACCATTGTTATGCTGTTTCCAAATTTATGTATTTATACAAACACAATAAAAATATAAATACAATTCATAAATATCTGGCGAGCATACAAATGAACCAAAAGGTTTATATATGCTCTATAAAGCAAATATAATTATAACATACTGGTTTAAGCCCGTAACAGAAAAAAACATTTTCAAAAAGCTAAATACATCTTGGAACCAATATATGCAACAAGTTAGTTTTCCAAATGCACTCGGGGTGCAATGAGACCGTCCGTACTTCTCGTGGCAACATTTGTATTTTCTTGAATTTTGCAGGTTACATGATCATATATCTAGTTAGAATGTTATCAGTTGGAAAACAACAAGCAGAACAAATACAACGGAAGAAATAAAATTAAAAACTATCGGCACTGACATTAAGAGCGTATTAAAAAAAAATGTAGATATTATTAATATCGTGCTGCGCCTTTTGTGACCCCACTCATCGAAAAGGTGAAAACTTCTCTGAAAAGGTTTTTTACGTAGAATTTATTGTAGTCAGTTTTCTTTTGAAACTAAAGTTGTTTCTTTTTTGTAATCGAACGTCTGTATGTCATTCATAATTTAATTAGGCTTGTTGGTAACACACAAGTTGTATTTCAAATACAAAGCATATATTTATAACTTTAATGTTATTTAAGAGTAAGGAAAAATATATCCGTCTCAAAGTATAGATATAATTGTCGGTCATGACGTTCTGTACATATTTTTTCAATTTCTGCATCCTCTTTCCTTCGCATTGGTTCATGTTAACCCAAAATATGACAATTATGAGAAATTTATTAATGCGCATTTAATATCGCACACCCACAAGTTTCTTTATGTAATTTATATAACAAAAATCTATAATTTCCATGGGCTAGTTATACATATAAAATAACTCTAATGTGTTATTTATTTTGAAAATGCTAATAAGAAGTCTGATAAAATTATTAAAAGAAAATTAACTACGCCACTGGGTCCTAGTTAAAAACCTCTAACCAGACCAACTTTGGCCTTTCCGATAAGATTACGCATAACCGATCTACGAATGGTGTCCATTAATGCAAAATTTCCAAAATCACTTAAAAATCCAAGATGGCTTTGGCAACAGCACGCTTTTATTAATAAAGGAGATCCGCCGTAAAACCATCAAAAATGGGACACGCGGTATAGAATGACATAAATGGAAGGGCAAATGTATTATGTTTATTATCTAGACGCATAATTAGATACCTATTTGAAAATATAGTGACCGCCGACAGAAAGGTCAAAATCAGGTTAATCCCTTGGATTTCACAAACTAACTTGTTGCTTTGTTAAATTTTTTTTCTAATTAGCGATCTCAACTCACATAACTTTTTTTTTAAACAACAAACTGAAACTGAATTGACGAACTGTCGGCCACCATAGTCGTTGGAGTACTCCCCTAGGTTTTATTGGTTGGAAACAAGATTTGAAATGACCGCGAACGCGCATTTTTTTTTTTTTTTTAAAGAAATATTCATTTAGAATTATTTTATTAATTTATTAATAAGGTGGAATGAATATTAGATGTGACATTTTATTTTAGATTAGTTATGGATTATCCGATGCTGTACTGGCTTTTTCAACCGCCTTTGTTTTATATTTGGCGGTAGAAGCTCCATTTAGAAATATATTTTCTTTGCTTTTCTTCCCGCCTAAGGAAAACCAACAAGTCAAGTCCAAGGAAGAGAATGTGAGTGAAACAACCTGTGATAGCCATTTATAAAAACCCCGCAAAGACTTCTGTAATTTCTTTTGAAATTACCGCATTTTAAGCTTTGATGAATATGTTTATCAACAACTGTTGCTACCAACTTTATGCAATGTAATTTCTCAAAGTATTCCAATATTTTTTTAGGATGTGTAAATATTAACTAGTCATGTTGTAAATAGTAGATTAAGGCCCTTTCAATTTTGAATTTTTTTACTTAATAAATAATAGTAATACATAAAGTCTCATTATTTTATTGTTTGATAGTTAATAAAGATCCTGGTTATTGAATTGGGTTAAAATCAAAACCAAAATTTTATTTTCGGTATTTATTGGTTTGTAAATAAATACACTTTTGTTTTAGTAACATCTCTTTTGGTTTTTTTTATTGTAACAAACATTTTTGTTGTAACAACAATTTCAAAAGAAACTAAATGGATAATAAATATTTCTAGTAAAGCCATCAATCACTAATTTGGAAAGTGTAAAAAGAAATACAAAAATATACAAAGATTAAATCAAAATGATACGAATAAAATTCGCTCTATAAGAATATAAGATGTTTAACTTGAATATTCGTTTACAGAATACAATTTCTTTTAAATTGGCACTGATCTACGAAAAAAAAATAATCCTAGTTATCTTCCATTTCCAGCTTGTGGTTTTTGAAGATGTTCGACAATTCATCTATAAGCGTTTCATAACGGAAAGCTACTCTAATATCCGGTACATTGGTTCTCGCTATGTCGTTACCAGCCACACCTTCTTTGGTATAATTTGGTCCAAGCCAATATTGCTTAGTTTTATGTGGAAAACCAGACATCAGAACGCTGTTTCGCGCTAACTCGCACATATCACAGCTAGACAACTTCCATACTTGGGCGGCAATCGAATATTCCTCCATCAAAGGTTCCTTGGTAAAGTGAAATTGTAGCGGGTCGTCGGTAGACAAAGATATCACCAAACCCCTGGCCAGATATTCGGGTAACGGATTGCGATGGTAATTCAAAAATAGACTATTGTTTGACAACGGTGACATTGCGATACCGATCTGAGCCAAATAATACAAATACTGAAGTACCGGAACTTTTCGCAATAGCAAACCGTGGGAAATATTTTCCGAAAGCATATAGCCGCATACCAAATGCTGGATCGGCCCGGCTTCTCCACAATGCGGTCTCAGGACGAAAGTCGGTAGGCCTTTCTCGGCCCTAAAGTGGTTCAACACGGTAAGGTTTGCGTACATGTAATACATGTAGTACGCGTAGTTTGGATTTTCGTCATCGGTCCAGTCTTCGGGTTTAGGCGTGTCCTTGTCAAAAAGCGGATTTTTTTCGGGTTTACTTTCGTCGTCGACAGAATCGAACCCAACCACGTATTGAAGGAATTTGTGGAGCTCGGGGTGAGAACTGGGACGAGCGGTCACTTCGAATAAAGGCACGAATATGTTGTCGATAACTTGCTGGAAGTTGGTCAGCACCTTGTTTAATTTGAAGATATCGCTGTTAAATAAAAATAAAAATTATAACTGCCAACAGTCCTATAAAAGCAACAAAAAAAACTACTTATACAGTGTACGAATTTTTAATATTTTTGTTCACTAAGCCACTAGAAGTACATCTTCTTGCATCTTTTCGAGCGAAAAAATAAAAATCATGAAAATTGACACCTGTCTCTTGAAAATTAAGCATTTCGAGAGTTACGTTATATGAACCTTTCTGAATGTCTTTTTAACACTCTGTATATGCTTTGACTATTATTAATATTTTATTTTAATCACGCTATTAGGCCCAACTACAAGGTTTTCAAAAATTTTGTTTTTGTGATTTGTGGCGGCCTATAAATATAAAAATTACTTTCATATTACACATTACAGCATACTACGATCAAAATAAGAGGGATTTTGAATGTTGCCAAAAAAAAAACCTAATTTTAATCTCTCGAATCCTTAAGAAGTATTGAAGTTAATTTAAGCGAAATTTGCAGAATGTATAACAATAAACCATATTTTATCTTATACCGGGTATTCTAGTACGATTTTTAAGAGGCCACAACTTGATTCATGTAAATGGAATACAATATTTTTTAATGTATGTGTAATTTTTAATTATACAGTTTTTACACCCTTTTATATGTTTTCCCAGAACAGGTTATAAGACATGATTTTTGACGCTATTTACCTAGTTGCCTATTACGCTTTGAAATGTCAGATACTTTATTAAAGCGTTCAATTTGGAATAATTAATTAAAATTCTCACTAGATTAAATTAGATTTTTGGCAGGCTGTGTCGTTACATTTTACGGCAAATTTTGCATAAAAAACAAAAAATAATTCGAATTATTTAAAAATGCTTCCATCATCCGTTTCATTACTATAGAGGGTTCTATCTTAAACAATACTTTAGAGAAATTAATTTTAAAAAATTAACTATAAGAGAACCCTGTAGTCCAAAAACGAAGCTTTTTGAAAACCTTGTGCACAATATTCCGTGCCTTATAGAGTAAATAACCCAGTATAGTCACGTCTGCTTTAAAATATGTAATAAAATGTTAAAAATGATTTGTTCGTTTGTTTTGAAGTTATAACGCAGAATTAACTAGAAAAAACGTTTATTTTCTTGGCGATACTTACAAAAGTCTGGGCGCTTGGATCAGCCAGCGAACATTTTCTGAATAGACGTTGGATTCAATGGCCCACGCAGCTAGCATGTCCCATTCGTTCTTGCTCTTGCCGTAGATACTCAGACGAAGTTCCGCATTTTGATACTTGGATTCCTCCAAATCGCTGCAGACCTCTTTTATAATACTCGCAAAGTATTTTCCGTTAATGTAATTATCCGTTTTTAGAAAGACTTCACGCAGCCTGCTCTCCCCGATTGGATTATATTTAGCATTAAACTTATCGAAACGATGGAACGTGTTTCTGTCAGCATGAACATCGAGCATATCTACTGTGAGATCGAACGGTGTCAAATTCATCGACTAAAACAGGATATGAAAAAAAAAAGCTTAAACATTTTTATTATTAATCTAAATTGAAGAATGTATTAAAGGGGACCAGGAATAAGTGATACCAACAAAAAGAGTTTCCTGATATTTCTTTCAGAAATAGCCCTACTAGAGTGCATTTTGTGATACAAATGCTAGTTTTTTGAATATTAGGATATACTAATATGGAGTGCATAGAATGAGATGACGTTAGAGCGACTTGATATGCAAATTTCACATGCAAATCCAGTTAACATTAAGTATTGTGTGTTATAAATGCACAAGTTTCAATGTTGTACCTCGTAAAAGCTCGACCATATTAAGTTTAAATTACCTACTATATGTATTGACCTAAACTAGGTTTTAATAAATAAAAAATGAAATCTATTTCTGCATGCTAAACCATAAACGTTTTCGATAATTTTAGCAAAAAATGAAAATGAAAACCCTCCTCTAGGTCCCCGAAAACAGTATTTTGAATACTTAATAACTATTACACTACTATTTTACCTTACTCCCAAATATAAGCGGAATTTGTGCTACTCAAGTAAATTTAACGATACATGGGACACAGAAGAAGTTGCCAAATTTTGACTAAATATAACTTTGCCATTTGCTCATGGTAGTTTCACACAATAGCCATATTTCCATAGCAACAGAGTTAAAAAGAGATCCCGAGATGTTGACCTAGCGATTCATCCAACATCATAAAGAACTTTACAAGACCATCTCCCCCCATATTCCTAGCCAAAAAATGTAATTTTTTCGCTTCTTACAGTTACACCCAGTATCACTGCATATCATATCGGTTTATTTATGATTAAAGTTGGTTAAAGGAAATCGAAAACATTGGGAATTTTTTTCCATATTTCCATTTAACATTAACTAAACATGAGTAAAATTTATTTAAATTCGTGAATGATATAAGCAACCCAAAGTAAGCACAAAGGAAAAAAAAGCACCTAACTAAAAATAATTAAATTAAATTCTATTTATTACATCACAATACAAATAAACCTAAGTTTTATTATTGCTCAATGCGGGATTATGTATATCTACTCTAAACTGTCATCTCGTAACTCACACACCAACTTACTAAATCTATAACTTCATCCTCTTGTATACCGACCTGGAACACTTCTTTTAAAGTCATCTTACGACCTCCATTGGCGGTGACTACTTCGTCGGCGTTATTCTTTAGGGTTTTCTTGATAAAACGGAGCAAATGTTTTTGGTTCATGCATGAGGCGGCATGAATGTGAGTGTCCACCTTACGAATGTTGTAGAAATCTCTATGAGGTACGGCTTTCTGAGATGCCAATTCACGTAGCTCATTCAAGAGTACGTGCAGCTGGAACTTGGATGACAGGTAACTTAGACGACGATAGCAGAAGGATTTTCTAGAAGAGGAAAGACAGTATGTTAAAAACGAAATAAGGTAAACTACGGCAACTAAAGAAATAATTCGAAAGCTTCAACACCAGTCAGCTGAGACTTTCGTTTGTCTAAATAGCAGTACTTCCTGAGGTTTGGATTTCCTGGAAGAGAATGAGGTAGAGGAAGACTTAACCGGACAGAGAGGACAAAAATACTCTCTGTAAGCTACAATGAAATCCTCTACATGTAGCCTACATATCGATATCTAAATGTTAATCTTTGTCAGAGTCGAGAATTGCATTGTCAGCGCTTTTCGGATAACCTTTGCACTTGAAGGTATTGTATCACCTTAATTAATTTTGTGGACTGGGGTGAGCACAAAATATGTGGATTAATATTTTGATTGATATATATCAGCAAAAAATGTGTTGCCAAGATTTTATATTTACTAGAGAAAAGAAACATAGGTACTTTTTTTTTCTCTATAAGCAAAAAACCAATGTTTTTTATCCAAAAAAGTGTTATACTACTTTCAATAAACGATTTGCAGGAGAAATAACTTAGCTGAAACTAAAAAATCAATATGGGTTTTGGAAAACTAGGAAGGATTCATGTCGATTCTATTCATTCGAATAACTGAATCTATGACATATATACTAAATTGCATAATATATATTTGTTTTAATAATATCTTATTAGGATTAGTCCACAACATCCAAGAATATATGATTCTATAATGAGTTTATAAGCAAAATTATGGGAGACGCTTAGAGACAATTTAATGAATGGCATGATTCACGTTCATCCTCACAAAACTGTTTTGTTTTTTTAATTGACTCAAATTTTGAATAAGTAAATGAAGAACAATAAAATATTTTTTATAGGTTTTTTTAAATATATTTTTCTTTACAACTTTACTCATTGCCAAATAAAAAAAAATATTGCGGCGCAATATGTTCCTCAAGCTAGATAACATCACAAGAAAAAACTAACTGTAGTAACAAAAACACTTTACTAGATCAGTTAAAAATATTCCTTATCGCAGCAACATTATTTTATAAAAGAGACAAAAGGTAATCCCATAGAAGCTGTGCTCTAACAATAACTGTCTAGATTAAAATAGCAAGGGATTGTTTTTAAAATTTCGCTTTGCTATTGAAGAAAAAAAAAATACAAATGAATTTTGCTATATCCAAAAAGCTCTTGGCTGAAGTCTGTATAAAAATCTTCTCTCAGTACGTATGATACATAGTTAAATTCATTAACTACTTCGATAACGGAAAAGCACGGTTTTTTAATTTTCTATCACACTACTGCGTATTAAGATTGAACTTCGGAAAGAATTTTCGGAAAATCGATTTTTCCGCAAGCAACTGCCGCAATGCCGTACCAGTCGGCAGTTTATTATATACGCAGTGAATATTTAAAAGAAAAAGAATAAGTGACAATTAACTCTGAAAAACGGAAATTTTCCCAATTTTGTCTCTAGAAAACATACCTACACAATTTGTTTAGACTTACAGTGGTCCGTCGGCGATCATGTTACACATAGTATAAAAGTCAGAAGTAAATTGGATAACATCAATATATTCGTAGTCGCATGGTTTTCCATTTCTTAACGCTTCTTCGTTCGGATATACATTGTACACTCCATTGTGATTTTTAAAAACGTGTTCTGTCTCGGGTATTATGGGCGCGTCCCACGGCTGATATATGGGAGGATGGTGAATACCATGTTCTAGAATAAACGGTTTAATTTTCATTGAAATTAACGCAAAAAGAAAATAAGAGGAGAGTGATGTTGGGAAGGTGTTAAAGGGAATATAATTGTACTGATTTTGGAAGAATAAATATTGTGATTGCTTTAAAGATTCATTCATATTCATAATTAAAAGCCTAATTATGTTTAAAAGGTACTCGGAATGTAACAAAAGGAGAAATAGAACCGCTTATTTAGCACCTAACGTTAGTTGAAGCTATAAATGGTATATACCGAAATTAGCACTCCACATGATACATATTTGCAATATCTACACAACAAAGAAGTTAATTCTACACAGTTACTATTTTATCCTTCAACACCAAAACGTGGCAAAAATATACACCTGTCTAGTGAGGTTGTATGGTGTTATGTGATCGTATATTGCTTGTGTCGTATGTATCAATTTTTGTAAATGCAAAATATTTACCAAAAAATTACCTGCGAAACCTTTTATAATTCTTTCATAGTTTTCTTTAGTCAAACAGGTCAACAAGACATCGTCAAATGAAGTTCTTGCCGTTCTTGACAACAAGGCGATGTAATCTTCATCTAATAATATAATTAATTCAAACTTCTAATTACAATTAAATACTGGATACGTGAATAGATTCGGATAAGACTGAAATGGAAAATATCCAAAAAAATCTTTTCCGAAATGTTTTTTTCTCGTACGTCACACGCCATAGCTATAGTGGTGAAATTCTTGTTCCAGTTGATTGATTACGTCGTGGATTAAACTACCTCTGAATTCAGCTAATTAAATATATTCAGTTTTAAACTGCCGCTGAATTCGTTATTTTTTATTGTCACAAAAATGGATGATAATATTTTTCAACAAGCGTGCATACAATTTTTTGTAAAGCATTAGCTTGCCAAGTGATACTTTTCAGCACACTCTAAAAAATAGATACTTTATAATACCTCATAAGTAATGAGTTTTAGTAAATCGGATCTGCAATAAATTAAGTTTTTATGTTAATTAAATTCAGGTAAAATGTTTTTTAGTTACAGTGATTAATAACGAAAAATTTGTTGTCCATTATTACGTAAAGTGTTTTTCACTCTTTTCCGTTAGAGGAAAAATTACTTCAAAAAAGTTCTGTGTGCAGAAAAATATCACAGAAAAACTTAACAGAAATAATTTAAAATTAAGGAATTAACAAAATTAAAAGGAATTAAATAACTTTGTTGTTAATTATATTGCCCCATATCATTATTAAATTACGGATAAGGAAACAAATTAACATTTGCACTTGGTTATTATTATTACAGTTGGGTGAAATCATTATCAATTATTTATATGCACATTTATTATTGAACTGCATTTTGCACTCGCCTAAATATTAGCTAGAGTAAGTACCTTCAATGGTTTGTTTATCATCATGTTGCTCTTGTTCTTTGTCAGGGTCCAGAAATCTGGCGGCAGTTGAAGAAAAACTCTGGAATGACATTTTCATGTAACGTTTTCTGAGCTCGAGAGCCTGAATAAGAAGCTTCGAAGCCCTTTCTAGATCTTCCAAAGGCACCTACAAAGTGAAAGATTTGACAGTCTATCAATTGCAAATATTTCGCCACGAAAAACTAGTAACTTTTATATTCCCAGTGTTAGAACAAAAAAGTAAAAGAAAATTGGATAAACGCGTTTAATAAATAACTATTTTGTTCAGGAAATAAAAAAAAATTGTCCGACAAAAAAAATCAAATAATTTGCAAAGAAGGGAACTAAAATTGCAAATGAGAAACCAGTTATTTGGTTGGTTAAAATGGCTATTTAAATTGTTTAAAATAATTTTAATTTAAATACGCACTTTAATACAATATACGTACCCCACTGGTGTCTTCTCCCGATATAGAGACTCTCTGGAAGTGTGGAACATAGAGATCGTGTTCATCTATATCCTCGATTTCTGGTGCACCTGGCACCGAAGGTTCGTAATGGCTACGTCTGTCTTCCAAAACCCTAACAAGATATTAAAAAAAAATAGTACTACAATTCAAAACACATTTTTGAAACAACATTAAGCCGAAAATAGAAATGCAAGCTCCAGTGCAAGTAGATAGGTAACGAAAATTTGGAAGTGGCTACCCCAAACCATTCCAATACAACCTTACTTTGTATTCAACTGCCTTTGAATCTGTAATTTCTTTTCGATTTGTTCGATTGGAAATTGTGGCACTTCGTATGGTGCAGAGATTTCGTTCGGCAACTCCGGTTCTGTATCGGCAAATGATGCAGCAGCAATAAAGGATGAAGGACTTTCATTTCCTGAGAAACGAAAAGAAATCGATATTAAAGAGTTTTCCTACGATAGAAACCAAAAAAAAAAGGACCATATATATACTAAGCTAACTTGAAATGATTTAATATTACACTTCAGGAATGTTCGTTCGACCAACTAGAGGTTAGGGGGAATTTTTAATTGCTTAAAAATTGAAACTAAATCATATTCCGATTGCTCCATACATAATTATAAAGATAATAGTTTCTCACTGTGTGAGATTCAATGTGAGAGTGAACGACTTCTTCAAGTTCATAATTTTTTTAATTAAATACATATTATGTCAATAAACTTTGAAAAATAAAATCTTAAATTGTAGACGCTCTGTGGAAGAACAAAAATAATAGCAAATAACACGAATTAATTACAGCTTCATATTTTTAATCACATTTTTTTACTAATATGTTTATTACATAAAATATCTATATAACTATTTTTATATCCCTTAGGCGTCAAACTCGTTAAAAAAACAAGATTTTAAAATTTTACCCACATCTTGAGGTCTGGAAGCACCACGGAAATCACGTTGTAAAATGTAAAACAGACATTAAAGGTTTATATGACTGACAATAGCAATAAAACATTTGTAGTGCACAAATGACCTATTTACAATCTCAGGAAACCATTTTCTTTATAGAATTTTTATCTTTGTGCCGTTAGTTGTGTAAGAGTATGATTTTGTGTTCGAAATGCAAAAAGCCAGTAAATTATTTATTTAATGATACTGATAGATTCTTACTCAAATTTAGACAAGATTTGGTGACATAATTTGCTGATATGGTTTTGCGCATCAAAGTAATGGAAATTCAAATTTAAAATATTTTATTAATTATTCAAATTCTCGAATTACAAAAAACAGCAATAAAAACTGACTTATCTAAAGAATTCATGGGCGACCTCAATACCTGATTCATGTGCATGGAATTTTACTGAAAGACAGAGTTCATAAACCTTTAAAATAATTGTCGGTCAACGGTTCCGAATTCATATAAAATTTGGCAGAAATAACACTTTTTTTAACTGGCATTATCGAAAACTCACCTTTTGCCACTTTGACGTTATCAGTCACCTCCAGCTCACCCTCAACCGCGACAAAAAGTTTATTGAAAAACATCCCGTTTATCGCATTTCACGTTGCAATTATTTGATATTTAAATTAGTTGTTGATATTATTTGTCCCAATCCGCGTTCAGAGGAGAAAATAAATTGGACGCTTTTAATAGAACTGGTGGCGTCTTCCTGGTGGAACGTTAAAATTATTAATTTGGGAGAGGCAATATTTTTAATGACCTTCTGATAATATATGACGTCCGACACGTCGCAGCTAAGCGACTAAATACGGCTAAGTGCACCTTAATTGGATGGAAACACGAATAAAGGTTTCCCTACTAATTATTTATCCGCTACACCACCAACTATTCGAACACTTTACTTGGCTTATTCGAGACATTCATTTTTTACTAAGCACGCTTATCTGTCATGGAAATGGGAAAAATCAAATATTTAATGATATCGTTAATTGACTTATTGATTATCAAACGTCATTCCAAAGAGAAAGTAATGAACTTTGAATGAATGCTTAACTAAATTAGTGATTTCGAATACTCCCTAAAAAGTTGTCTGAATTCACAAAATGATTGCTTCTTTAAAAACCTGAAGCACTAACATTAAGCTTGCCGAAATCATAAAGTTTACTTCCATGTTGCCAATAACATAGACAAGCAACTTAAATAGGGTCTCAATAAAATCCTAAATAATGTAATTATTGGTTTTTGCGAAATTTCTATTTTGTTGTGGGTTACGAGAATTCCCAATTTTTTAAGCCGAGTTATGAAAATTAGTTTTTTGTAAATGCCATTTCCGTAACTATTCACAACGCGTAACTGGGCAGATATTTTCTATTCGGTTAACTGATCATCAATCTCACCTAAATAAAATTTGGTATACAAAAAAATTCTATGGCTGGTTCGTTAACGACCACACCCACATTCCCTGTGTGCACATGAGGCAAATAGCTTCTTTCTTGAATTGTAGCATCTTATCATGAGTTAAAGACGATTTGAAGAATTTTGGTGATTAGTGTTTAGTTGTTTCGACCCCAAAAATATATTTTCGATAAAATGTTGTATACAAAGAAAGAAAGAAAGGGGAATAAAAATTTGGGATATGCTGGATAAAATTTTCTTACATTTTCAAATACCAATCGATATCATATAATTCCGAAAAAAAAACACTTTCTTGGGCTTACTGAGTTTATTCCAAACAAGATACTTGCTGGTGTAATTAGTATTTACTTTGGTAGTTATACGATTCAAATTATATTAAAATATACAGTATGCGTCAAATCTTTTTTGCCTAGTGTCAGTTACCTAAGGTTAATGTTGATTGCTACTTTTGGTTGCTGAGCTTTAGTTAGTTTAATTAACTTGCATCAGTGTGTGTTAGGAAGGATTATAAATTGTTTTATTTATTTTAGAATAAAAAGGGACCGGTATCGAAATTTGCAAAACTTTTTCGGATCTGATGAAAACTTTCTAGAAAAGGTCTTGGAGTTTAAATCCAAAATAAGTTGCAAAAACCGATCAGAATTAGGTGAATACATATTAATTGTTTCCAGCTCGCAGTGGTTTATGTGGTTGATTGAACTTTTTGAAAGAACCTAAATTAAACAAAGATTAGAATAAAGTTACACACGCGCATATTAGAGTTGCACGGATTATACTTGATTGCACCAATGAAGATAAAACGCGAACGTACCTGCGCGATCTTCATCAACAAAGGAATCCACTCGCAAATAATTTGGCGAATTCACGACGACGAAATTATCACCCGGAATCGGCGACAAATTCATACCCCTGGAGCACATTTTTATTACATTTACTCTGAATCTTCGACAACTTAAGTCGCACACCACGAACTGAGTTGGTAACGAATGATAATTTTCAATCAAAGGAAAATGCTTAAAGCACCAAACTTGCCCAATTCGTGACAAAAACTAAGCCACTGGCACATTTACAACACGCGAGAATAAGTAAAGTATTTTTAAACACAAATAATTAGAAACACTGCCAAGTGTCCGGTAGTACGAACGCGTAAAAATGGGAACAAACTTTCCGTCATGGAACTGTCTAAAATGTTTTACAATATTTGATTAATTTACAATATTGCACCGGTTGCCACAACAATATTCAGTGGCGTAGGCATATCAAATACATTGTAGTAAGTACCCAAGCTGTAAATATACGAATCGCTATATTTTCGGTTGTGCAACATTGTTTTCTTGACATTTGCTATTTTTGACATTCGCATCACTGTCACTCAATGAACTACGGGTATCGAACTGAAATACTTCCGGTGATATGGGTTTTGTAAGGTAATAGTATATTATACAACAAGTGCGGTAAACGGCATTTGACTCACGAGTTTATTAGACACGAAATATTATTTTTCTACTCCCGTCTGTAAAATACCTAATTATGCACCGATCTAGAGTGCGAGAAGCGTCGGTTTTCCACGTCAGTTTCGTTTCCCACGATCCGAGCCACTTCGGACATTTCCGGAATTTGACCGCACGGATTTGGGAGCAATCGGATGTTTTAGGAGATATTTGCCTCACTTTGAATTTTGACGTTGGTCAATTCTGATAGTGATCTCAGTGAATGTATTCGTGTTTTGCAAAAATGTACCCAAAAAGCAACGGTCGTAGAAAAAGTATAGTATGCAACACGTTCGGTCAACTTTTTAACTCACTCGTTTATTAAACACTCGCTCCGCTCGTGTCAAACTCGTGAGTCAAATGCCGTTTTTTACCGCACTTGTTGCATAATATAGGTACTATTAGAGTAAGCCGGCTAGTACTAGGAATTCTGTTATTTGAACTGAGTTGTGATACCGTTTTACTATTTTTGACGGTGACAATATAATATGCATATAATATAATCTCTCTTACTGCATGATCTGATTTTGTTTTATAAATATATAATAATGTAAGTATTACTAAATAAAGTATTTTATCATATAACAAAGAAAATTGCTAATTTATCAATTGTATGACGTGAAAATGTATTTTTCAGTATTTGTAAAAAAAAATTAAAATAATAAATGCGCATATTTAGAAAGACTTAAATATTTTGAATTTCTAAATACACTCCAAGGTTTTTTCTGAAGTTAGAATATTTTATTTTACACAAATATTTAAAGAAAATTTTTTTGAATTGCCAAATAATGTGTAAATAATTTCAAGAAAAAATATATAGGTAAATAAAGTAATCAAACAACGGAAACAGCCCATCCTACAAAATATATAAAAGAACAATAAAAAGAGAACAATCCCCAATAGCTTCCACATTATATTGTAAAATTTGATTCACTTTTCAATTACAGTTTAGATTGATTGACTGAGTGTACTCGGTAAATATTTTCAAGTGTGTATAATACAGTTTGAAGTTGTCTGTTCTATGCATTGGTGGATAGTTGGTGATTGATTTATGTTGCTGTGTACAGCTTATAAGCCATGTTATTTTAATTTGTAATAAGTTAATACACTTTGTGAACTAAGATGTTGACTTTTACAAAGTGTGATATATTTTTTATTCTTTAACATTCCCTACCGAAAGCTGGCTCATTGATTATATGAGATATAATCTATAGGCATCAATTCTATAACCTTTCTTTAAATCTGTAATGTTGTGCATACCTATTGTATAGAATTGTAGCTATAAACCATAAAAGAATAATTTTTCGTTTTACTAGCATTTTGTTTATTCTATATAGTTAGAAATATTACTACAATTACCTAAGACCATAGAACTCGTTTTTTCTATTTAAATTAATCGATTTATGTGGACCCCATTCGGATTGTATCTTTCGCGCAAAAGCAACGTAAATAATCGTCTTTTTCATCTAGGAAGACGGCTATTTTTGAACCACCAATAAAACTGCAGCGGGGAGAAAGGTGTTAAAAATAGCAGTTGGAACTTGAAAACATTTCTTTGACGAACAGGTAGACGAGTAAACTCGATGCCTTGTATGATCTAAAAATAGTTCCCTTGTTGTTTGCAGGAGTACGATAAGATTCTGGTTAACAGTTAGTATTAGATCAATAAGGAATACGAGTATACCTAATTTAGAGAGTAAATTTAAAACACGTATTCCATTTGCGTATACAGTACTTCACAAAAAAATAAGTTACTAAAACTTGCGGTTTAAAAGTGAACCCAAAATTTCAATTTCTAGAAATTATTCCAAAATAAAGCAGCCTCCTGACGTCTAAACAGCCCTGAAACTAAATCCAGATGCAGCTCCTCATTTTGCATTGTATAATATATGTATTCTTCTTGTTTTTATTGATAAAACCAAGAAGGATTACGAACTAGATGCATGACATTTTTTTTCTTTCGATAATTATATCAAGGGATTTTGTAATAAGTGTCAACCATTAGGTCTGTCTTTAGAAGGTCATATAATATAGATCCTGCTCTATATCTGCAGAATCACGCTAATAATATTTGCCGAGTATAATTCGCTTGGTTTGTCTGAACTTCGAACCTTCAGATATACCTAAGAAAGGCTCGATAACTTCTGTTATATCAAAATTTATTACATCAGAATCCATATTACATTTACGAACGTCTTTAAGCTAAATATCGAACCGTTCGTACGTCATAGGTATTTGTTTACCTGCTATTACAGCATTGCAGTCTACAGCTCCAAGAAAAGGTACTTTTCAGATATATATTTTTTATTTTATTATTTTTAACCATGTACATACTTTGAATAGAAAATTAACTTCTTCTGATGAATTATCATCAGACACTATTCCCCGTTTAGCCAAAAAAACAGTTTTTCACTTTTTGAAGTTAACGCTTAGCAAGCATAAACATTGGCAACTTTTGACGTCAAAAAATGTAAATCCCAGATAAATAATTCTGTGTTCAAGCTGTGTATTTAGGATTTGTGATTTTTACACTTTTTTTCCTAAAAAAAAGCAGGGGAGCATACATATCTCAATGAAGAAATAAGACTTGATTTTGATAAGGTAGTCTCTTTTATTTAAATTCAAAAGACAAGGAGCTAAACAATTATCGATTGCAATATTGTAATTATTGCAAATTGTGCGTGTAGACATGTAAGACCAAATCAAAAACATTTATTCAAAGATAAAGTCAATTAGTAGAAAATAGCATTACTTAGGTAAATATAATAAAATAGTGAGGCATAAAAATGGAGAATCGCAGGTCGGGTAATTAAATTCCTAGATTTTAAAAATATCTACTTTTTTATGCAGATGCTTAAATTTCTAGAATTTTCCAGGTTTCAGATAGAATTATTTGGTAAAATTAACGCTCGCCAAAATTGATATATTTAGGCTTATATGATAATAATAGATAGTGGAATAATACTAGTGGCAAACAACATATTTTTTGCAATGTTTTGATAAGTTTGTTCCAACATTAAATCGTAGTATACCAGTTGTTACAAAAGTCTGAAAACAGTGAAATATTTTGACAATTACGCAATTTATCTCTTCCTTTATTACAATAGTCAAATTCTCAAGATATTTCACCGTTTCCACACTTGCTGGACACCCGAATATAATAATATATTTAAATTTTGTTTTGGTTAACCGAAAGTTACTCGACAACAAATGTTAGAACAAAAAGTGAGCTATCTAGTAGAGTAAAATAAATTTCTATGATGTTGATCATAGCGTTTGAACATAAACTATTGCGCATTATTATTATAGCTTGCGCTCTCTGCGTACTGACTAACAATAATTTGAAACACAAAAGCATTACAAGAAAAGAAATGCAAATATTTGTGCTATAAATAAATCAAACATTTAAGTTTCTCGACACTTTATCTATCTGCAGCAAAAAAGAAATAGCGATACCATTGAAGGAATTCCTATTTTTAGCATCACTCAAAAAGTCAAAGTTCTTATCTGCCCTGCCGAAAGCATTATAAACATTCCTTTACCTAATTTATCGACAATTTGAATGAACCGCGCAATACGTAGAAATCGAATCCCTAACCTCCAAATCGAAACGTACAAACCTAATCGTTCCAAGATATTGCTGGAAGGTTCCTGTTCACCGTCGCCTTCGGGAAATTCCTCGTAAAAACTCAAAGTATCGGCTTTCCTCAAACCGTTTATATACACTTCGCCCATGTCAAGTTTATTACAAATTAGGCTTAAACAAAATGTGCCACGCTCGGCGTTTCTTTTTTTAAAAGCACGTCCACACTAAACCGCGATTCTCTCGCGTATGTGAACATGCGGAAATTGTCCATACATATGTCGAAACACTTTCAGCGGCGACGTGGCGATAGGAGAAGATGGCATACACTACAGTTCTTAACGATTGCAATGTGCGTGTTGCCTCGCAATATTGTCGTGCCGTTGAGTTCTCGAACGTGAGGCGCTTATAATATTGATTTTGGCACTAACAATGTGAGCGATTGCGAAGATAAAATAGCTTGGAACGATGTCGAACAAAATTTAATGGAAGTCCTAATGGTTTCATCGATTATTTATACACTAATTTTAAAAAATCCCATTCTACCTGTACGAGACGAAAATTGAAAACTAATGAAATCGATGTGCATAGTTTATTTTTCTCTCTCTGAAATCTTATTTTACTACTTTGTTTCGAAGGTTGCATTTTTTTGAAGCGTCGGAAAATAAGTACAACTACATGTGTTTAAAAATCATGGTGCTCTAGAATGTGGATCTTTCGATTTCAATATTATTTATCTATTTATTTAATTTTTACTTATTTGTCAATAAAATATTATTTGCTTTGTTTGGGGTTTTTTCCACTCCAGGTAATACAAAAAGTTCGACAATTTAAACACAATCAACCAATGTTAGAACAACCCAAAACGTTTCTGATAAGAAAAAAGACGCAATACTATGGTATAGGTTTGGTTAATTGAATTGAAAATGTTTGGGTTTGGAACATCGCTTTTTGCTTTATTCTTTAGGTTCTCATGAATCAACCAAGGTTTACCAAAAATTTTAACAACGCCTTTTCTATTATTGAAATAAATATGTTTTGGAAATATTAATACAAATCATCTTAATATGGTACTTAGAAGCTGTACATAACTTGTTATGACATTTTTTACCATCTGCATATATACGGTATGAACAAACTCGCGCCAGCACTATTGCCTTTTTATTATTTAAAAATACTTTTTTATTGGACATGCTGTATATTTATCTGATACTCGATTGCTACATCTCATTCAAACTTAAAATGTTATCTAGGTTAGTCTATTTTACTATGAAATTTAAAATAAAAATAAAATAATGCAAATTCCTTATTCGCTTCAAAAAGTTTACGATAATTGTTCCATCGTGATATGTATGAAAGAAGAAGTGTATACAAATCTTTGCGATAATATGTAGAATATAGTACAATCGAGGGACGTTACAGTTTCACGGCTACAAGGATTTTTTAAGTGTGCCCAAAACTGTATTACGCGAGGAAGAAGAATTTTATTGTAATTTAGGCAAAAGACAATGGAGGTGGTATTTTACTAGGAAATAAATATACAGAGAAACGGTATGATTGGTTGTTTAAGTTAGGAAATATTTTTATTTAGAAAATAAAATGGCTCCCCTATCTATCTACTGTTTCGCGTTTCAACGAAACTTTTGCCATAAAAATAATGACGCGAATCAGGATTCAATTAAACAACCAGTAAGATTAGATAATCCTAAAATCCAAGTTCACGTAATTGGGTAACTATATCAATTCGATGAGAGGATGGAAAATTTTTCAGGCTACACTACATGGAATATTACTCCTAATGTTATGACCAAAACGTGTAAAAAGTTTAATTTTTGTGATATTGTTAGTTTTTAATAACAAATTATAAAAGTTTTATATTTATACTACACGGAATATTACTTAAACTTTATACTAAACGATTTAATAAAAAAGTAAAAATGTTTCTAAAAGTTTATATACGTTTTCTACGACCATTTTTTTCTTTTGGGTGAATTTTTGCAAAACACCAGAGATACATTCGCGTGTCACGTGACCGTCAAAACAAACCTCCAAAACACCATCAGCATTTTAAATCACATTCGATATCTTACAACTTCAGTGTAGTGCATAACTAAGTATTTTAGAGTAGGGAGCAGAAACAATTATTTTCATAACTATTTGCTATATACGACATTCAGCACGAAGCTAATGAAAGTATGTATTCAGACTCTTAATAGGATTGTAACATCAAAAATCTGTCAATAATTTTTTGAGTACTTAAAAGCCTCTTAATTTAGGTTTTGGAGAGACGCTTAATCTACTGTGTATTACTACCAAGTGACGATGGCTGACCACTAGATTTTATTTGATATTCTGTCACGTTGCTACGCGCTTGGTGGAGAAATAAATAATTCATACACGAGAAAAATTGATCGAGCACATCTAGAAAAAACATTTAAATATATACATATATAATAAAAACAAAAGAGATAAAAAAAGAAACGATAGACCTAGGCTGGTCGGTGATTGAAAACGATAATAAAAATATTTTATAAACTTTATTAGCTATAAATATGAGAAGGTGATCGATTTAAAGTGTCACAAGTTGAATAATACCCTACTTTATAACGAAAATATCTTTAGCTAAAATCAAAATCACTGTCGTTTGATATTTTGCTGGCATTGTGCTTGATACTATCCGTGTCAGTATCCAACATCTCCAAAACGTTACTTGGTTCTGGCATACTTTCCCGTTGATCTGTTTTGTCATTCTCCTTGTTTGTACCACTCACTGGTTCATCCGTTAACACCTCCTCCCTATCTAAGTGCTCAGAATCTGGCTCAACTGGCTCCGATTGCAAGACATTTTCATTTTCTATTACTTGTTCTTCGAATCTTACTGTATTGTCTCTATTTGCTATGGTGTCAGAACTATCATTATTGACCTGCTGTTGATCTTCTGCATGAAACTGTTGGTCAGGACTTAATTGCTCTCCCTCCCCATAGTATTGAGCTTGCGTGTTAGGATCAACGTGTTGTTGCAGCTCTTGATTGTCTTCAATGCCGCCCTGATCAGGATAATAAGGCAGTCCGTTTTGATCATACTGCTCAATCATTCCACCAAAAACGTCTTGGCCATTTTGGTCATACAAGGCAATTGGCTGACCGTTTTCGTCATACTGTGGAATCAACTGACCGCTTTCGTCATACTGTGGTTCGACTAACTGACCATTTTGATCGTATAAAAGCGGCTGTCCAAATTGATCATATTGGCTGTAGTCGTACTGTATCGGCTGACCGTTTTCGTCATACTGAACTTGATTTTGTAAGTCATATTCTTGGTTTTCGTGATCTACGTTGTAATAGGATGCAGATTGGTCATGTTGAGTGGGTGTTTGAATAGTTTGATCATAATCGTTGATTTGCTCCGTTGGCTGGGTGTATTGTATTTGATTTTGTTTGTCCTGTCCCTCTTTTTGATTATCTTCCTCGTAATATGATGCAGGCTTGTCCTCTTGGGTAGGGTTTTCAGTATTTTGATTACTATCGTCGACTTGTTCCTTAGGCAGATTGTACTGCGCTTGATTTTCCAGAGCGTGCTCTTGCTTTTGGTTTAGTTCTTGGTTTTCGGTATCTGCCTTGTAATGAGATGTAGATGAGTTGTGTTGGGTAGTTCCTTCAGCATTCTCTTCCCGAACATAAATTGGTTTCGTTGATGAAATGTTAGACATTGCACTAGGGTTGGCTTCTGATATATTTTGTTGAATTGCTATTTCACATCCCTGTTGATCTGACTTGGGCGCATTTCCATTCCAATGTGATTCTTTTTGAGATTCTTCTGCTGCCTCGGTAGAGACATTAATGGAAACCTCTTTAATAGCTTCGTTTGCTAATTTTTTCTTCTCTACCGTCGGTAACTCGTTATTTGTATCGTCGAATAGACTTTGGTTATTTTTACTTTCTATATTAATTTCGGTCATAAAATCTGTCCTCTTTTCTGAAAGCCCAAATTCATGTTGCATTTGAGATAATTCGTTCTCATCTCCCTTGGTCATTTTCTCTGCTAGATCCTCTTCAGTTGTTCCGGGTTTGAAGTTCACATTTTCGGTAGTAAGTACATTCGAGTTTTCCGCATCTTGACTATCGCAAACTTTTCGTTCATGTTGCTTGCTTGCGTCTAATTGGAAATTTATTTTCTTAGAAAATTTCAAGGTATTTGGTAATGGAGTTTCCACCGTTTCACTTTCAGTGCTCGCCCGAAATGTTTCTCTTGTTCGTGGATTGTGATCGAAATCGTTTTTTTCATTTTTTTCATTCAACTTTTTTGGAAACTGATTGTCCTGGTCAGTAGACGAGGACGATTTGGAAAGGAAGTTGTTTTTCCCGTAATACCTCGAATAAATGGAGCTTATGATATCATCGGCTATAGATGTAGCTTGATTACTATCGGTCACCAAATTTTGTGAAAGTAATGATAACTTTTGTCGCCTCTGTTTTTCGTTTTCTATTAAATCTAGGTATTTCTGTGAAGATATGTTCTGCAAGTACTTGTCCAAAATATTAAGAGTTTCCTCGCTACTTAAATTGGTTTCTTTGCCCGTGTGTTCCGGCAATTTAATCTCTGGGACTTTGATAGATTCGCTGAGAGGATTTTCTACGTAAGTATGTCTTGGAGGCACCGAATTTAGTACGCTAGTGGAGCAAAACGGGACCTTTCTTGAGACAAAGGGCTTTTCAACGCTATTCAAATCTCTTTTGGTTGCATTAGCTATCCTGCACAAGTAGTTTTGATATTGAGTGCGCAGCACGTTTAGCCTTTCTGTTTTTGCGGACAGCATTGCAATTCTAGTTTCCACCCGTTCCAGATTTCTCATGATTTTTTCATTACGCTCTTGCCTTCTCTTGTCTTCCTCTAAAAATTGTTTGTACTGAGCCCGTAACTTTCGATAATAAGCTTGTTCCCTAAAAAGACGAAAAGACAATTGTTGTTTCCGCTTTTGTTGATTACGCTTAAGAATTAAAAATACATATAAAATTGCGTTCAAAATTGAAATGATGCGATACAGAGAAGTTAAAATGAACGAGACGGGTTAAGATTAAACTCGATTTGTTTTAAATTATAGGTTTAGGTTAGGATAGGTTTTATAAAATTAATTTTAACTTTATTAAGTATTTATGAAGTTTGGTTGGCAGTTAACTTTTAAACTTTAAACGGCAGGCCGAATATAATCTCATCCTCAATACGTTTTTTCGAAAACATTTAAGAGTAATCACTGACAACTCTTTTTCGTATTTGAAATTATTCAATTAATTGTTATTGCTGTTATAAATCGGCCGGTCCCGATGATCTTAAAACAATTATACGCCTATTCTTTTGCAATTACAAAAAGGTTACTGGTTAATGTTAGAGGTGCATTAAAAAAAATTAAGATTAGATTTTAATTTAAAAAAATGACTATAAATTTTTGCATTAAAATCAATTTTCTCACGTTTTATAACAATTAATACATTGGCGCGTGTTTTAAATTAAGTGCTAACTTGTTTACTGTTGAAATTACAAATTCAGAAATTTTAAAATTTAAAGAACTACAATTAGACATTGTACTAGTAATATTTAGGGAATTTAGATTGTGAGAACAAAAATTTTCATAAATGAATTATTGCCCTTAAATTGTTCTCAATTGTAACTTTGGTTAGTTTGGTAGTAATTGTAATAGTGCAAAATAATAAATTTTTTATTTAGCAAAGTAATTTTGAAACTAATTTTTAAATATGTTCGGTTCCTGGCGATGCTTAAAAATTAGGAATTAAATTTATTTTTAATTAATTAATTATTAAGTGGCTAAATATGCGAATACAAACTATTTTGCTATACTATTAGTACGTAGGTATTGATTTTGGATTAAATTTATCAATAAGTATAATTTCAACTCATGTTTACCAAAGTGACCATTAAATTTCTTCAAAGGGGAACGGCAAAGTCATAGAGATGAAAACTTACGCACTTATTTGAACTGTTTTTATTTATTTTTGTTGTAATAATATTCAGTACACGACGATTTCTTTTAACTTTTATTGTCGTGTATTTGACTTAAGGAAAATAGATCTCACCCAGGAAATGGCTGGAAGAGTCAATAGATCAAATGGTTGGGTCAGCAAAATATTAGTGTATAGTGTACTGGAGCCAAAATTCTAAGAAAGTAATAGGAACCAATTAATGTCATATTCTTAGACATAATATTTTGCCCGTTTGGACGTCCAAAACGCAACCTCAAATTATTTTCTTCTTTGAAAAAATACTTACTCTTCTTTGGCAACCTGAAGCATACCATTGAATTTAATTTCCAATTCCATTCGCTCTTCCTCACTAAAATGGAAAAATAATTAAAAAGTACCCATGATTTGTATTTATTTTTAATTTTTACAACGCGCATGTATCCGTATACCACTTTCAACGTCACCCTTTCCGAGTTTTACGATACAAACAAAAATAAACGCAAACAATAACACACATCTGCTTACCTCTTTTTTAATTTTTCCTGCAACTCAACGAACGTTTGGTAATATTGTTCCATTTTGGTGTGAAATTCCAATTCCATTTTCAAATGTTTAAAGTCTCTGTTTTGAAAACTGTCACTTGTTATTTGGTGCAACAAAATTATTATCAGTTTTTCATTGGAGCCCAGTCAGTCCGCAACACCGTTAATGTTCTTTTGAATACAGTTGCGGTAAAACTCGCACACCAATCTTTGATCATGCGCGTTTGTCGCCATGGTAGAAAAATGCAGTTCAAAAATTAGGGGTGAAACGTTGAATTACGGAATTGCATTCACGCAATTAAATTTTGTGGTAAGTATAGATGCGTTGGTTATATACATATCGCGTGCACGTCGGAGCTGCCAATTTAATTGGTTTTCATGATTGGCAATTAACGATAAATCAAATATGCTCTTCGGAAAATTGGTCGATGAGTACCGATCGAGTTCGCTGCATACGGTCGACTGGTAGAGTGCATGGTGATGTTTTACTTTTAAACAAAAATAATATTACAAAGGCAGAGGGGTTTATTTATTTGCGCTATGCGGAATCAAGGGCGTTCACGCGATTTTCGTACCAGGATAATATAGCCTATATATAAAATATATACTTGACCTTCGCCTGCAAAATGTTTTATTGTGGTTAATTCGAGCGAAACGTCAGATAGGATCGATAAGACCTAATGCATTATTAACAAACACGCACAAATGAAGGGAAGAATGATAGAGGGGTATTATTTAGTCTGAACTTTAATGAGTTGAATTTGAATAAGTAACTACATGTCTACATAATACCTGTCGTATAGGTTGTTTTCCGATATAATTAAAGAATTTAATTTACACGACGCATTTTATAATAACGACAAAATAAATTGGTGGTTAATTTTACATGTAAATATAATAATTTTTGGTTCCTTTTTGGAAAATGCTATATATACACGCAAATAGAACATTTTTTAACCAACTGGAAATTCAAGGAAGTACCAGATCTGAATATATATATATATATATATATATATATATATATATATATATATATATATATATATATATATATATATATATATATATATATATATATATATATATATATATATATATATATATATATATATATATATATATATATATATATATATATATAATGATATCCTCTACAAATGCCCTCTGGATGTCACTTTGGAATGCACACTTTTTAAGAAATATTGAAGAAAGGAACAAATATATAAGTTTTTGCACCCACCATACTAATAATGCATATGTAAATGTTTGACGGTAATCCAAGGTTACCGGCCTTATTTGCCGGCAAGTATTTGGTTAGTTTTGCTTAGTTTATTTCATATTTATAATGTACACACCCTCTCTCTCCCTGTCAACACAAAAACAAAAAAACAGAAACTAACCAAAACTACGCATTTCAAAAAATTGAAGCGAATAAAATCGCATGACAAAAATTTTTTGGTTAGGATGTTAAGGTTAAACCACATAGCTACTACACATATAGAGACCCTGCCTATGCCGAAAATGAACTTCTGAAGCAACAAAAAAAAAATTGAGAAAGTTAATTCAACTTTTAAATCTCGTTTATAACCAATGACGTTGTAGTATAAAATTATCAACATGGTCGCTGTCAGATCATCAATAAATGTGGATGCCGCATTTTTAAGGCAGTATTTTCTCAAAATATGCTCAGACCTCGTTAAATGTTCTCAAAAAACAACTTAAGTGTGTGGAAACTAACCAAAGCATTTTAAATCTAATTTTTCAGTTAGTAACGATTCTTCTTATTCTGTTCATTAATTCTAGCGGTGACGTCACAAAATATCTGTTTTCAAAAATAGTAAGTCTTCGATTCGAATCCACTCTAACGGATAACGTTACAGATTGTGACCCTATCGGACTTACTTACTTGAAGTGACCAGTCTTCAACATGATCAAACAAAAATGTGTTCTTAGAATCCTTCAAATTAGCTTTTAGTATGATTTGCTCTATATTATCATTATCTAACGAAATTTACCTCTGAAAGATAGCGCTTAAATTAAAGTATTTTGTATCACATACGACAGTGAATATTAAAAGAATATCCATATTCGATACTGGACGCCTATAATTTTGTATAAAAATGAGAGTCCATTGAACGTCCAGAGTTTCCTGAACTGTATCGATAGTGTATGGGCTAATTTGACATACATATACTGTATAATACCCTGTGTTTATACTTGTTTCGTCTGCTATACTAGTCGATATTTGATATTTATTATTTAAAAGAAAAATTTGTTGATAACATTTTAACAAATTTTGCAAAGTAGAATTAAAAAATATCAAAATAAGTCCAAATATTCAAAGAATTTTACAATTCTCGCACAGTTGTCGTGTTTCGAGATAATCAATTATGGTATATTTTGGTAAAGGCTGTTCATAGATATAAGAAAGTGACTAACTGATACGAAATAAGGAAAGACCCGGGCAAGCTGTAAGAATGAAATATGGCGGAACAATATTTATTTATTTATGTAGGTATTTATTTGTTTTACATTTATCAGCTGAGTCAACCTAACCCTTTTCTGTCGAACCACGTTTCATCCAAGTAAATAATTGACCTTTGTTCTCTGTAAATCCTAATTTTTTCTAGATCTTCCAGTCCCCATTTCCGAATTCTAAAAGATTTCATTAAAACTTGCCTTTTGTCAATTTTTTAAATCAAAAACCCATGTGTTGAATACACTTCCATAAGGTAGTTCTGCCACATTTAACACCAGTTTCATCTTTTTCAAACCTCCTAATTAAGATATGGTAAATTTTTCGCCGTATTTGCTGCCTATGGACAGCACAACACCTAAGTATTGCTTCGTTAACGACTACAGGACTCAAATCCCAGCCAGAGAAGACTGGGAAAATGGGCCACCAATCATGGTATGGCTCAAAAACTCAAGGAGTAGGAGCCGGAATATCCGAACCCAGGACGAAAAGGAAAATCTCTATTCCAATGGGTAAGCTAGCAACAGTATTCCAACTAGAACACTGTGGAAGAGAAATAAAAGCTAGGAAGATCCGTAACAAATCAATGGCAATTTACACAGATAGTCAAGCGGCTATAAAGGCCCTGCAATCTAATAAAATAACATCCAAGTTAGTTCTGGACTGCCATAAGGCATTAAACGAAATAGCAAGCCAGAACAAAGTTACTCTATCATAGGTACCGGGGCACGGAGGGCATAAAGGTAATGAAGGCCCAGACGACGCAGCCCGCGAAGGGTCGTCAATGCGCCTGATTGGACCAGAACCCTTTTGTGGGGTGGCCAAACCCGTTGCAAAAACAGCCATCAGGGATTGGATGGACCGAGAATCCCGACGATGGTGGAGGGACATGCCGGGACAAAGACAGGACAAGGAATTCCTAAGGGGTAGGTCTGCTGACGGGTCACTGCAGGCTTAAGAGACATCTAAGCCTAATGGAAGTGGAAGGAAACACAGAATGTAGATTCTGTCAGGAAGAGTAGGAAACAGCCGCACACATACTGTGCCACTGAGAAGGCCTAGTGAGAGTGAGTTTCCATCTGCTAGGCTATACCAAACCAGAGGCAGAGAGCTATACGAGGGACTCATTATCGAAGTTGTGGAGTCTGGTTAGAGAGACGAACCTGGATAAAGCTCTATAGCTATGGAGAGAGTCACAATAGATCCTCTGGGTCGCAGTGACGGACAAGCTGACTGCTAGCTCTCCCAACTGTTAATCTTAATCTTAAGCCATATTATATCTTGATCACTTTCATCTACACACTCGAGAAAATCTCAGCATCGCTTCTTTTTTCCTCGCTGAAATGGGATTATTCACAATTTTGCAAACAGTTGATGTTGGAATTTTCGTCAATGTGTCCGTTTCTTCTAAAAATGCTTGCTTGCTTGCACCACGTTCAAGAGAGTCAAATAAACAGTGTTTATAACTTCCTCAGTCTCAATAGAATAGTGTTTTCTACATTTGGGCGGGAGCATCTCCTGAGATGCACTAGACTTGCACATATTTTGCATAATTCGCACACGATTCAACACACGCTGTATTACACAGGAAATAAGAATGATTACTAATAAACTTAAACTAAGTAGTATACCAAACCAAAGAATATTAAACACAGGTAGGTATAAAATTATTTCCTATTACGGACCACAATTTTGCCTGAATTTAAATTTCGAAACTTTAGGTTCAATTCAATTCAATTATGCGTTTCACAAAAAATGTTGGGCTCGACTCCTAGGATCATTCGCCCATTGCCGACTTCCGTCGAGGATCTTCGCTTTTGATCATTGACCAACACGTACAAAGAAGACATATAACCAATATTTGCTCAACTAGCAAAAAAACAAATTTGACCGATACCAAAAAAAACCGACACCCCCCGCTTCCGCCAAGGACCATCCGGGCCCATCCGGCCTCCATACCGGCGTGAACGGGGAAAAACGAAGGGATCGGCGACGATTATCACTTTACAACGTTCACAAAACACTGACAACACTAAATCCACTCAGTGGAGACCGATTTCAAAATTTTTGGACGATTACAAAGGATTCTGTAGGGAACGAACGGAGGTTAAACCGCCGCGTGCAATGTTCCACCACAGAATCCACCCTTGGATAATCTCATTCAATTCATTTCAATTCAATTATGCGTTTCACAAAAAAATGTTGGGCTCGACTGCTAGGATCATTCGCCCATTGCCGACTTCCGTCGAGGATTTTCGCTTCTGGTCAATGACCACCACGTACAAAGAAGAAGAATAACCAATAATTTGCTCAGCTAGCAAAAAACGATTCTGACCGATACCAAAAAATCGGCTTCCCCCCGCTTCCACCACGGACCATCCGGGCCCATCCGGCCTCCATACCGGCGTGAACAGGGAAAAACGACGGGGCCGACGACGATTATCACTTTAAAACATGCACTGAACACTAAAAACACTAAGTCCACACAGTGGAAACCGATATCAAACTTTTGACGAATACAAGGGATTCTGTTGGGAGCGAACGGAGGTTAAACCGCCGCGTGCAATGCTCCACTACAGAATCCGATAATCTCATTCAATTCAATTCAATGATGCGTTTCACAGATAGCTGTTGGGCACGACTACCAGGATCATTCGCCCATTGCCGACTTCCGTCGAGGATTCTATAATCTCATTCAAAAGCAATTGGTCTTTCTTTCTTCTTTACTTCTAATGGCCACGACTACATAAGGTCATTCGGCCAGCTTACACAATTGTGAACATTATTCAAATATCCTAAAGAATGCCTTCTTAAGAGAAGAATCTGGACCAATCCATCATCCTCCGGATTTTTTACATATACAAAATGGAATTTCAACAAAAAAATGGTTCTTTGACCGATTACAAAAAACGACCTCCTCCGCTCCCCCCGCGGACCATCCGGGTCCATCCGGCCACCATACCGGCGTGAACAGGAAAAAACGACGGAGCCAATCACGATTATAACTTTAAAACATTCACTGAACACTAAAAACACTAAAACAACACTGTGGATACCGATTTCAAAGTTTTTGGGGACGATTACAAAGGATTCGGTTGGGAACGAACAGAGGTTATACCGATTTCAAAGTTTTTGGGGACGATTACAAAGGATTCGGTTGGGAACGAACAGAGGTTAAACCTCCGAGTGCAATGCTCCACCACAGAATCCAAGCAAAAGGTCACTTTCTTATATGTATGAACAGACCATAACCCAATTGACTTTTGCCTTATTTTATTTTGACGATGGGCAGTAACCAGTCTGTAACCGTTGGCAGATCAGTGCAACCATCGAATGACGGTTACAAGTGAAAAAATCTTTATTTGAACGTTGAGATTCTTATTCTGTAAAGTGACTTTCCATTCGTTATCGATGGTATGACCCATATTCTTTGAAAATAACCTTACTTATTGGGTTTAACGAGTGAAATGTGTGGAATATTTTGTTTAATACAAGAAAATGATATTGAGCAAGACTTATTGAAAGTGGTAATTAAAATATTTTATTAGGTTTGCTTTGCTTTAAAAATTTATTAATTTTCAGTTCAAGAAATTCCAACAAAATATTGAAAATCGAGGACCGGACAGTTCTAACTGTAAAGTTTATACTTGGGGCACACATAAAATATGTTTTGCAGTGAGCGTGTTATGGTTGCAAGGAAACAACTTAACAGAACAACCCTTAGAGGATCATTCTTCGGCATTTATTTATAACGGAGATATTTTTCAAGGTTTAGAAAATAATTTAGAGACTGGTTGTGGAGATTCTAAATTATTATTCAAGTTAATCAAGAAATGCATTCCGTCAGATATTAAAGAGATGCGTAAAATTCAAGGCCCATATGCTTTTGTCTTTCACAAGAGGCATGCAAATCAAATTTATTTTGGGCGAGATGTTTATGGAAGAAGAAGTCTACTTGTTGGGAAAAGCCAAAAAAATAATAGCCTAATTTTGTGCAGTGTTGCTAGAAGGAACACAGAATTTGATTTTATTGAAGTACCCGCAATAGGTGTATTTTGTTTAGATCTTGTAACAAAAAGCATTAAAGTTTTCCCTTGGTCTTATGAAAGTAGAGATGTTGAAAATAGACTGAAAAATCTTGAATTGTTCCTCAACACAAAAATACATGTAGAACAACAAGTGGAGGTTATAAATTATCCCTTGGAACAAGAAAATGAAACATTGGCTTTATTGAAAAGTCTCCAGTACTCCAACTCTTTATTTGAAATGCTTTTACATGATAAAATGTGGTTAGAAAATGTGAAACATTTGGGTACTTTACTGCAAACCGCAATTCAAAGAAGGATTGAAACTCAACCTAAGTTTTGCAAACATTGTATTGTCACTAAAAATTATTGCGTTCATGCCACAACTGGCGTTTTATTTTCTGGTATGTGGTGGTTTGTATAAATTGTATACAATCATTAAAGTTATTATTCCCTTGAAATGATTTAGTTCAATTCTCCATTGTAATTATTTTCTATTCATTTATGTAGAATTATAAAATATATATATCTGATGTAGGGCATTAAAAACTTTATGGTAGTTATTGCGCAAACAACATATCTTTAGTCAATTTTAGTAATGTTAATTTTCTTAGTATGATTATCTGAAAATTTGGATTGTAGGTGGTGTTGATTGTGCTGTTCTGAGCCTACTGTGTAATGAGTTGGTTGAATTCAGACGACCTATAGACTTGATAAATGTCTCGTTTGATGAAGCTAATAATTTCCAATCGCCAGATAGGTTAACAGGACTAGAAACACTGGAAGAATTAAAGAAGTGTTGTCCTAATAGAATATGGAACTTTGTCGAGGTGAATGTAGATAAACAGGTACTAAATAAAGAACGAAATATGCATATAGCAGATCTGGTATATCCACTTAACACAGTATTAGATGATAGCCTTGGATGCGCATTATGGTTTGCCAGCAGAGGAATATCAGAGAATTACACTTCTCCATGTAGAGTAGGTAATAATTTTGGCTTGTTTCTTTACCTAGTTTGTAGTGTCAATAATTATTGTCATAATATATTGTTTTTGCAAATTTTTAGGTTCTCTTGGTGGGTATGGGAGCCGATGAACTTTTCGGGGGTTATACCAAACATCGTGTGGCATTCAAAAGAAATTCATGGCAAGGGCTTAAAAAATGTTTAGAAGAAGACTGGAGCAATTTGCCATACCGAAATCTGGGTAGGGATGACAGGGTTGTTTCTGATCATGGCAGGCAACTAAGGACTCCTTATTTGGATGAGAATGTTGTGCAATTTGTCCGAAATTTAATGTGTTGGGAAAAGTAAGAATATTTAAAAAATTTAATCATATTTATAGAAAACATTTAACCACTTCAGTTTAATTACAAATTTAATTCAATATTGGTATTTTATATGTGACACATATTAAATGTACATTTTATCTTCTGAGATAAGCATTTTACATCTAGCTTGATGATTTTATATTCAGTTCTATTATCTTGTAATGGTATATAATTTTTTTTTATATAAAAAAGATATTTAAATTAAATTAAATTTATTTTGCTTATTGTTTAAAAATTTACAGTTTTGTTTAAGAGATAAGTAGCAATTCTTGTATTACAATGGACGTATTAGTGTTTTTGTTTTGTACGATTTTACTTATTTTATTTTATAATCTGATCTATTGTTTTTTTGTTTTAGAACTTTTCCTTCAGAAGCTTTGTCTCAAGGCAAAGGAGAAAAAATCCTACTAAGGACATTAGCTTATTATTTGGGCTTAAAGAATACTGCATTTTTCAAAAAAAGGGCATTGCAGTTTGGCTCACGAATAGCAAATCCAAAGGAAAATGCTCATGAGGTGTCTCCTAGGTTAATCGGGGTAACCCCGGCAAAGTAAAAGTGAAAAATAAAACAGCTTTGTGAATAATTGCAAATTTTACAAAACAAATTTGTGACTTTGCTGTATATCTTATGCTCTGTTTGTACTGAGTTGTAAACAGTAAAAAATATATATAAAAATTAAATATTTTACTGTTCATAATGTGGTAACAATATTATGTTGAATTCCCATAAACATTTTTATAAGCCCTTCCTTCCTTGGAATCAGTCTGTGAAATTTGCTTCATACAAATAAAAATTGAGTATGACAGCAATAATAATCTCTTAAAATATTAGTTTAACAGCAGCTGACCTTAATAAAAATCTTTCTTAATGACTTCGTTTTAAACTAAAAAGTTCTTGTCTCGTATTTAATAATAGTAATAATAATTAATCTTTTTATTTTGGCAAAAGTGGGTAACAAAATTAAGGCCGAAACCAAATCTGTACTTGGCAAGCCGAAAATTCTAAACATCTTTCAGTACATACAAAGAGTACAATATGAAATTCTTTGATAATTATTCAAAAAAACCAAGCAGGAAAAAAGCAAGTCAGATTGATCACATTGTCTTTGACACTGTTAGAATAATAAATAGGTAGGTGGTACGTCATTTTAAATTGATATTGATTGTAAATATCGGAAATATAACTTCTTAATTACTTCATATTTTGGAAGATCTTTTTTCCGTTTGCAGATGTTGTGTGCAAGTAAAAAGTTTGTAAAATCCATAAAAAAAAATGCTTTTAGTTTACCTTGCCTATAATGTTATATATGTTAATTGGTTATGATGGAATCGGTGTTAGGAGCAATCCCTTGAAATTATAGAGGTAATATGAAAAACAGGTTCATAAACCCTATTGGAGTGGAATACTAGTAAATTCTTGAAAAAAAAAACATTGTTACATTTCCAATTTTACTTTATTAGCGGCAAAGCTCTTTTTGCTACAGCTTCCGATTATACAAAATTTTCACTGTAATAGATCTTTATAGGTCTCATCCATTGCGATTAATGGGTAGATTGCTGGCAAAATAAGTCAACTATTGGAATGCAAAAGTTTAGTAATTTCTTCTAGGTTCAAACTAAGACTGCATTTTCGAAGACGTAAATTATTTTACTTATAGGTACACTACATAAAAAAACGTCTGTTTATATTAAGTTTGATCAGATGTATCTACGTTATAATATTAAATTGTTGAATAAAAGAGCTATAAAATACCCCCAGCTGCATATATATTTTTTTTAATCCAAAATATTTAAAACCAATAGTGATTCTAATAGGTCATTAGCCCGATTCGACTCCGAATCCTCTGTTCCTCTGTATACACTGCACACATCGTTTAGGACAAACGTTACACAAATTCATTCATAATTTTAGCTCCCCCTCTCTTCCCATTCAAAAATAATTGTCGTGGATAAACGCTAAGAGGTATCTACAAAAAAATTGCGATCACTGTCGAAGCGAATTTTTGTTAACGAATTTCATTAAAAATATTTTATAGGCACCTAATTATTATTCCTTGTAATTGAAATACAAACATCTCCCATTCAATTACACATGATGTAGTTCTACTTGAGTATGTAGTCTAAAGTTAGCTCCGAACGTGACGCGAACCAATCGCAGTGGCGGTCTGGCCCCACCATGTGTTTCATTCATTAGTTATCGCTTGAACAACTGGGTGTCTGTGTTGGTTGCCCGGCCGTCTCCCGATTTTTTACTTGTCGAACGGTTTTCAAATTACAATTTTGACGTTGTGTGGTGTTTTCGTGAGTGACTTTCGTGTTCTTATGCAATTTTTGCTGCTTGTTTCCGTCGCGATTAAAACGTAAACCGAATATAAGCCGCTTGCAACAAGTGGGAATTGTTTTCAGTGCGCCTGGAATACTTTGCCTGTTAAGGTTAGGTTAATATATTCCAAGTTGTTTACATGTAAATCCACAAAGTATTTTTGAAATAGATCGGTGTTACTGATGCTTATATGGGTGTTACTAATCCCGTGCATAAAATTAGATTATCAGAACGCAATAATTCCCTGAATCGTTTGTTTATTTTTACTCGTCAAGATGCTTGCAACTTGTCGCATTTTAAAGAACGCTTTTAATGTTTGAGAAGTGGGTTTAAAATTAGCATTACACACACCGACTTGCATCTTGTGTGGGTTTCTACATATTTTATTATGTCATTTTAGAGATAGTTAAGTGTTTATACTGGGTGGCTTGCAAAATCTGTGACAATTTATTTAATTCAAAGTCTGGACGTCCCTACTTTGTCCGTTTCCCGAAGTAAACAATCGACGTGTGATAGATGTATAGCGGAGGTAGGTTTCAAAATACCATTGGCTCGACTTTAGTTATTTGTGTAAAAGGGTTTTAAAATTTTGTTGTAAAGTTCCCACCGAAAAATAAACCGCGATCAAAAATCTGTACATTAATTCGTAGCCATGCGTCTAAATTTTCAATTTTAGACAACTAATTCCTCTAGTATCCATCAATTTCCTTATACCCCAAATACCTACTCATTCCATTACTTATACCTGTATTATGCTCTAATTCCCTAACTAATACCTCTAATTAGAATAAAAGTTTATTTAAAAAGAAAGCATAGATATATAAAAATATTGAAAATTCGTGGCGTAGGATGAATATTAGGTAATTCTTGCACTTCGAACTCTAGAACAGTTTCCGAAATTGAAAGGTTTGTGATAAGTAGAATAAATGGAAAGGTACCCAATTAACAGCACTAGTTCGTCACTAGACTTTGGTTCAAATAACTTGTTTATTTTTATACAAAACTTTAATTCAAATATTTAAATAACACTTAAAGCAAAAATTAAAAGTTTGTTATGAGGAAGAAAAACTATAAAGAAATCTTAATCCATCGTAGTAATTCAAACAAATTGAAGTTTTTGGAACAAGCGTGCGCTAATAATTATTATATTGTTCTAAATGCCTAAATTCTAGACCCGTACCTAGAGCAACAAGCTTCAAGAAATCATTTTAGAATAAATAACCCTATAAGCGTATTAATTTACAATGCAGTAAATTCTGGAATGAATTTGACCCTAAAAGAAGTTTTTTTTATTATTATTACAAATTCCACTAATAACTAACCATTACTAATTCTAGTAATATCACGACTAATACCACTAATTTCTCGACTAGTGCCACTAATTTCCAAGATTTGTACATCAAACTTCTTTGGTTTACCCCTCGCCCCTTTATAGTATCACTTCCTATGAAGATACTAAGTTTCAGTATATGAAATTGAAGTAGATATGTACCGAATTTTATCTAAGCTAGAATATGGAAAAAAGATCGACGTTTCATTTCGACACACCTCGTAAACTACTGATTGAGCTTGGAATCATTGTTATTGATTGTTATTGCTTTGCGTCCTAGGCCCTTTATTCCGGACCATATTCTCTCCACAAAGCACTTGTACGAGTAGATAAGCGGGTTAGAACACAAAACTCTTCAAAAATCTTTTAAACGGGATTAACTATCTCGTTTTAATTTTAACATTGACATAATCCTGTTCTTATTTTCCTTTTAATTTTATACAACGATATCTACATCGAGATTTGTATCTATAGCTACTTGAAAAATTCGTATTCAGTGACAAAATCGTTTACACATTTCTGAAGTGCTACGACGCTGCGATGAAAGTTTATTATTCTTTTTATTGTGGTTGAAGAACAACGAGTGAGCTTAAGTAAACGTAGTAAAACGAGGTAAAATATTTGGGTAAAAGTTCGGATACAAGCCCCTTGGGTGCTTGTAAATTACAGCGTACTGGAAATTTTAAAAAGAAAACCTTTTTGTTTCACACCACATTGCTTACCTCTTTGCACTGTGTTACGCAGAACTGAACTATTATGCATTTGAGAATGCTAACAGCTAAAGCAAATTTATATATTTCTTTGGATTTTATATTTCTTTAAAAGTGTATCCTTTTTCGTATAGCGGTAAGAGTATTCTAGACCAAGATCGACAAATTTGATCCAGATCCTGGGTTTTTAAGTTTTTATTTTCCTAATTAAAAAGAAAATATTTTAGAATTTAATTTTAAACTAGCTTTAGAGGAAATTAGGTCACCTGTTTTTTCTATAGAATCGAAGGTGGTAGAATGGTGGTATTGAGATGCTGCTTGTTGTCTTACAAGAATTGTACCAGCACTAACACATTTAGTAAACGTTTGTATTGAAACTTCCACGTTTCCCGAGTTTTGGAGTACCCAAAATTAATTCACCAAAGGAACTGAAAGATCTGCGCCCGATCAGCATGTTTCCTACGTTATTTAAAGTTTTCCCACGTGAACTAAACGAACAACTGAAACAAACATCTAGATGATATTGCGGGTTTGCCTGCAGCCTTGTTAAAGGTGACCAACGATATTTTTGCTGCTGCAAAACGTGGCCAATTAGCTATCCTATTGATTTTCTATTACATTTTTTACTCCTTTCTGTTTGTTGTTGAACTTTAAATATTTCTAGAGGTACCCAAAGTAGTTAACATAAATAATTATCGTAATTATCTTACGTGGGCCACTTTTTGCTTGACCTTTTTGGCAGTAGATAATGAAATATTTTTACTGTAAATTAAAAAAAAAACATTTCTAACAAACTTAAAGCACCACAATGTATATTTCTACGAAAGCAGGAAAATTGGAATTATGCAAGTCGACTTTGAAACACTGTGTATATTCATACTATTTATGTATTTTGCTTGGTGCCATCAGCCTTACTATATACCTACCTAAAGCGATACTGTGCATTCATAAGTTGTCACGTATATGCGTTTGCAAGGCCTTTATCGTTTTATTTATCACTTGGGTGTTTCAGTAGTCACTTGAGTGCTGAGGAAGTTACATCAGTGTAATATATAACTACTTTATTGTTGTTGGTTCTGTTGGTAAAGGACTGTCATTTTGTTTCTTTACTATGATCCCTTACGACGCGCGAGACTTACGATTATGATTTTTCATAGCTGAAAAAAAGGAAAAAAATGATATAATATATTTTTTATACCTTAAGAAGATGAAGTTGAAAATTTTATTATTCTTTTGATTTTGATTACTCCGAGAACTTTATCCAGCTTATAGGAACACTGCATTCGAAAATTTGTGCAGAATTCTCTATTGATGGGAGATGCAAAAAGGTTAGAAAAACTTGCCCAAATAAAAATAAATCGCATCAGACCTTTAAAAAGATGTTCTTAATTATCGAAACCATTTTACTCTACTCGACTCTACATGATTGGCAGCCAAAATTCCCTATGAATTGGAATGGGAATTTGTGTAATCTTGTTATCTCTTACCGAGATAATAGCTGGAATAGATAAATTTGAAGAACCCATTATATAATTTATATAGCTAGAACCTATTATAAAATAGTTCTGTTGTTCTAGAATATTATGTTATTAAGTTGAATCGACAATCAATCATTTTTTTATATTTCTTCTCTCTAAATATATTTGGAATGGTTATTTAATAGGAAAACTATTTGAATAATAAAGTAATATGGAAGTCAAACTACGCATTCCGATTGAACATCGGGATATAATCATTCCTAAATTTTTGTCAAACCTTTTGAATTTGCATTTTTACGGTTGTTGGGGGCTTAAACGTGTTGAATTATTTAAAAATAATTTTGTTGAAGGCCTCTCTGTGGTAATACAGGTACATTTTCGGGTCGTTGATGTCTAAGCTGGCGCCACAGGCAAATAAATAAGGTTGAGCCAGGGGTATATATATATAAACACTTCAAAGTACCGATACTTTATGACCGGCTTTTAATTTATTGTGAAGCACCTTAAGGGTTGGTTAGTAAACAGTCATAAGAAAATAGGAAACACTTATCAATACCGCAAAATTAATATTGTTTATTTATTCACGTTGCTCACGTAAATATAATTTAATAGTTGTCTCCAATTGTGATATTTTATAGCAAATCATGCATATCTTCTCAAGTTTGGTTAGTCCACATTTATATTTGCTTACTAGGGCGTATTAATCATCAGTATAACTATTATTATCCAAGAAAGTGCAAGGAAGTTCAAGTTCAGTTGTTCCTATGGTCTGAAGAAATATAATTTAATAGTTGTCTCCAATTGTGATATTTTATAGCAAATCATGCATATCTTCTCAAGTTTGGTTAGTCCACATTTATATTTGCTTACTAGGGCGTATTAATCATCAGTATAACTATTATTATCCAAGAAAGTGCAAGGAAGTTCAAGTTCAGTTGTTCCTATGGTCTGAAGAAATATTTCACAGTGTCCTGCACGAATCAGTTTTGATTCTTATGTAATGTTATTGCAGGGCATTCTTCCAAGTACATGTACTTTGCTGCATTATTTTTTTGATCTGTAGTGTAAATTAATTATTTTATAGGTATCTTTATATATAGGTATTTAATATTTTATATTTAATATTCTTCCTCTTTTATTTTATTTTTATTTATTTATTTTTTAATAAAAAATGAAGTCCTATGGCCATTAAGAAAATCACTACAGAAACATCTACAAAGTAATAATACTGTAAATTTTTTTGAGCTTGAAATTTTCTTCTGAAGGTATTTTCGGACTCTTGTTTATATAACCAAACTAATGTTATTTTAAATTTTCTATTAACACTAGAAATTAGCAGAACATTTTTAAACGCCCTGTAAAAAATAGCAATCGTTCTTCTGAAAATAACTTTGAAAATAATAAAACTTAATACTATATAGAAAATATTGAAGAAAATTTGTCATCAGAATGAATCGTAATTTTCACATGATGGTAATAATAATGGTTATTTATTGTTAATCAGATATACCTTGGGATATGTTATACAAGTAATAAGTGGCTACAATGAATAAGCTGTATTACTACACAATTAAATCTTTACAATAGAACTTGTATTATGCAACATCGAGTTGCCTGGATAGATACTTGGACACGGTTTAAGGCTTATTTCAAAATTTTGACGCAGATTAGATTAGATAATTTCAATTCGAAAAAAGTTTAAAATAAAGTAGACAAAAAAATGAAACAACAAAGTAGAGAGTGTACAGTATAACCCGCTGGTAGATATAAAAACCTAATGAAGCGAATTCAACTTTCCTATTATCAAGTGAACTACGTATTATTGATTCCTTAAATCTCTGGAAAAATCTAGACCTATGTATAATGTTCTACAGTCTACAGACAGGGACTGGTCAATTGACCACTTTTCAATTGACTGGTAAAAAAATATTTTAAATAACATCTTGCAAATTGTAGGGTGTTATCTATCATTATTTAATAATAATAATAATAATAATAGAATTATTATGCGTTTATTGTTATTGTTGTTATTATTATCCCAATAATAACATCGACTCCATTTGGCTCCCAGGACGGCGTAACCAACAATGTAAATAAATATAAATTCCATGGTATTTTTGAAACTATTTTTATCAATTGACCGGTCAATTGATACAAAAAAATTTGATCGATCAAGTCCACAACCCTATCTACAGCTATCTCCCTAGCAGTGTTTAATCGTTCTTGGGATCTTTAATATTCACATTAAGGAACACTCTTTTCTTAACGGTGTGTAAATAGTGAAAGGGATAATAATAAAAACTTCATATAAACGTATGTCCTTTTATGCATATTATCCAGAGAAAATATTCTTTCTCCAAAAATATGCGATACAGATGGCGAACGACTATGTGTCAAAAGTTAAGATATAAGTTGATACGAATTTTCTTAAAATGTATCCTTCAGTACTGTCATAACAACAAAGAACACTATATACATATTGTGTGACCAGGGCATTAAGGCATATATCGATCTATCTCTTATGCAGGATGCAGCAGGATGAAAATTATCGTCGAATCGAAAAACAAGAATAAAATTTACCGTCACATGCGAGATTTAAAAGTAGGTTATTCGGCAGAGATGTTGAAATAAATTGCAATAGAACGTTCGTCGGACAGCTTAGAAATGCAACGAGTCGGGATGTTTTATTCATATTAAATTTTGCATTATGCACCCAAAAGCGGATATTTTTACCTAAAGTGGTGATAGACAATAATTCACAAACGACACGTACGTTATAAATCAAATTGGTTCAATGGTGTTTTTATCGAATTTCGATAAAAATTTCCATTGAGTGTCAGGTATACCTATTCAATTTCTCGTCAAAATTATCTCAATCCTCGCGAGCACGTTTTGAAGGGTAAGCACAATGTTTGTCTGAGAAAATATTTGCACGTGAATCGGATGTTGAATTTTAGTGATCTTGATCAATTGCCAATGTTATATTGGGCAGCAAATTTTTAGGGGCGGTAACATATGGGTCTTGAGAATTTTGTGTCAAGATCGAATGGATAACTCCTCATTTTCACAGGAAACAATGGTTTTGAAATGCTTTTCTTTGCAAAAATCGCTAATAATAATAATAATACTTAACTACTTAACTATACATTCGCAGAACGACAAGGAATGCAAAATTTGTAGTATAGATCTAGCTGAAGTTCAGATAAAAATCTGCACATTGGGTGAGTTTTTAATATCGGAGGACAGCGCATTGAATAGTCTCAGGCCATCATTGAAAAGACTTTTTTGCATATGCGTTGTTCTGGTTGACTAAATATCGAAGTTGTTTTTAGATTTGATATTATAAGCATGTTTCATGCACCTTGGAATTAAATATTCCTTTAAGTATGGGGGTAGCAATTGCTGTTGAATCTTGAAAATCAATACAATGTTAGATATTTCAATAGTCTGGAACTTAGAGAGTCAACTAAGCGATTCAAGCATAAGACGCGCAGGAGTGTATCGGGAACAAGATAAAATAGTTCGCATTGCTTTGTTTTGCGTCTGACTTGTTACAAAATATTAGAAGTGAATTGCAATAAGCAAAATGTGGGTATACTATAGTAATGAATATAAGAAGTCGAGTCCAAGGGCTAAGATCTGGAGAGACTGAAAAAACCTATCTTCTTGCCAATCTTTGCACACATGAAATCAACATGCTTGGAGAAATTAAGTTACGAATCAAACATTACGCCTAGATATTTCATTTGATTAGTATGCTCCACTCAATGTAGATTGGATAATAACATTCCAGGAATAATTTGCAGTTGTATTTAGTACCAAATATCATGTATTTAGTCTTAGTTACGTTTAATTTTAATTTATTGATGCAAAGCCAGTTATGCAAAAAGCTAAGTTCGAAATTTATTGTTTCAGCAAGTTGATTGAAATTCTTTCCTGATACTGACAGAAGTGTGTCATCCGCGAAAAGACTCACAAAAGAATTTTTCACAATTTGATCAATGACATCAATGTATAACACGAATAGTAGGGGCCCTATAACACTACCTCGGGGTACGCCTATCTTGCTGCTAATCTCCCGTGAGACGAAGCCATTCACCTTAGTCACGTGAGCCCGATCGCAAAGATAGTCCCTAAACCACAATAGACAAATCTCCATCACACCATACTTCTGAAGTTTCTCAATAAGCCGTTTTCGGTCAATGGTCTTGAAAGCCCTCTGTAAATCAATAAATACACTAAGTATGACATTTCCTTCGTGAATGTCAGACCGCCACTAAGTATGACATTTCAGATGAGTGCTTCGTCCTAAAGCCCGATTGACCCTTGAAGATCATGTTGTACTGTTCGAGATACCTTCGAAGCTGATTGCAGACAACAGTCTCTAGTATTTTATCTATAACCGAAAGAAGATTAATGGGTCGGAATTCCTCAGGCTTAGTTGGTATCGGGACTTTAGATATCGGAACTATAACACTAGTGTTTAAAACCCTGGGGACTTTCCCTGTTGCCAGTGAAGTATTCACAAGGTGCAACAGCGGGTATCCAATCGCACGAAAAGTCAAAAATTTCGCATCGCAAATATCATCCGAGGTTGATTTATTATTAAGGTTCATGACACTCTTCTTTAGCTCACAAATATTTAATTTATCGAATCCAACTAACGTTTCGGAGCAATCTATGTGGGCGTTTTTAATTTGGATGTTGCAGATGGTATACTATCGGCAATATCAATGACACTCTTGGAATTAAAGGTGAGTTCTCCTCTACCTTTTGGTGGCCATTTTCAAAATCAATGTTATTCATATTAACTTGTTTGCTTTTTTTGTTCCCACACCAGTTCTTTTAAGGTTTTCCACATTTTGAGATTTTGAGGTTGTCCAAGAATTTTTGCCTGAGGTTCCAAGATGTGCGCTGTTAGATATTA